TTTTCTGAGAAGTAGTGGGTATGGAACGGGGTCCACTCAGCTTCGTGAAGATAAATGAGGAGCTCTTTCAAGGAAACAGCTGCTCCGGTCTAGAAAACGGACATTAACGGCCATGGGGATTCGTTGCGCTGACCACGTGACACACTATATCCGCTAAAGTTGGCACTAACTTCGCCGATAAATGGCGGTCGTTCTGTCGGTATAGTTCGCTTGCGGACTAAAACTACGGAGTTTTGTTGTGGGGAATAAAAACATGTAGTCTGGTTGGTGGTTAAAACGTTTCGAAAAAAATTTTATGCATCAATCTACATGCTGTATAAATCATCTTGAATCTTCTATGCGCAGTCGCATAGGTAATTACCAACGTTTCAGAGGAATCTTCTACCTCAATCTTCTGGGTGCAATGCCAAAATATGAATTATAGTAATTTATTTTGCTGGACAATTTTTGCCGTGTACGAGTATTTTGTTTTCAAACAGGCCAATTTCTTGCTTTTACTATACACTGGTGCTTTCAGGCCCATTTTAATATTACCCTCACATTTACAAGCTTCTGAGAAGTCCATTTGTTCGACTAAAATTGTATATGCATTCTCTGTCTCTACTCGTACTATGCATGCTTCAAAATTCTGTGTGGGGTTACGTAAAGACATTTTTATGTTGGAAGAAATTATTTTTGCCTCTGCATGGGGCTCACTGTCGGTTGTTTGCAGGAAAGTATGTTGGAAAATAAGGTAAATAAAATTCCCTTGGCAACCTGAAACTCTCAAGGCTGACCCTTGTACAATTGAATTATGGGGCTGTATACTAAAGGCTCCCCGCCGAGGAGCGAAGCCCAGAACCAGGAATTTGACAATGGAAGGGTCTCTTTATAATGGCAACTGGAGACTTAAGTTCCCTGTTCTGTACCTTATGTTTAGTAAAAAAGTGAAATATACAATCCCCAATATGTCTACGGGCTGGACGACCGGGGGGTTGGAGTTCGCGTCCCGGTAGGGTCAAGAATTTTCTCTTATCCTCGTTGTCTGGACCAGCTTTGGGGCCCACCCGGTCTCCTATCGAAAGGGTAGGGGGATTCTTTCCCCGTAGGTAAAGCGGCCAAGGCGTGAAGCTGACCACTTACCAACTAGTGTTGAGGTCACGAAATTGTGGAGCTATACATCCATTCCCCCATACGACTTCATGGCCTAGTGTTTAATTAGTTAAACATAGGGACAGTGTAGCTACATTGGTGTGTCTCGAAGTTTCAGACGCTGACACGCATTTGTGTGTATGTATTCTTCAGGTACTGGTGTTCTGGGTGTTCGATTCCCGGCGCTATCACATTTTCTGAGAAGTAACAGGTCTGGAAATGGGTTCACTCAGCCTCGTGAGGAAAATTGAGGAGATACTTGAATAGAAAAATAGCGGCTCCGGTCTAGAAAACCGAAATTAACGGCCGTGGGGATTCGTTGCGCTGACCACGCCACACCCTCTATCCGCTAAAGTTGGCATTATCTTAGCCGATAAGCGGCGGTCGCTCGGTAGGTATAGTTCGCTTGCGGACTAAAGCCATGAAGTTTTTTTGATTGGTGTTCTAGGATGTGTCACTGTACTGATTGTTGGGTAATTACAAATATTCTGAGGAATGTAGTGTCTCTATCAGTAATGTTGAAGTGGCTTCTGCGCCTAGGATGGAAGCAGTATGTACCCACAAGACAATGGTACCTGACTGTCGCACTACATGGTATCACATTCTAGAACTTAATCTGAATTTCAAGTCTGTTATATTAGATTGTCCTCTTGAATGTTCTCTGCCGTCTGTGATATAAAGCCTTGTGTAGTCCGCTGAAAGCCTACCGAGGCTTCGGCTTCTTGGTTGGTTTACTCTTCGACCCTGAAAACGAAGGCAACACATTCCCCGAAACGTCGGTTGACTTTTAACGAACCATCCGACGTTACACCCCAGAATATTGAACTGTTAATAATAACCGTTGTGAAAACCTGAATTCCTACATTTTTACTAGTTGTGCGTATAGGATATTGGTGGGAAAGCCAGAAGGAAAGAGACCATAGAGAAGACCAAGGCGTAGGTGGGTGGACAATATTACAATGGATCTTAGAGAGATAGGATGGGATGGTATGGATTGGATAGATCTGGCTCAGGATAGGGACCAGTGGAGGGCTCTTGTGAACACGGGGATGAACCTTCGGGTTTCATAAAATGTTGGGAAGTTCTTGAGTAGCTGAAGAATTGGCGGCTCCTCAAGAACGGCTCAGCTACATGAGTAAGTAAGTTCTCGACGTAACTAGATGTTGAATCGCATGTGGTTTTCATTTGGAGTCCACTCTTTTTGTTTTATTTAAACCAAAATAGTAATAGACTAACGATTCTGTTATAACTCCTATACCAAATTTAATGTAAATTCGTTCAGAACGACCGTGCAAATAAATAAGCTCTCCTCTGTGTTACTAATTGTTTAAAAATTATAATGTAGATAATTCAACTTCATGGCTTAAACAGTGGGAAAGTATTAAAGTTAAAGAAATTAATCAACAAACAGATCAATTCGTTGATTGTGATAATTTTTCTCAAAATATGTGAGTTGATACCCCTTTAATGTACTTTGGTTAAGGATGTGCGAATTGGTTTAACGTTAATAATTCTGAATTTTTCGTGAGCACTCTGTTAAGAAATTCTAGGATTCACGAAATAATAAGCCATAATTTGCGTGAAACAGCAATTCACCTTGTGACGATTTACTTAATGTGTGAAAATACGCTAAAATAATGTTTAAAGTAATTTAATTATTTCGTTTTTCCTTTCATACAGGCATTAAGCATACACGAAGGAGGGTTCGCAAGAGTACAGAAAATATGATTTTAAATAAATAAATTCTTCTTTCTGTTTATAGATATTCATTTTAGAGGGGGGTTATAATGGCAAAATTTTTATATTTTCTCTAGGAAGAAAATGATATTTTGGTAAAAATTTTTAGTCGGTTCTTCAACAATCTGTAGTCAATTAAAGCACATTTGTGTTATTCAAGTAGGCTAGAATACAACATTTAAATAATATACTCGTAAGGAAAGTACTGTTTATATTGATTTAATTAAGCCATTAATATAATAGCTGTTGCATTACTGACAGTTAAGTTCAGTTCACAACCATTCACTATATGTTTACAACATTTTAACAAATTCAGAGCAGATTCAGGACTATAAGGTATATTTTGGACTCTATCCATCGTCTGGTATATATAAAACAAAAAACCACAACGTTTCGGAGACTGGATCTGTCTCCGTCCTCAGGTGGATAGGGCAAGATAGACCTACTCAGTTGGGCCCGTTAGAAAGAGCTAGTCTCAGTCACTGTTTTTTTTGTCTTATATATACCAGACGATGGATAGAGTCCAAAATATACCTTATAGTTCTGTACATCATACACCATCGTCAGAATCCTTTAAAGTCTATCAGAGCAGATTGTTTATGTTTATGTGAGACTAGAAGGTGTCATGGCGGTGCGCATCAAGATTATTTCGTCTGTGGTGTATGATGCCGTGGAGCTTGGTAGGTGTTAACCAACACTTCGGTGGAATCGGTAGCCTTTATCTTCAGAGAACAAAAGTTTACTTTTCTATCTTGAAGACGGAAACATCAGGTTCCTTCGAAACTTTTGTACATATTTACGAAATTATAAGGCGTCACAACTTGAACACCACAAACTTGTGCACGTTTCAGTTCATGTGATTATGTGAATTTTGAGTTATGTAGCTATAACTTTCTTTTCTTTTATCTTTTTTTGTCTCTACGTGAAGTTGACGCCTTTGTGTGCTATGTCTTGAACATTTAAAGTACCATTATGAAAACTCGCCACAGTTTTCGGCTCGGTTCCTTTGATTCAGTCCACAGAGCTTCCAACTGAGAAGATAATCGTTTATTTTCTAGCCATTAAAACACTAATTTGACTATTTTATATTATTCCTGTTTATTTGTTAGAGTACGCATTTGACATACTTGTTACATGTAAGATACAAACATGACACGTCCACGTATCAGGTCCGCCGACTGTGATTTCCATCTGTCAGCGTTATTATGTCCTCGTTCAGTTGTTACGATTTTGTGATGTTCATTTATCGATAGAAATTCAGTCTATTACTGTCTTCTTATCCATTGCAGTTGCTGATTATCTGACAAATTCCATAAATTATTGGCTCTGTTGTCATTTGAATGTCCCGGATTTGCATAGCGGGTATAGTTTATCTGATTAAGTAGACCTCTGTTATGCGCTTTGTGGAAGTAGGATATTTCTGGCGGGTATTATGAAGTAGGCGCCTTGACGCCATGTTTCTTCCGCAGCCAGCCACATCATGCCCTAAAAACTGGTTTCTACCTGATTAAGAAACTTCGCAAGGAGGTTCGTGTACACGCAGACTCGGCCTTCTAGCTGTGACAAGCAACTTCTGTGTTCAGGATTTGAGGCTTTCACCATCTTAACTACGAACATAACGCCGTGTAGTCCGATAAAATTAACAGACGTTCCGGAGGAAGATGTTGCCTCCATCTGTGGGGTTGAAGAAACCAGCATGAAGCAGGTAGAAAGCTGAAAGAAAAGTGTACCCCACCAAAGTCTTAAACTTATGTGGTTCTGATAATGCGTCATTACAAGTTGACAGTGGCTGTCATTGTTACATTGCCTAGAGCCTACAAATATTACTTGAGGTGACAACCAAGCATCAGTGTCTTCTGTGAGGTTCCAACTAAATATTTAAATCTGACCATAAAACAGTCGTAAAGTAACGCTAACTCTGGTATTAGTCAGGGGTCTTGACTCTCAAGGTTGTGGCAGTCTCGAATTTGTGAGAGTAAAATGTAGTCACGAGTAACGTAAGAGTCGGATCTGAGTATGAATGCGCTGGCGTGGGCCAGCAACAATTGTAAAACTACAGACCCATCCTCTCGTGAGAAAGGATGTTACATAAGGACTATGAAAGAAAACGTGTAGTTGGGAAATAAAATTACTGGTCGTGAGTCTCAAGGGGCTTGTATCCAAGATGAACTGATTGGCAGTAAACCGCCAGTCGTAAAGAAAATCTGACTCTAATTGTGACTGAAGAAAAACCCATATTCTCATTCCGAGATGTATCCTCGTGTTCGGGAGACGCCCGCAAGATGGACGATGGCTGAGACAGAGAGACACTTTCAGGTTCATACCTTCAAATATATTTAACAAATATAAGTAGTTATAGAAGGGTAAATATGAAAGGACATGTAATTGTAGCACTGTGCCGAAGCCATGGAGATAAGTCCCATAGATTAATTCCCACCCACCCCTCCCAGCGTTACCCTCGAGTTTTTACATTTCCCACTGCAGCTTACTTCACTCGATGCTCGGTAGACCTACACAGAACTACATGACATTCTATCCCAGAAGATAGAACTGCCTTCTTCAGATTGAAAGACACCAACTGAATCTTTTAAACGTTTTTATGACTTGTCTGGCCGCCGACATGACCATTTTCATTTGGTCCAGTTACATGAATACAGCCTAATGAGGTAGATTTGGATAGAATTGATTATTTCTCTTATAGCATCATTTATCTGACGAATTTCTCATGTGATTTTCTGTTAATAAGATAAATTTATTCTCGTGTCTCATTGTCAAGAACATTTTACGTCATATTTCACGTGATTTCTAGGATGATTGTTTCCCCCACTACGCTAACATTTCTGTATCAGTTTCAGATGTTAGGTTACAAATCCCACAATGTTTCGTGTCTCAGCTTAGAGGGTATCAATTTATCGAAGCTGACATGACTTCAGGTCCGCTGATAGTGTATAAAAGTCTTCAACATGATGCACTGTCTGGATGCCGATTTGGATGTGTTGGCTGTTATATTCTTACAACAGTTGCCGTCGATATATTGGTCCGGGTTGCCTCGCGGTCGAATTCAATCCTCGTCGGATCTCTCCTCTATATTTATGGCCCGTCTGTTGGCCCCAGGCACTGCTTGACTTGCTCGCCTTATCTGTGATTTACGTCTCTCTTCGATGACCGACTTCCTTCCAACCGCCAAAGCGTGCTGCAAGGTATCGCGCCGAACAGTCAGCTTCCTTATCGACATGGGTACCACGCCTGCAACCAGTAAGATACTTACAGTTATTGTACAGGTACTGGATCTGTGACGGATATTAACCGAACCGGTTCTTGTACTGGAAACGCTCCAGGTTTATAATTAATTGTCCTCTGACTGTGGCATCGCGTAGCCTGGCCAGTGGTAATGAACTTTCCGGAAGACGACCTTCCCTCAGTTTTTACTTATGCCATGAAGATGAAGACAATATTTTCCACCGAAAAACAGTACCGATCTACCATAATCTGTGCCATAACCCAGATTACAGTATGAATCTTCTCTACCGTGAAGATTTTGCCTTACAAATTTCTACACGTATTTATGGTATGAATTGGATTGATCTGGCTCAGGATAGGGACCAGTGGAGGGCTCTTGTGAACACGGTAATGAACCTTCGGGTTCCATAAAATGCTGGGAAATTCTTGAGTAGCTGCAGAATTGGCTGCTCCTCAAGAAGGGCTCAGCTCCATGAGTAAGTAAGTAAGTAAATAATTTATATTTAGGTTCTTCCGAAACGTTGTCACCCATGACGTCACATACCTGAACATACTTACGGCAGTGAGAACCTGGAATATCGCAATTTCTGACAGTGTTCAGGATTTATATTTTCACTGAAGAGACGGATTTCCTAGCTTATAATGAATGCATGCTGGTTCTCAGTTGCAGCTATGAATAGATGGTTTTGCTTGTCCAAGTACGTGTGTAATTGCGTAGTTTTTTATCTCGTGTCTGTCTGTGATCAGAAAGGGCGCCTGTTGCTTTCTGATTCCCGCTCAACATGATTGTCGGAGAAGTTGCCGCATCAGCACGGCGAAATATACGTAGAAATAACAATTCTGAGGTTTTCACAGCTGAAGCAATGTAGATTATGATCTTATTACACCCTTCGCTTTGAGGCACGGAATCTGCCCTCCGGTACTATTAAACGGAACATGCATACCGCAAGAGGAATCAATCAGATACTTAGGCCTTCACCTGGACAGGCGTTTGACTTGGCGCACACATATTCTCGCCAAAAGAAAACAACTGGGCACTGGACATTAAATGTAGTCAGATGCATTTGCTAATTGCCAGAAAGTCAGAACTCTCTACCGAAAATCAACTCCTAGTATACAAGACAATACTGAAGCCTATTTGGACTTACGGCGCACCATTATGGGGAACTGCAAGTACATCCAACATGTTGCAGAGATTCCAAAATAAAGTACTTCCAGCTGTAGCCAACGCACCGTGGTACGTCCCAAACAGACTACTACACGCCGATCTAGGCATATCCACAGTACGGGAAGAAACCACAAACATCAGCCGTAAATACAAATACAAGATAACAGCACATCCAAATAAACTGGCAACCACATTATTAAACAACGCAGACGAGACAAGAAGACTGAAAAGTCGTAAGCCAACCGACCTAACGACGCGCTTCATATAAATGCAATACATACAGTAACAAATTCATACTCGAAATAGAGCCCTAGAGAATGCTCACTGGAGCATTACTCTCCCTGACATGTTCTTTTATTAGTATTTAAGCCTTAGATTAAGAATTTCACAAGACGTACTTGTAGGCCTTAATATGGACTGATTGTACAAATAAACGGAGATATATAAAAGAAATATTCCGGTAAGTGGTGACCAACGTTTCGGAAGAATCAGAGAAGTACATTTTCTGGATCTTATGATTTTTTTCTTTTAAAAAGAGGATGTTGTGGAAGTCTATGTTAAAATGCTGTCAAAAGTCTTACACAAAGGATTCGTGTTAATGATATATTCCCCTTGGGTTTCGTGAGAAGGAATATTTCTTGATTTACATCAACCCTTTAGTGGTTGCTACGCGCAGGCCTACCACCTAAAAGTCTCCGAATTTTGACCATAGATTTTTTATGTGTTTGCATGATTTTTAGATTATTTCCGCAAATATCACTAACCGGCTGGCCTTTTGCATTGAAGACGTAGTCGACTTGCTATGAGGTAGGAACTGGATTTTTAATAGTATTCTAACGACCGTCAATTTGAAAAGAGTAAGTGTATTCCGCTGGAAATTTGATTAGGAGAAACAATGTGTCATGTCAGTGTTCTTTCCGGGTTTCTGTGATGATGAAGTTAATATTGCAACTCATTTGATCAGGGGGCACGCGTTAGCCGGAAGGTCGCGGGATCGAACCTCGATTAGGTCATTGAATTTTTCAATTGGCTTAATCCTTCCAGCCGCACTATTGCTCAGGGATTGACTCAGCCTCTAAGAGAAATTCGTGCCAGAAATTTTCCTGGTTGGGAGGGGGGGAAGGGTGGCGGCTGCGTAAGGCTGACAACCTCGCCGCCATCTGTGAGCCGACTATCTAGAGGACGTGGGAGCCTCGACCTCACACCCATACGGGCGTTCACGGCCTGTTGCAAAGACAGCTTTACCTCTTTATTTTTTTTTTACTGATTTGATGAACGCGTTGCCAGGCAACGACTCCGTAAATACGGTCTAAGATTCAACGATAGATGAGACTGTGTTTTCTATGTCGTCCGCGCCACACACATACAGTGCTGGTAACGGACCTAAGAACTCGCAGTCTCATACGTGACACGTTTCGAAGAATTAATTGTAAGACGTTCCAGAATAACTGAGAAGGCAGTCCAGGAGTGTTAAGCAGTTCAGAGCACAAGGATGAGAATGGAGCGTGTTCTCAGTGAATTGTGAAGATTAGTTGAGTACAGATGAGGACAGAGGAGCACAGAGTTATTGAAGGCGAGATGACAAGAAGATTTCACAGTGATTTGAAGTGCTAGTTTATGTGTTGAGATCCATCGCCAGGAAACGGTTAGTGAAGACCTCATTTGCGTGTTATAATTACAGTAATCATTAGAGTGTTTACTACCTGTAAGTGGTCAACAAAACCAATTGCCACTCCGAACCCAGTCTTTAGTCACTGATACGTGTGACAATATAAATTGGATTACATAATTTATGGAGGGATGAAGTTATGTAGATTCTTCTTAAAAGTAGATTTCCTTCACTTTATAAGGAGGAAGATATTCTTCATGGATTCTGGGAAGTTCTTACCTCCGTTACCGGGCATCATAGAGAGACGCCGTTTGAGTGCAGTGTCAAGTGTTATCACAGACTGCTTCTTCTTGAACACATGTGTGTTATGGAGGTTCTGAACCGTCTTGCGCCGCCCAACGTTCTCCTGCATAGGGTCCTTCTCTTCCATGTCGCCGTCTGCCCCACGCAGCTGCTGGAGCCCCTTCACAACCTGCACCACTTCCCGTGCTTTCGCATCCTTGTCATCAGTCTAATGGAAAACAGACAACTCGCTCAGTAGAGTTTACTGAAGGAAACATAAGTAAAAGAAAGAAAACTATCCCTGTAACAGGCCGTGGACGTCCATAACGTTGTGAGACTTCCAGGTTCCCACATTTTTTAGCAGTTTGCTCACAGATGGAGTTAAGGTTGTTAGCCTTACGCTCCGAGCGGCCTTTATCCAAGGAAGATTCCTGGTACTCATTTTTGTTAGAGATTGAGTCGACTCCAGGGCCATAGTGCGGCTGGAAGGGTTTAGGTCAATTGAAGAATCCAGTGACATCATCGGGAAACGAAACCAGAGCCTTCCGGTTTGTAACATAGTGCCTCCAGTAACTACGCTACCTCGTGTTCCGAGGGAAACGCAATAAGATATAAAAATGTGAAGTCATCCTTGGGCTTAATTAAGCATTACGCCATGAAGACGTATGTGGGAGTGGAGGTATAGCTGTACAGTTCTTAACATCGGCACTAGAGGAAGGTAAGTGGCCAGCTTCATGCCCCTGCAGTCGTCGATACCAATTGCATAGGAGGTTTGGTGGGCCCTAGTGTCGGTGTGGAGACGTTATAGGGGAGAGAATTATCTCTTACCTCTTCCGGAATTCGAACTCCGACTTCTCGGTCGTCTAGCCCATAGCATTCTTGCTATACCGACTGAGACGGGGGGAACATAGGGAAAGATCTGTGTTGTGTATCAATCAGTTGCCGCTGATTGGTGAAATGGACAAGATAGAAAACGGTTTCAACAGGATCACAGAAAATCATGTCTGTGTATGGAGAATGAGATTCGAAATGGTCACAACCGTGATTATTGGTATTAGAGTCTTCTCGGATGTAACAACGTGTATTTTGGTAGATAGTTACCAGCGTACTGTTTCCATCATCAACGTCCCTGAAAATACGGAGAGTAATTTCCTCTGAAACAACGGTGCCTGTCATCAGAAGTACATGGCGTTATATGCCCAATGACCATGATCTTAAGTTTACAATGAAATATCGACGTATGACCTGAATGTTGAGAATTTGTTTTATTCTTAATACCTATCGAGGGCACTGTGCTACAAGCCGGAAGGTCGCGGGTTGGATTCCCGATGAGGTCATTGAATATTTTTAATTTACCGAATCATTTCACCCGCACTAAGGCCCTGGGATCGACTCAGCCTCAAAGAGAAATAGTTTCCATGACTCTTCCTGGGGGTTAAAGGGCGGCCGGCGCGCAAGCCTGCGAATTTTACCGCCATCTATGAACTGATTGTCTAGAAGATGTGGGAACCTCAACGTCTCACACACCTATGGGTCTTCGCGGCCTGTTACAGGGACAGCTTAACACGTATCGAAATGAAAGTGTATGTAAGGGGCCGAGTTGCTGATGAGTACCTGAGGGCCGGCTTGGAACCAGTTGATCTGTATCGTGGACAACATGTGCGACAGGGTACCGAAACGGTGAATCAGCATCGCGAGGAACTGGATAATCAGGACGATGCCGAAGAATATGATAAATAACATACCAATAGGCTCCAGCTCCAGGTATTCCTTGGAGATGGTGATCTGAAATTGTAGGTCGCGTTAAATAGGCGTATTCAGTAAATATAATATTTCATATGCCGTGCAATAAGAAGTTAACATTGTTCTCTTTTACTATCATTATTCTTAGTGGGGTGAGACTCAGTCCACTTGGTACTGCGGCCATTACTGGCCTATTGCACCAGCCCCAGATGACAGATGGTGATTATGGAGCAATTGGTGGAATGAAGATTGGCAGGGGAAACCGAAGTACTCGGAGAAAACCTGCCTCAATGCCACTTTGTCCACCACAAATCCCATACGACCAGACCCGGACTCGAACCCAGGCCGCCGATGTCGGAAGCCAGCGACTAACCGCCTGAGGTATGACACGGCCAACGCTGTTCTTAATGTTATTTCTAACAGTGGGTATGCTAACACCACACTACGTCATAAGTTTATCGCGCGTCATGACGCTTACGTCATTACTATAACTGTTTTGCGTCATATAGTGTTCTCTTACTGTTTTAACCTTGCGTCGCCTTCTCTTTAGTTTATTGCCTATATTGTACTTGATACGCGCATCATAGATATGAATTTATAGTAAGCCATATTACTTTTAGTTTACTGCCCACAGCTTAGCGTGTTTTAGGTCTTACTGCTGACATCAGGTTCACTTGATTTATTATCACTTATAGTCTTCTTCCGTCTAAAATGCAACAATACCAAATTTTTGTCTGTAGTCCTCGAGCGAACTATACCGACCGAGTGACCGCCGCTTGTCGGCGAACTTAGTGCCAACTTTTGCGGATAGAGGGTGTCACGTGGTCAGTGCAACGGTTCCCCACGGCCGTTAATCTCGGTTTTCTAGACTGGGCAACAATATCAATATAGATTTAAATGACACTAATCCATATTTAATTCATTAATGTTCTTTAAAGTATTTAAATGTCTACAATGTGAGGCCGAAACATGTAGTGTAGGTGAACAAGATCAAGGACACATAATATATTGTTTGCACTTGGGACGGTATTTGTATCATATCATATCATTTATTTAAATATCATTAAAATTAAAATATGTATACATTCTATGTTTATGCGCTACATGTTTAGACCACAGAGGCAACATACTTTGTTTTAGTTAATGTTCTTTCGTGGTAGCACGTCATCTGTCTTATTGTTGTACATCATGTTCGCCCTTTGCTTTATTTCATATATCGTAGTGTCTTTACATGACGTGTACGTCATATGTCTTACGAGTATTGTTATTCATCTTGTTGCCTTGTCTAGTGTTCTTACGCGATACATACATACCTTCTCTAGTGATCTTACGCGATACGTACGTCATATGTTTTACTGTCGTATGAGATGTTCGCCTTGACACTGAAGGGCCAATTAACGTGTATCTGGTCCTTACTGAGCTGCAGCAGGAATATCACAAGCACGAAAAGAGCGTTCAGCATGAAGAAAGCAAACACGGATATGTCTCTCAGGTCCTTCAGGTTCCTCGCCACCAGCTTTTCTTTCTGTGACATTAAAATAAAGCGACGTCTATCAAAGTCTAACAGACACATGCAATATGCTACCAGGGGTACAAAAGTCAAAGCTGTCCCTGCTACAGGCCGTGGAGACCCATAAGTTTGTAAGACGTTCCCACATTTGCTAGAAAATCGGCTCACAGGTGGCGGTAAGATTGTCAGCCTTACGCATTGGCCGCCTTTTATCGCCCTAGGAAGACTCCTGGTACTCATTTCTGTTAGAGGCTGATGATCCCAGGGCCATAGTGCTGCCGGAAGGATTAGGTCAATTGAAAGAATCTAATGACCTTATCAGGAATCGAAACCGCGACATTCCGGCTTGTAGCATAGTGCCTCAACCAACTACGCCACCGCGTGTCCCAGCACAACGTTAATGACATGTGCATGGGTCTTAGAGATAGACTATGAAAGTTCTAGGCTGAAGTACTGGATGGAAATTGGTCTGCTTCCTTCTTCCGCAGTTGTATCCCCTCTTCTACGTATCGGTTGAGGTTTGATACCCCAGAACCAATTTGTGTGCGGTAGTGAAGAAAATCTAACCCCAGAGTCGGTGTAAACGCTGTGGAGTATAAAAAAATCCGTGACCCCTGTCTGGAATCAAACCTCGATTCCTTGGTCGTCCAGCCCATAGCTTAGTCAATATTCGGATTTAGCTGTCACTTAGTGGGAACAAACCAAAAGTAAATGTCTCAGATGTGATGTGCCCGCGGAGGTAAATATGAGTGTCTTCTTGGATGTGACGCTGTGTAGTATGGTACAAAATCTTCAATGTTTCGGAGAAACCTGCTGCCTCTAGAGTAGAAGGAAACTCTGAAGTTGGGGGCATGAGACCCCTCCAAAACTCTATTAACTCTCCGTCCAGTCATATATGTATACGAGACGAAAGGAATCTTAAGAAAATAACAGAATGAATTATGATGGAAGAAACCCCTGAAGACAGACGCAGAAGATTCCTTCGAAACTTTGGTAACATTCATCCAGAGCACGCCGCACCCACATCTCAGCAGGCAGTAATCTTATATAAAAATGGTTCATATGTAACAAGTACAGTCATGGTGGTGGAAAAAGTTATGAAGATGGTAACAGACGATTTCTTTGAAATGCTGGTAATCTTCAACCGGAATACATGGCGCCACAAAGCAGGAAACATTTTCTTAAATATTCTGTTTGACTCAATCAGCTTCAATATATTTCCTTCCCCTAGGCAGGGCGAGAGCCAAGTTTAAAAACCTTACACGATCCATTCGTCATAATTGATCTATCCCTTCAATTATATTTTTTTCTCTCCGGCCTACGCTTTACTGCATCACGTGATGATGCACGAACCTCCTTTCTCACTGTTTAGTCGTGATAGCCCAGCCAATAGCCTCGCACTGATTAGGCTACGTGTTTCAGGATCGAGGTTCAGTTCCATGCAGGTGCAGGGATTTTTCTCTTGTCACCACTTTAAGGATCTTTCTTTGGGGGGTAAAGAAGCGGTGTTATGAAACTCAAGCCTCTCGCCCCCTCATAATATTTATATTGACCTAATCCTTCCAGCCGCACTATTGCCCTGGGGTCCACTCAGCCTCTAACAAAACTGAGTACCAGAAACCTTCCCTGAGTGTAAAGGGCAGCCGGCGCGTAAGGCTGACAACTTTACCGCCATCTGTGAGCAGATTGTCTAAATAATGTGGGACACTCAACGTGTCACAAACCTATGGGCCTCCATGGCCTGTTACACGGATAGCCTTACCTTACATTATTTAATTAATCAAAGGGACGACCTCTAACTTTTATTTGCTATTGACAGCTACATTTGGGAAAGGAATGTTTAGAAGTACTCCTCGTATATTGAGGACTGCAGAAGTTACAGCTTATTTCTGTACCTTGTTACCATTCTTATGCTTATTGGATGATTCCCTAATTATATTCAGTCATGATTTACGTACCACATGGTGTTCAGTAAGGTGAGTTACTGTTATTCTGCATGCGAGAAAACACTTCGTGGATATACGAGTATACTTGCCTCGGCATTCTTCACAAGGACGTAGAGGTACTTGTCTATCAAGTCTTTCCAGAACTGTTCTTCCTTTGAGGACAGGAAATCAACGACACCTTTCCTCATTTCCGGGTAATGGTCAATCCAGTAGGGAGTGACCTGCTCGTCTCTTTCTTCCTTTGGTTCGATGTCTGTACACAGAATGGTCAATGTTTCAACAACTGTTTAATTGCGAAAGTTGCGTATGATCTGTGCCTCTTCACATACCGTGTTAACAAGATCCCACCACCGAAAAATATCCTAGAAACTAAAAAAATTGTCCCTACGCTTAATTAGTTGAGCACTATGCTGTGAAGACATATGGGGGAGCGGAGGTATAGCTCCACTTTTCTTGATCTTGACACTAGATGGCGTTGAGTGGTCAGCTATACGCCCCTGCCGCTTTAAACCCAGGAAAATGACCGCCGATGCACATTAGAGTCGAGGCTGGGTGGGCCCCAGAATTTGTCCCGACGTTGTGGAGGAGAGAAAAGTCTTTCACTGCCGGGAATCGAACTCGGGTCGTCCAGTCCGTAGCCCGTTGCTATATAGACTGAGCTATCCCGCCTCCCAATCAGTGTCATAGAGTAAATAAATACAACCCACAAAATCAAAATATTTTAAGGCGATTAATCTCCCATTTACGTCTTTCCTCGAAGTGGTCTCTTAAATATTTTAAAACGATGATTTATGTGGGCGTGTAAAATATAATCGATTCATGACAATACAATTAAAAAAACCTGTGAATGTTAGGGGTACATTTTGAATTTATCAAATGGAGAAAACCTTACCAAGCTTTGTATTCCCTCGTTCCCATTTTTGGCACTTTCGCAACAGGATTTTGCAAAAACAAGATTACAAGCAACGCCATATCTGTCTGTATGTGCCATCTCGAAAATTCCTGAACGGATGGACATGCAACTTGATACTGGAACGTTTTAGGGACATTTGTCAGCACATCCCAATTTGGGTAAACCTGGACAACCTTAGCGAGCATTGTACATCCGTTTCTGCAGGTCTCACGGGCGTAACTCATGCGTAATTGGGACGATAAATATTTCAAATGGAAGTTACAGAAAAAACGAAACCATTTTATTTCAAGTACTACACTTTTATCCCTGGAATTTGGCACGTTTTAAAATAATAGAACAAAAATATTATCTCGTAAGTCGAGAATTGTCGAACTGAGTTTCCTCCCGCGTATCCACCTGCCTATTTACAATAGGACATCACAATTATTTACCCATGAATTCAGTAACTCAGCGAAACCTTACATTGTTAACTTCTTCATGAACTCTTTCGCTTAAGTAGTAAAATTGCTTTTATAAAATAGGGACAATTAATATAAGTGTTGTAATACCATTAACACAACTACTAGTATTAATAATGTTTTTATTCTCACTCATTACATGTTTCGACTTTATTTCTGGGTCATCTTCATGTGGTATACTCACACATCAATCGTCTGAAACGTCATAGTTTATATTAGTAACAGAACTTGGGTTCTATGCTCATAAATATTATCCAATTGGATATCTGTTACATTGTCGAATAGTAAAATACAGAAGTATAAATATAGGAATATGGAGGTAATACATTTAATATTTGATGGATTTGCTCAAAGCATTAATCTATGGCGCCAGAAAACTCCGTTATTAGGTAAACACGTTCAGAAGAACACACAAGTCTAGGAGCGGCGTGAAGATTTGAGAATTCTAGTGAGTGTGCAACGGTGAACTGTAAAGTGGGTAAACCAGCGCTAGCGCTATAATTTGCTGTAGTCCCGAACTGTTTAAATATATGTGTCAATAAATCCAATCATAGAATCCAGAAACCGTTCTTATTAGTCACGGAATCACAAACACCAAACAATATAAATATAATATAATACGAATGTAAACATTTGGGTAACATCTATACATTTATACATGTAGTGAGTAGGAATAAACATTATTATAATAGGTAATTGTGTCGATACTATTATAGTAATCGAATTACATATAAAATACAACATGGTACTGAAATCAGAATGGAAATAAAACTATAATTTAATTCTGCCTCCATAACGACTCGAGAAAACTTCACTTGTCGTCGGTAACATGACTCACCCTCATTATCTGTGAAAGTGTCTGTGTCCTCGTCCAATTCATTTTCGTCGTCCTCCGCCAGGGGATCTAAATCTCGCTTGTTGAGACTGAGCGTAGTGCGCCTGCGCGATTTACTTTGTGAAACAGGATCAACTGCCCTGAAATAATCATAATCGCAGTTAGTTTCAGGTTGGACCACTGAATTATTGTTTCAGTGCCTCAACTGCTAACACTGGTGAGTTGGCAATTTAGAATCTTTGTTTCAAACAGTTGTTGGAATTGTTTTTTTAGACAGTTTAGGTTGTGGCACTCTGGGTAGTTACCGACATGTCGGAAGAACACAGTGCTTCCACCTTCAAGGAGAGCAGCTTCTTGGAAGCGCTGATTAACATTTATACTTTTACTTTGAAAATAGTACGAAGTCTATGAGACTAAACGTTCTCTTAATGAAGAAGACTGCAGTGAAAACCTCAAATGCACTGCCACCTGTTGGTTTACAATATCCTTATTTCTTCCCCATTTATGTATATACGTATCTTGAGAGTTTGACCAATTTAAATAACCTTGAGAATGCACATCATATACATGAATTTAATAAAGATTAAGTGAATTGCGTTTATTATATTTTGAAATGGAACAAATCCTGTAAGGTAAAGTTGTCCCTGTGCACTACGCCATGAAGACGTATGGGGGGAGTGAATGTATAGACCTCGGCACTAGTTGGAGGTGAGTGGTCAGCTTCACGCCCTGCCGCTTTACCCCCCGGAAAGAACCCCCTTTTACCCATTGGGTAGGAGGTTTGGTGGACCTAAGAGCTGGTCTGGACTACGTGTACGTAGAGAAGAGAAAATTCTTGCTCCCACTTGGACTCGAACTCCAACCCTTTGGTCGTCCAGCCCGTAGCCAGTCTCTATACCGACTGCGCTATCCCGGCTCCACATAATGTAGGCAGACATTTCAGATTATGATCTTCTGGGATATGACACGACGCGGTTTTGTAACCAGTCCCCTGAAGGAATCTGTTGCCCTTGTTTTGAGGATAGAGATTTCTATCCCCAAAACGAAGGCAACAGAGCCCTCACAAACGTTGGGACATATATACCTAGCTACTCGGCGTCACATTCTACGTGGCCTAGTCTGAATACTTTCCATCGTAAGAAACTAAACTCTGTTCATATTCTGCTTTTATTTGTCAATGCTTTCCAATCTTTCTTTTGTTTAAGTTTTGTACTCAGTTTTCTGTGTTGTCCAGTGTTCTGCTCATGAGTCTAGGGGGACTTCTAATATTTTCATTCACTTCAATACTCCGTTCAGCCTTCTGTTCAGTTTGTCCAGAGAATCTGTTCAACTAATGTTCTCACCTCTCGATGTTGTCCAGCCTTCTGTTCAGTTTGTCCATAGAATCTGTTTAACTAATGTTCTCACCTCTCGATGTTGTCCAGCATTTTGTTCAGGTTGTTCAGAGAGTCTGTTCAATTAGTGTTCTCACCTCTCGATGTTGTCCAGCCTTCTGCTCAGTTTGTCCAGAGAGTCTGTTCAGTGAGTGTTCTCACCTCTCGATGTTGTCCAGCCTTCTGTTCAGTTTGTCCAGAGAGTCTGTTCGGCTAATTTTCTCACCTCTCGATGTTGTCCAGCCTTCTGTTCAGTTTGTCCAGAGAGTCTGTTCAATTAGTGTTCTCACCTCTCGATGTTGTCCAGCCTTCTGTTCAGTTTGTCCAGAGAGTCTGTTCGACTAATGTTCTCACCTCTCGATGTTGTCCAGCCTTCTGTTCAGTTTGTCCAGAGAGTCTGTTCAATTAGTGTTCTCACCTCTCGATGTTGTCCAGCCTTCTGTTCAGTTTGTCCAGAGAGTCTGTTCGACTAATGTTCTCACCTCTCGATGTTGTCCAGCCTTCTGTTCAGTTTGTCCAGAGAGTCTGTTCAATTAGTGTTCTCACCTCTCGATGTTGTCCAGCCTTCTGTTCAGTTTGTCCAGAGAGTCTGTTCGACTAATGTTCTCACCTCTCGATGTTGTCCAGCCTTCTGTTCAGTTTGTCCAGAGAGTCTGTTCAATTAGTGTTCTCACCTCTCGATGTTGTCCAGCCTTCTGTTCAGTTTGTCCAGAGAGTCTGTTCGACTAATGTTCTCACCTCTCGATGTTGTCCAGCCTTCTGTTCAGTTTGTCCAGAGAGTCTGTTCAATTAGTGTTCTCACCTCTCGATGTTGTCCAGCCTTCTGTTCAGTTTGTCCAGAGAGTCTGTTCGACTAATGTTCTCACCTCTCGATGTTGTCCAGCCTTCTGTTCAATTTGTCCAGAGAGTCTGTTCGACTAATATTTTCACCTCTCGATGTTGTCCAGCCTTCTGTTCAGTTTGTTCAGAGAGTCTGTTCGACTAATGTTCTCACTTCTCGATGTAGTCCAGCCTTCTGTTCAGTTTGTCCAGAGAGTCTGTTCGACTAATGTTCTCACCTCTCCATGTTGTCCAGCCTTCTGTTCAGTTTGTTCAGAGAGTCTGTTCAATTAGTGTTCTCACCTCTCGATGTTGTCCAGCCTTCTGTTCAGTTTGTCCAGAGAGTCTGTTCGACTAGTGTTCTCACCTCTCGATATTGTCCAGCCTTTTGTTCAGTTTGTCCAGAGAATCAGCAATGCGCAGCAACTGAACCTTCTCCTCGCCGCCTTTTGGGTGGGTACAACACATGCATTTGAAAAGCCCAGCCATTGAGAACTCAAACGATCCCTCCTCGTCATCCCCGTTCTTTCCGTTGCGGTTCAGGAAACCCCAAAACGACTTTTTCTTTGCCTTCTTTTTCTCTTGTTCGGCTGCCTTCTTTTCCTGTTCTAGTTCCTAGAAATATTGCAAAATGGTATCAGTGTTTGCTACTTTGCTTTGCAATTTAAGAATGATAGATGTTTTGTTTATTGATGATGATGATAACAGTAACAACAAAATATTACAACAACGATCTAATTTAACCTGTTATTTTACACGATTTTGGAGTTTGATCTGTCACTCTGTGTAAAAACTGCACAAGGAAGAACTTCATAATTTCAGCCCTTCAGTAGACATAAGTGCAATCAAGTATGCACCATACGTAGGGAAAACGAGAAATGCTTACAGAATTTTAGTAGGGAAACTTGATGGAAGAGACCACGTCTGAGAGCTAGGGATAGTTGGCAAATAATATTGAAAAATAATCATAAATACAAAGGTTATGTGGACGAAATTTAATTGCCTGAGGATAGGATTCAGCTGTGGACTTTAATCTTTATTTACAATTCAAATCAGAAAATATACTTTACCATTTTTGACTTCTTAGCGACAATTTCTCGTGTGCCCCAACTAACAACGTTGAGATTGAAGATGGAGTACACTATGAGCAACAAGTACATGGACGGTACGGTGACGTAGTACACCACTCCTGCGGGCAGACAGCCGAACTCTTGAGGGTGCAGAAAAGCTGCTATAATCATTTCTAGTGCCACTATAAAAAAGAACAAAGAAGAGGGGGCAAAGGGGCCGTCTTCGTTTATCTGTAGCATTATGCCCACCAGCACGGCCATCATCACAAGGCCGTAGACTGCGCTGATGATCTTGGCTGCCAAGAGCTGAGGAGAGAACAAGAAACTCTGTCACGCTTTAGCTATCGTAAGAAACTCTCTACAATTTCATTAGTCTGGGTGACATGACGCCTGAAAGCCGGAAGAGTCCATTGCTAGACAACGGCTCCCTTGGCACGTATCTGCAACAACGGATAAACTCGTGAAAAATCAGACCGTTACTACGAAATTAACAAAAGATTCCGGAGCAACGGATAAATAGATAATAATAGACGAAAATAAAAAAAGATAGCAATCTCTATTCGGTTCTTCCCGAAGTTACAAAATGGCACACATAATTACTTCGGATTAATCCCGTGTGGAGGCGAAGTCGAATACCTCCACAGTAGCCCTGCGTGTCATAGGAGGCGACGAAAATGAACCCAGTGCTTGGGGATATAACTACGCCACTCTCTTCCTAACAGATATAAATACGGGGACCTGGCCCTCCAGGTTGGGGGAGTCTCGAATTTGGAACAGTAAAATATGTCACGAGTCTCGCAGGACTTGGATCTGAGAATTACTGTGCTGTCGAGGACCAGCAGCATTTGTAAACGACAGACACATCCTTTCATCAGGGAGGATATTAAATAAGGATATGATCGCAAGTGTTCAGTTGGAAGAATGTTGATTGGTGGTAACCTGCCGGTCCTAAAGTAATTCTGACTCTGACTGACTGACTGACTCTGGTTCGAATTAGTTCCTTCATAAGTGAGTCGTCATTCGGCACGAAAATGTGAAAGTAGTAGTTCAGTAGTTCAGTAGTTCAGAGTTCAGCTGTGATAACGGAAGCTGAAGAAGTGACCGATTCATAAATCAGAGCCAAGTCAGTCTCAGTGGAAGAGAAGACACTCGTAGTCCAGTAAGGAATGTAGCGAGTCTTAGGCAGTCATCGATTGTGAGCTGCTATAATTGTTTGTAATTAAGAGAAAAGTAAAGCAGCTGCCAGTAAATCCAATCATTCAATCTAGAGCCCATTATTATTAGTCACGAGAACTCCTAATATGTGACAGTATCCTTATATAAAAGGAACGAAGCCCTATTGTCGTTAATCGTGTCACGTGCGCCTACCAAGTGATTTTAAATATGAGCACAGTATTATAGAAGTAATGGGCATGCACGAGTCGGTATTACAGTTTCCCACCTTTGCTGAATATAGTTCCTCTAGAACCGGAACTCAGTCCACCGCAGAACATTTGGACTGAATTTTCATTTGGTTGATAGGAAGAAGAAAGTACATAAGTAACTGTGATAATTATGTAATGTAAATAAAAATGAAAAAAGTAAAAAAGAAAGAAAGAAGTAAAGCTATCCCTGTACCAGGCCGTGAAGGCCGATAGGGGCGTTGAGACGTTGAGGCTCCCACACTATGTAGACAATCGGCTGAAAGATGGCGGTAAGGTTGTCAGCCTTACGCGCCGGCCGCGTTTTACTCCCCAGGAAAATTATTTAATTAATTCCTGGTACTCATTTCTGTTAGAAGCTGAGTAAACCCTAGGAAATAGTTTAATATTGAATGCTGTTATTAGCCAACTTTCCTTAATTTGAAAAAAATGTAAGTAGGCTTATGCGGTTTCAAATGAACTTTGGAATGCCTGAACCAATGTTTATGAAACTTAGTATGCATATCATGGCACCTGAGCCCATCTCAACGGCGTACTACATAAATCCCTCCCGTCAGTCTCTATGTCTGTATGTGTATTCTCCCCTATCGTTACTAGTCATCGGTTCGGTGAACACGTTCCACTGCAACAAATACACACAACAATGAAAATGTTGGATGCGTCGTTTTCTGTGCGGTCCGTGTCGTATCAAAGTAGAATCTATGGGACTATGTATCCCCTTATCATTCCTATGCAACTACTAGGTAGATACGTTCCCGAAGCAATGAAGAATTGTTGAAGGCGTCGTTTTATATGCGGGCCATGTCACATCAAAGGAAAATGGGTAATTATTCCTTCTCAGAACATATCCTTAATATTTGCCGTTGTTATTTATATATTTAAATACGAATATGTGTAATAGAAACGAAAGAAAAATGCAATGCCTCGCGTAAAGGTACACGTATAGATAAAGTTGCCCTGTGTTTGATAAATTAAACACCGCCTCATGAAGGAGTATAGGGGAGTGGAGGTATAGGTCCTCGTTTTTATAACATCAGCATTAGATCGAGGTCTGTGCGTCCGTCTACATCTGTCCATCTGTCTGTTTGTCCCCTTAATTTTTTTGGTTTCTATGAAGTCCTTGTCGTACCAAAGATAAGTGGGCGCTTATTTTCCCATGCCTTCTTGCATTTGTATGGGTTCCGTTCATTAAAGGATTAACCTGTCTTGAATTACCTGAATGTTGGATTTGCAAAGGAAGCAGATGAACATGTAAATGAGGATTGGCACTATGTTGAACAAGAAACTGGTCCAGTTGTCTATCTTGAAAGCCGCCACAAAGGCTCCCACCAGCATGAGGAAGATGTTTCCTGGTCCCAGGATGGAACCTCCCATCAGCAGTGCCTGCGGAGCAAGCAAAGCGAATACTGGCCTTACTTCAGAAATCGAAAATAGGCACTTAATTCCATAAGTCTCTCTTTCACTCACTCATGGAGCGGAGCCCTCCTTGAGCAGTCGCCAGTTACGCAGCTACTCAAGAACTTCCCAGCATTCTATGGAAACCGAAGTTTCACTACCGTGTTCACAAGAGCCCTCCACTGGTCCCTATCCTGAGCCAGATAGATCCAGTCCATACTATCCCATCCTATCACTCTAAGATCCATTTTAATATTGTCCACCCACCTACGTCGTGGTCTTCCTAGTGGTATCTTTCTCTCTGGCTTTCACATCAATATCCTATATGCATTCTTCTTCTCCCCCCTTTCGTGCTATATGCCCGGCCCAACTCATCCTCCTTGACGTAATCATTCTAAATACACTTGGAGAAGAGTACAAGTTATGAAGCTCCTCATTATGCAGTTTTCTCCAGCCTCCTGTCACTTCATCTCTCTTCGGTCCAAATATTCTCATAAGCACCCTGTTCTCAAACACATTCAGTCTATGTTCCTCCCTTAATGTCAGGGACCAAGTTTGACACCCATACAGAACCACAGGCAAAATTATATTTTCGTATATTCTAATTTTTATGTTTTCAGACAGCAGACGAGAAAACAAAAGGTGCTGGACTGAATGGTAGCAAGCATTACCCGAGTTCAATCTCCTCTTAATTTCCTCCTGAATAAAGTTTAGATCTGTTGCTGTCGCTCCCAGATTTTTGAATTGTGGTGTCACATTTTCAAGGGCTCTGTTAGCTATCTTCATGTTATGCTTTTGCCTTGCATTCTGGTCACGACACAGCAACATGTACTTAGTATTCTCTGTGTTTACTGTTAGGCCAAATTCTTTACTAGCGTCAGTTAAAGATTTTATGTTTTTCTTTATGGTATCTGATTTATCTCCCAGTAGATTCACATCATCAGCCTAGACCAGCAGCTCATGTACCCCATTTAATTTCAGTTCCACCTTGTTTTCCTGGACCTTCCTAATGGCATATTCTAAAGCAAAGTTGAAAAGGAGTGGCGATAAAGCATCTCCTTGTCTTAGATCATTTTGGATAGCAAATTTATCAGACAAATGTTTACCTACACGGACTTCACTATACGTTTCGTTTAAACACATTTTAATCAGCCTAACTTGTTTCTGAGGTATCCCAAACTCTATCAGGATATCGTACAATACTTCCCTCCTAACTGAATCATAGGCTTTCTTGAAGTCTTATGAATAGCTGATGTACTGTCTTATTGCACTCCAATATTTTTTTCCAGTATCTGACGAATGGAAAAGATCTGATCTGTAGTTGATCTGTTATGTCGGAACCCACACTGATGATCCCCAATAATTTCATCTATATATAAACTTAACATTGAGAGAAGATTATTGGATAAAAATTTTGTATGAAGTTGATATCAGTGATATCCCCCGATAATTACTACAGTCAGTTTTATCACCCTTCTTGTGAACTGGTACAATAATAGACACCTTCTATCAATTAGGCAATTTTTTCTTATTCCAAATAGAATTAGTTTGCTTATGGAGCTCAAAACGTAATATTTCACCTCCTGCTTGAATTAGTTCTGCCTGAATTTGATCACTACCTGGCGATTTATACCTTCTCAATTTTGCAATAGCATTTTCAACCTCAAAATGGCTAGGATCAGGTATATTCTTTCGCTCAGGTCGTTTATCTAAAGAATCCGTCCTGGTCCGAGGCTTCTTGAACATTGTCGTAACATGCTTATTTTTTACGTTGAGGAGTTGTTAGCCCCACGCCCAACCCCCAAACTAGAGAACCACCATTTGTTTGCTTTCCGCGACTAGTGAATCGGTATATTCGCAGCTACCATCCATAAATGGAAGCCGTCTCGTCTATCTGCAACTTGAGTAGACGCCATGACGTGCTGACAAGGGACCAACCTAACACGGTAGTCACTAATAAAAGTGGCATTATTTTGTTACTAACAATTTCTACCCATATAAATACAGGGTGTTTCACGACTTTAGGGCATAACTGCAGGATGTGATTTCTAGGTCTTTGTGATCAAAAAAGTTCATATAAACATGTGTCCGATTTTGGACGGTTACGGAGTTATGACCGTCTTTTCTTCAAGTACACGCCCTCGTGTGAACCGCGTCTGTCAGCTCGCTGGTCGCTATCTTTAGCCAGCTACAGACAGAGCGTTCTCGTTATCTCGACACTTGAGAGGTTCCTAAGGCGGGGTGGGTTGGTAAATCCGGCGCGGTTCACAACTGAGCGGCAGCCTGTGTTGCGCCCGGCGGTAGCATTTTCGAAAATCAGCATTAAGCACCAATAAATTCAAATTAAAGGTAATTTCACGAAGTTAACTTTACATTCATACTTTAAATGTATCATGTATTATGCGGTTTATTATTTTGTTCCGTTTCTTGTCAGTAATCGTTACCTTCTATTCTGAGTTTAAAACGGTCATACCTCGGTAACCGTCCAAAATCGGACACATGTTTATATGAACTTTTTAATCACAAAGACCTAGGAAATCACCTCCTGCAGTTATGCCCTAAAGTCGTAAACATCCTGTATAGGATTTAATTTATAACTGACGATGTACCTGATAGATGATATAAAGAAATGAAATGTTGTCGTTGATTTTGACTGTTCGTTTGTAGTCCGCGAGCAAGTCCATGATGTTGGCCATGGTAGAGGGGACCCAGCGTCGTCTTTGGTTGTAAAACTCGTCGAAACTTTCTGGACAGTGCGTGTAGGCATCACTGGCTGCCGAGTACTCGACCCGGTACCCACGCTGTAGTAACAGCGTACAGAGCCATCGGTCCTCGCCTGCAACAGGATTGAACTTTCTTACCGCCATGAGGAATTTTATGTTGGCTGTCAAACAAGTTCGTGAAACTCTAGTATAGTTCACCGCGAGTTCATAAGCTGCTGTGTACGCTAAGCTGGTATTTGAGAGGCGACAACGAAAGTAGATGCCTCGTAGTCTGCTGGTGCGCCAACCCAACCTAACCTAACCTAACCTAACCTAACCTAACCTAACCTAACCTAACCGAGCCGGGTCGAAACTGACACGGCAGGATCTGAACCTGACCACAAGAATATGAAAAGTCTGAAATTTAAAAGTTTTCAAATCTCAAGTGTTTAAGATTTTTTTAAAAATGAAAATAATCGAAGCATCCCAAAAAATACACAATAGTGACATTTTCTTAAATATCCTAAATTTAAACATTCTCGAAAATTTAAGGAAAAAATTTGAAAATCCTTTTAAACTTGAAAATTTTCGAAGAGTTCAGTGTGTAGTTCAGTGTTATGACACTGCAACCTAACCTAATTTAATCTGATAATTTTAACGTGCGTTTATTTCATTGTAAAAATATCTCTGCATGTAGATATCTGCTCCTGAAACAACGATTTTGACGCAAATGACCGTAAAGTATTCGTTTAAGTCCGCTGCTGTTAGCTTGTGCTGAAGCTTTTGTTTTAATATGCGACTTTCTACGCATCTGTACCTATATATACTTGTAGTCCGAGTTACTGACAGCTTCTTGAAATGAACTACGTACAAATAAAGCAAAGTCCTCCTCTTAAGACTAAGATGCCCTCAAAATCCCACACATTTTATGGAAATTGAGAGTTAATTTTCTTATTCCAAACGACGACTTTTCTCTATCCTTGGCCTCCAGATGAATTCAGTCCACAGTCTCTAATCTCTATTTTAATATTATACCCTCTACTCCGTTTTCCAACTTTTCTGACCACAATTTTATTTTCAGTTCTCCCATCTTCCGTGGATGCTCATCTCAATCTTCCTGATTGGATTAACCTCTTGGTATTTGAAAAATGCACATTAAGAAGCTCCTTTCTCTCCTCCCCTCCCCCTCTTTTCATATAAGCCCCTCCCCCTCACGGAGAATGCCATCCGACTCGAAAGAAATGTCTGGTTTCCTTACCTTGATCGTATTGAACGTAGTGTCTGGCTTCGCTTGATAATGTGGTGTACTTCTTCATGACAGCGTCATCCATAAGGGCCACCCCTCGGAAAAGGGAGAAGCAACCAGGGCTACAGAGTACACAGCCGATCACATGTTCAGTAGCTTTTTGCAGCCAATGGCCGATGGCGTACTCGAACTTCTGATACCATACCATGGGCCCTACGATAATGTAATTACAGGTAAATGTAGGTAATTAGGTACCTGTCTCTAGCACTATAGCCCTTATGGCTCTTAGCCGCTTTTTCAGTTTCTTAATATATACACTATCGGTAGGACTCCTTGGACAGGGGATCAGCCCATCGCAAGGCCGCTACCTACACACAGAACAACACAGACACAGAATAAACGCACGCAGACGTCCATGCCTCGAATGGGATTCGAATCCGCGACCCCAGTGTTTGAAAGGGCGAAGACGGTTCATGCTTAAGACCTCGAGGCCAACGTGATCGGAAAATTTAGGTAACTGGTATATTCTTAATCCATGAAATGTCATTAATAGATTAATAAACGCGTTGATATTACAGCGGAAATAAATTTACGTGAAAATAATATGTTAATTTTAAATGTTTACTATATATACACGTGTTTCAAGGTGTTTCTGACACAGCAGTAATGAGTTCTAGATGCTTTGTTAAAAGGGAGAATCAGGCTACATAATTTCTGTGAATTATGTTTTGTGGCGGACCCATCATAATGTTAAAAGGTTAACCGGGGTTATGTAGAATGAAGATCTTATAGAAACGAACTGTAGAGAGCTCACACGTTGCGTCAATTTAATGTATATAGCAGATCGTAATTAAAGGGGCAGTCTTTTGTATCTGTGTTTACCCTATTCTGTGACTACTGATAATACGCATAATATGGATGTTTGAATTAGACTGTTTACTCCTCACTGTTTGTGTCTGTCATTCGTGGGAGGTAGTGTAAACGCCGATCTCGACTCATCATTCGATAATGTGAATCACTGGACAGGGATACGAGATATAGTAAGGGACGTTAATAACGCGAACCCTTATATGACAAAGGGACATGCGGTAGCGTAGTTATTTGAGGCATCAAACCAGAAGGTCGTGGGTTCATTTCCCGATGAGGTCATTGGGCTTTTCAATTGACCTAATCCTTCCAGCCGCACTAGGGCCCTGGGGTCGAGTAAGCGTCTGACAGAAATGAGTACCAGTAATCTTTCTGGAGACAATGGGTGGCCGGCGCATAAGGCTGACAACCTCACCGCCATCTGTGAGCCGATTGTCTACCAAATGCGGAAACCTTGACGTCTCACAACCCTATGGGCCTTCATAGCCTGCTACAGGGATACCTTTACTTATTTTTTTAATAGAGCAAATATTGAGACCTTCCGTTGAATTCTCATTGTGTGTTACTTCTGTAACATCTAAATGAAATGTCGGAATTTTTAATCAGTGCCACTAAACTCAGTTTGAAAGTACATCGTACTCCCACGCAGACGAGATATTGTCTCTGTTAACTGAATATAAATCGCTAAGAATAGCATAAATCAACTTTCAGAAAATTCTTCCACTTTCGATATGTGTCAGGTGGTCTTAAAAACGGTGCCCATGCGAAAATTATGGCATTTATGGCGCTGAAAATTTGGACTGTAGTCTTTCTGGGTATGACGCCTCGTAGTCTCGTTTGTCGTTACTAACGTTTCGGAGGCTCCTGCTGCCTACATCTTCGCTGGACACAATTAAGCAAGTCCCGATGAGGTGATTGGATTTTTTCAATTGACCTAATCCTTCCAGCCGCACTATGGCCCGGGGGTTGACTCAGCCTCTAACATAAATGAGTACCAGGAATTAATTAAATAATTTTCCTGTGGAGTAAAGCGCGGCCGGCGTGTAAGGCTGACACCCTTACCGCCATCTTTGAGCCGATTGTCTAGATAAGGTGGGATCCTCAATGTCTCACAACCCTATGGGCCCTCTCGGCCTGGTACAGAGATAGCTTTACTTTTTCTTTCTTTCTTTCTTTCTTTTACTTTTTTACTTATGTTTGTACAGTACCTTTTCCGACGGGATGGATGCGCCCACAGGCTGCTCCCAGTTTATCGTCCTTCTTCATGAGATCTAACAGCAAGTGCATTGCCTCAGGCTTGAAATCGATGTCCCCGTCAAGCGCTAGGATGAACGTGTTCTTTGCGATCACCTCTTTGCGTTTCACATTAATGGGCAGCTCCATGAGGCGGTGTCCGAGCAGGTAATACATGTACATCACCTGCAAAAATCGGGTTCACTCCTAGATACGATTTACTGTTTTCACAGTGAACATTCAGACTGTGATCTTCAGGTCTTTGACACGGAGAAGTTTCATAGCTGCGCATGTTGCTATGGAGATAGCAGGTTCCTCCGAAACGCCACTAGACTGCACAGTGTAATAATTCCGAAGCTCATATTCTAAGACAAGTTTAGCATTTCGCAGTGAGATCTAGAATAACCGAAGTGAACAGAGAATTTCATGGAGATAGGCCTAGGCCCACTGGGGCTGTAGTGCCAAGGAAAAAAAATCCTTATTGAGAGGCTTAAAGTGACTCAAAAAGTAAAGAATTTGGTAGCCTCTGTTGGAACCTGAATTTCAATTCCAAACTCCACTTCTTGTGTCTCCAAAATAGACACATTCTCATCATAATGTTGTATCCTATGTTTTGCTGTCTTAACAGTACAGGAGGTGCCTGTGAAGGTAATGAAGTTCGTCATTGTATAGTACTTAAATTTATCATTTTTCATCCATTTTAGGTGCAAACTTATTTGAACATTAACATATGAGACAGAGTTTAATTCTTCCTTTAAGGAAGAGAATATTTTTCACACATGCGACCCAATTGGTAAAATTATTGTTCGAATTAAACACAATACCGCAGTTTAAATTGTTCAGTGTGTTTCAGCATTAAATTCGTTGGTGTGGTTTACGAAAGCTCGAATACCAAGTTTCTCAAACTATTTTCTTATAGGGCGGGGATCTGATATCCGAATGGAAGGTCAGATTTAGAAGTAAAGTTAAAGGTAAAGTTATCCCTGTAACAGACCGTGGAGGCTAATAGGGTTGTGAGACGTCGAGGTTCCCACATCTTCCAGACAACTGGCCCACAGATGAGAGGAATATTGTCAGCTTTAAGCGGTGGCCACCCTTTACCCCCAAGAAGATTCCTGGTATTCATTTCTGTTAGAGGCTGAGTCGACCCCGGGGCCATAATGTGACTAGGAGGACTAGGTAAATTGAGAGATCCAATCACCTCATCGGGAATCAAACTTGCGACCTTCTGGCTTGTAGCGTAGTGCCCCAACCAACTACGCTACCTCATGTCCCCTTTCAGAAATAAGGATTTTAATTAATGAATAACAAGAAGTGTAATATTTTCCTCTGCCTCTCAACATCATGCCTTTAAAGGGACACAGAGGTAGAACTCTACTCTTTGTAAGCCTCGGCAGTAGATGAGACTGAGACAGCATCATGCTGCCAGGAAAGTAGCCTCATGACATCTGCATAGGTGGCTGTTTGGGTCCTAGAAATTCTGTGGGTACAGACTGGGATCTTAGGAGGTATGAGACGATGTAATCCTGTAGGTTGTTGACAATGTTGCAGTTTCCTCCTAAACACTGTAACAAACCACCAGATTGTACAGTATTTTAACCAGAATCTTCAAAGCCCTGAAAACCTCTGATAGCTTCTAATCGTTGTGTACTGGCGAAAACTACCTGTCTCTACCGGGAACAGAATCGCTGACATAAATTCGAGTACCTGACTCCATCTTTTCTTGTGTCGGATCTTGTCCTTGTCCTTGAGGTGTGCGATCATCTTCGTTTTGCCAGGCAGCGTCCACACAAGGCGTCCTCCATAGGGTGTGGGGAATTTCTTCGGAGGCTTCATCTGGTATTCGGTGCTGTGCACCTCGGAGGCTGCCTTGTCTATCGTCACCATCAGATCCTTCACGAACATGTTCACGACCACCTCTTCGTCATTCTCCTCGCTTACTTCAAAGGCGTCATCAAAGAAAATGTGAGCTAGAAGAGAAGACGAACAAAGAAGAATTCTGTCTCCTGGAATGTAATTCGGTGTAGTAGTGATCTACATCCTGCCTGCTTCATAGCTTACTCTTCGACCCTGAAGATGGATAAAACATATTCCTCCGAAAGGCCGATTTACTTTCACCAGATTACAAGGAATGTAATCCCAGAAGATAGAACACTTCGTAACCACCGGTGTGAAAACCTTATATCCCAGTACTTAAGTAATGCTTTTATATTTGTACAAAATGCCGCCATTTTGTTATGACACCATGTATATTCTGTTAATTGTTATTATTATTATTATTGGATGGGGTGGATTTCCCCATGCACCGCGACTAATAATCTATTGTACGTCCCCCTTTAATATTCTACCAGTCTCCATACCTTGCCGGTACTGGTGCTCGCTATCAGCCCCGTTCAGCCAGGGAGGCTGGCTGCGGTACCCGATGCTTACCCATCTACCGGAGGCATTGGAAACTATTTGGGCGGGAAACCTTTTACCTAATAATTTTGCTCAGAGGTCTCCTAGAGACATGAGGATCTTTTACGTGCTGTAAATCTACGACACGGGACCCACGGCTTAAAGTCCCTCCCGGAGGACTTGTTCCCTGAATTTTTCCGCCCTTAAAAATTCCACGATCTCCGCCGGGTTTGAACCCGCGTACCTTGAGTCATGAGGTGGGAACGTTACCCCTAGATTACGGAGGCCGCTCGGTTCATTGTTACTAACGTTTCGGAGGGGGAATATGTTACCTCCAACTTCAGGGAACTTCCCTGAACATTGAGACAATGTGCGCCTCCTAAACATTCCTAACTACCTACAGGACTAGGCCATGTTATAAACCAGCACAACATAAATTAAATGTTCACCGTGGGAAAAACTCTAATCTAAATTCCGTTAGAAACTCAGAAGCAGCTCATGCTGCCACGTAACTCACTTTCAAACTCATAGAAGTCAGGGTCCAAGATGTCCATGTATGTTTGGGCGAGTCTGCGTGCTGATTGGTCCGCATCCATCCTGAAGATGGACTTAAGCATCTGCATCATCTCGTCGGGAGTTTCATGCCACATGGTTGCGCATGCGTAAACCCTCCTGATGTAGTCAGACTGTCGCACTACATCTGCCTTTGGATCCATCATTTCCTCTTGAAACTTATGCTCCATAGCAAATTCTTCCTCGTGTCCAACCACTTCGAGTTCCTAGCATCAGGCACAGTTGTAAAAAGTTAACAGACGAACTAATTACATGAACAACTCCACGGAGTTATGTCCTTCTTAAGAATTTAATAGTTGCATTAGTCATTCAAGGGGCTCGTAACACTTTATGTAACCCAAAGGTTTATTATCGTGAAGAATGTCCTCGTCTGGGATGTGGCGCCGTGTAGATCTGTACGCCACCACTTCCCAGAAGAGGGCATCCTTCATAGTCACTGCTGTGAAAATCTCAAATCTTATGTTTATTATCCAGTTTACAAGACCCCCTCCCCCCACGCTGTCTACATCCTCAGACAAATCCAGTCCATACGGAAATACTATTTCTCTAAGATCCATTCTAATAATATCCTCCAATCTAAGTATAGGTCTTCCTAGTTGTCTGTCTATTTCAAGTGTTCCTACAAAACCCTGTATACACTCTTTCACTTATGACAGGTTAGGATGGTTTTGGCGAGGCACTGGTCGGAGAGGTGAAAAATGCATACTCAAATTTAAACGAAAGCTTAAAGGAAAGAGGTCAGAAGGCCTGTATGTAGATATATCATATTAAAATAGATATTAGAGAAGTGAGGCGTGAAGATATAGATAGGATTCAGCTGGCTACGAATAGATATGAATACTGGGATTTTGTGAAGACAATGATGAAATTTTGCTTGCGGGGATTTTCGTGAGTAGCTGAGCGAGTGTTAACTACTTATAAGGACTCTGTTTCATTTAGTTAGTTAGGGAAGAAAACGAATGAATAATTAGTCCTCTATACCCGAAAATCCTGGGTGAGTAGTTCGTAAATTATGTATTTTGTTCATAGGGCTTGGTTTCGAGGATCTGATCATCCGCCGCGTATAAAAAGAGGGTTGATTCGGAGTCTTCTCAATATAGCCTTCAGCATATGCCAAGAACGACAACAAACTCCGTGGCTTTAGTCCGCAAGCGAACTATACCGACCGAGCAACCACCGCTTGTCGGCGAAGTTAGTGCCAAATTTAGCGGATGGATGGTGTCGCGTGGTCAGCGCAACGAATCCCCACGGCCGTTAATTTCGGTTTTCTAGACCGGAGCCGCTGTTTCCTTGACATAGCTCCTCACTTATTCTCAAGAGGCTGGGTGGACCCCGTTCCAGACCCACTATTTCTCAGAAAATCTGGTAGCACCGGGAATCGAACCCGGGAGCTCAGGATCTGTAGCCAGGAACTCTTACCACTAGAGCACAGAGGTGGTCAAGATACAACGTGTTTTTCAGCTCAGCGGTTGTGACCAAAGTTCAATTGACTTGGTCATTAACTCCAAGGAAGCAGTTGTCTGAATAAAGACGAAAAACACGTGGGCTCTGTGTATATTTCATGTGAGAAGAGTGTTTCGGAGAAGATCAGTCAATATAACATAAGGACGATCTTCGAAACTGAATACATTCCTAACAGCTCACTCACGAAAGCAGGCCGGAAAGAGATCTGCAAGAGACGGCACAGTGCGCCTGCGGTATCCCCTGTGAATGTGGCTGAAGATAAATTGGCGAAACAGGCAGACCTCTAGCCGAGGTGCTCCACCAACACAGGCACAATCTCCCACAGGGTCTTCTAGAAAAATCAAAATTAGCCCAACATGCTTATGAAGAGAGTCATAGGGTCAGCTGGGATGAAGCTAGGATTTTGAAAATTGAAAGTAACTGTAGGTATAGGAAATAAAATGAATCGGCCCATATGGCATGCTTAACCAATCTGCATCCTCCTTATCAGCAATGAGGTTACTCACTCGGAATATCTGTATGACGCGACAGACCTTTCATGGGTTTTTATCAGGTTTTACCCACAGACGGCGCTAGCGGTAGGCATTATATTTTTTTCACAAATTCTCTACTGGTGTTCATGTACTTGGTTTGTTGGCTATATTTGTAGCATAAATTTCCACCTCCATTACTATCCTAGTTTCACAAATGTACGCGCTTTATCACAATTTTTATTACATATTTTCTTGTTATCTCCTTCGACATAGCCCTGTCTTAGGTGTTTACATAGATGTAGTGAATCTCACATGGTTGTCCAGTGATTGAAGTTAGCTCTTGCTAAGGGACCCAACAGAGTAGGTGTCTCCCCCCTTCCGTATTCCGTATTGAGGGGGTGGGTTTCCCCATGCACTTAGACCGGTTAGTGGTCCATTGTGCGTCTCCCTTTAATTTCTACTGTCTCCATACCTTACCGGTACTGGTGCTTACTATCAGCCCCTTTCTGCCAGCGAGGTTCCAACCTCCTCTGGCAGTGGTATCTAATAGTTAGTCCCTTTCTGTCAGGGAGGTCCCCCCCCTCTGGCAGTGGTACCTAATACTTCCCCCATCTACCGGAGGAATTGGAAACTACTTGGGCGGGAAATTTGCCTAATTTTGCTCAGAGGTCTCCTAGAGACACGTAGATTTACGTGCCGTAAATCTACGACACGGGACCCACGGCTTAAAGTCCCTCCCGGAGTACTTGTTCCCTGAATTTTTCCGCCCTTAAAAATTCCACGACCTCCGCCAGGTTTGAACCCGCGTACCTTGAGTCACGATGTGGGAACGTTACCCCTAGACTACGGAGGCCGCTGTCTCCCCCCTTACTTGAGGCCGGAGAGAGATCCAGTTTCCGAAACGTTGTGGTTTCAATTTTTTAGAATAGCAAACAATTGGTAAAACCCGAAAACCTGTAATTCTTAGTGGTCTACACTTTCGTCAGAACACTTCAGGATCTGTTTCTTCGGTCCTGCTTCGGCCTGGTCCTAAGGGCGTCGGAATTGAGAGATATGAGTCTCTGTGAGTTCTTCCATCGAACAGTCTTGTGTAGCTTTGCATTTGGTTAAACGGATGGAAAAGTATTTATTTTTAATAAATAGAAGACTTTGGTTGAGGATTTGATTCGCGTCCAGAAAATCTACTGCAATGTTTATACCCCGCTTTAACATCTGCGGCTGTCATATACACCGAGAAGAATGCACAGTAAATGTCAGTGTATTAGGGTGTTTTCTATTAGGTCCGTGCTAGCAAGCAGAAAACGTATAGAAATCAGCACACAAGTTACATTTTGTGTTGCCCTGTGTTATTGTCAAGGATTGAAGCAGGGTAATATAATATGGTGCGCTGTAATTTGAAGAATTGATACCAATATTTCAAACATATGTCTTGCTTCTGTTTTCGGAGCAGATAATCTCTTTTACCCTGAAGATGTAAGCAACAGGTTCATTCATTTCATCAGTAATCTGTCAAGACGACAGGTCCACAGTCTCTTCCAAAACAGTTCCTCCACTTAATGCGATCTAGAGCTTTCTCCTTCAAGTGAAAATATCCTCTTCTGTCCCCAAGGTCATCCAGCATCTTCTTACGTCTTCTTCCTCGTCTTTTGGTCACTTCTATCTGCCCCTCTATCTTTCCTTCAATGACTTCTTTTAGAAGGCAGTTACTGCGTAAGATATGAACTTTAGTGTCTATATACCAATGTAAATAAATACCTTGAATTTGATACACTGTTTTACGTTACCTCTGTTAATACTTCGTATCCTTCATCATGGCGTCTGTTGAGTGCCAACGATTGATCCACAAAAAGGGAGTCGTACATGGGCATCGTGAAGAGTACCTCTGTGGACATCAGGCGGTCGACTTTGGGTGTCCAAATATGAAGTGTAATCCACGTCTGAGACAGAAGCCACAGCAGCCATATCCAAGCATGCTGAGAAACACAGACACGGAAATGCAGTGCAAAAAGACGGGGTTTAACACGTGATATTCGGCTAGGATGATGGCTATTAATAACTGACTGACTGACCAACCAGTTAACAAACTAACTCCATGGAGCTGGGCCCTTCTTGAGAAGCACAATTGGTTATTAATGCGACGTGCAAGCATCACGATGGTTTTCTATTCATTAAATGGGACCGCCTCTTTGGTCTACTGGTCAGAGTTCCTGGCTACATATCCAGAGGTCCAGAGTTCGATTCCCGGCGCTACCAGATTCTGAGAAGTAGCGGGTCTGGAACGGGGTCCGCTCAGCCTCATGAGGATAATTGAGGAGCTCTTTCAAGGAAATAACGGCTTCGGCCTAGAAAACCGAGACTAACGGCCATGGGGATTCGTTGCTCTGACCACGCGACACTTTCTATCTGCTAAAGTTGGCACTAACTTCGCCGGAAAGCGGCGGTCGCTCGGTCAGTATAGTTCGCTTTCGGACTAAAGCTACGGAGTTTTTTCATTCTATAGGGGAGGGGGAATAAGAACAGAGAAGTTTTGTTCCCTGCAAAAGCATAAAATTAGATTAAATACTTATCCTCCCTTTTTTGTAGTTAAGTCCTACAAAAGTAAATTTTAGTCTTAAGTTGAGAGTTCTTCCCTCTTCCTATTTGTATCTGTTACTCGTGTATTTGTTGATACTGACAAGGAAAGGAACCATATCCCGGGCGAAGAACGGATACTCTGCTTGTACGTAATAAAACTCGATATTTTCGAAAATATAAATAGATTTTCTGCACAATATCCACAGCAAACATACAATGTTTTTGACACGAGCATTGTGTCACCATAGGATACTCAGGAGGGGTGCAAATATTATGAAGTTACTTGCTATATAATTTTCTCCTTTTTATAGTCAGTTACCTATTATTGGCGCGAGGGTACTCACTTAGCAGCCCGCGGGTCTAATACGACTTCCGAGACATTCTACTGACCAAAGAGTGTACAAAATAATTTGAGATCTAAGTTTCTTCATCTTATTATGCTTGATGAAATAAATTATTTAATATTCCAGTAAGCAAATATCATAGTGTTTTCCAGTACAATATTACACATAAATTAGGCGTAATGTACTAGAGTTGCAGAAGTTGCAGAACCAGAGGTGTTGGCCCAGCCAATCCGTGAACCTTCTGAAGGCGCGTCCACACTACTCGTGCTCGTGCGTCAGAAGCTTAGTGCTGCCGGAAAATCAGGATCTGGACCTGATATCTGTTGTGAAGAAATGCGAAAGCTTTGTATGCAAATCAGATTGGGCGTCCACTTCGTCAGCTCCAGATCCTGATTTTCCGGCAGCACTAAGCTTCTGACGCACGAGCACGAGTAATGTGGACGGGATTTAGACTAACATGATTCAAATGCCTTAGCGCTTCGTGTCAATTTTTAAAATTTATTTTAATACCTTCATATGCCCTGTTCATGATCTCATAGATGTATGTAGTCTCTGTAGGTGAAAAATGTCGCTAAATAATGTAAATCTCATTCAGTGGGTTCTTATGAAAGATGAATACAACTTGAAACAAGCCGATAATAATCCTCACGCAAAGAGACGCTAAAGTTCTCTAATGAAAATGTCCCTTTACCTCCACGCCGAGGTACTCCTCTAGTTGATAATAGGGCGGTGACTCGAAGAACAAGTAGTCGGGAATAGTCCCGCTGAAGTAGCAGGGGTTTCCGTTCCTCAGGCCGCAAGCAGTAATCAGGAAGGAGATGACGACAGGAACCGTGATACTGACAGGCAGGGCGTAACCGAAGCTCTGTATGAGAATGCGACAGGCGAACTTCCCTGCAACACATCATATGGGTTTAACACTGTGCGACCATTAGTTTACCCTGAAAATGGAGGCATTATATTCCTTCGAAACCTTTGTAACATCGTACAAATTTACAGGGTGCTCCGATGATAAAGCTAGAATGTTATTCCGAAACATCGATAATGATTTACCATAAAAGAAGGGACCCTGAAGATAGATAGAATATGTTCGTTCGACACGGTGGTACTCATCTGTCAGATGGTAAGGTAAAGCCATCCCTGTACCAGGCCGTGGAGGCCTATAGGGTTGATACGTCGAGGCTCCCACATATTCTAGACAATCTTACCTCAGATGGCGGTAAAATTGTCAGCCGTGGCGACCGCCCTTTACCCGAGGAAGATTCCTGGTACTCATTTCTGTTAGAGACTGAGCCGACCCCGAGGCCATAGTGCTGCCGGAAGGATTTAGTCAATTGAAAAATCCAATGACCTCATCGGGAATCGAGCCAGCAACCTTCCGGCTTGTAGCACAGTGCCTCAACCAACTACACTACCGCTAAAGCTTGGGTTTCCTCGGGTAGCGGTACCGTAATCAAGCGGCCGTAATATGACGGTGAATGACGTCACTAAAACGTTGCCATGGAAACAAAGGAACATGGCAACGTTTTAGTGACGTCATTCACTGTCATATTACGGCCGCTTGATTACGGTACCGCTACCCGAGGAAACCCAAGCTTTACCGACGGTATAGTAACTGTTGGTAGCATCTCCTTTGCTAGACCTTCGAGGCGGCTGGTTCCAATCGAAGAAAAATAGAGCGGTGGGTCAGGCTGGGTCTTGTGCAGCTAGGCTGGTAACATCCCCATTTTCTTTTTAGTTTCTTGGGGTTGGATGAGACTGAGTCCACTTGGTACATCGGTCACTAACTGACCTATTGTACCAGCCCCGGGTAATAGTTGATGAATGTGGAGTAGTCGGTGGAATGAGAATTGGCAAGGGAAACCGAAGTACTCGGAGAAAACCTGTCCTTGTGCCCCTTTGTCTACCACATGACCTGAGCTGGGCTCGAACCCGGGCCGCCGCAGTGGGAAGTTGGCGAGTAACCGCCTGAGCTATGTCACGGACTAACATTCCCACTTAGAATGCTCCACAGACGGAACGAATTGGCGTGTTTGCCTGTACCACGAAGTGAAGAAGAAAAAGATTGGGACTACAAGATAAGATGACACTCCTTAGCAACTGTCTGCTGCCCTTTCATTTGTTATGCTCGATCATAAATACACGTATAAGCATATTTTACAACATAATCAATTCATCCGGAAGTAAATAATCGCTTTAGACTGAAGTTTACATCCAAAAGGGAATGCTGAGGCCATTTAAAATTCTGTTATTAACAAGTCTCTACCATATTGCATGACGTGTGTCAGTTATTATTATGACTTTTACAGCCCTTTGTTGGGCCTTGGCCCCTTTTCAGTTTCTTGATTCACACACAGTTGCAAAGGCTCTACCTAAACACACAACACAAACACAGAATAAACGTACATAATAGAGACATCAATGCCTCGAGAGGGATTCGAATCCACGATCCCAGTGTTCGAGCAGGCGAAGACAATTCATGCCTTAGACCGCGCGGCCACTGTACGTACCCGATATATAGCAGATGTATGATCCCAGAGAGTGTATAAGAAGCACCCACAGAGCAGAGGAGTATCTTGCATTCACTGTTAGATCATATCTCAAATCTTGTGCCTCAGAATTGTTTGGTATACTTGAATCGTTCCATACCGGAACCTGCAATCAGGAAGTGTCTCAATAGTCCCATTGTCACACTTTCCCATGAGATCTCAGCTAAGGTTTCATCCACATGCTCAACACTAATGCAGTGACTGCCTTACTGAAGGAAGTTGTCATATGAAAATCCGAGGGCTCAATATGAATCACAGAATTTCAGCCATAGCAATAGCTAACATCAACACATTCCTAAGACTTTGCTTAATCGTACCTTCTCAAGTCATTGTGTTTGTCTGTGTGTGCATGGGTTTCTATGTTTGTTCCAAATTTCAAAGGTTCGGACTAGAGAACTGGGTATGAGCATTATGCCACTGAAAGTCTCTTAACGCCGTCCAATTGTCAGTGGAGCGACGCTGATGTCACTTGGAACACTTAATTTTGCGCGCTGAAATGACTCGTGGCAATAGACCTTGAAAATGAATGCAGTTTTCGTAACGTATGTTTTCTGTAGATAGAGAAACAACGGCATGGAGGTCATGCAACCATTTTTTCTTGCCCTCGGTCTATTAGCATAAGCAATGAACTACTAGAGGCAGACATGTTAAATATTTTATGGGAAAGGGTCATTATGTTTGTAAATCAGCAGAAATAAGCTGGCGATGTTGAAAATTTTGAGGTTACATCCGACAAATTTGACGTAGACAAAATCTACGTGTAAGTGATAAGTTCTTCACAAAAATAAATCCAAGTATCAGCGTTGATGATTCAATTCAGTTCAGTTCCTTTTTTGAATGCTTGCCAAGAGAGAGTAGTTTATAACAGATGACCAGTGAATGTATACAAAACTAAAGCTGGACTAGAAACTGAGATAAATGAAAACTAAAGCAATAAGATAACATATTAACAAAATAACACGAACCATGAAGTAGGTAGGATTAAACTAAACATAAATTATTCTCAGGGGAATGTGTTTTTGTTACAAATATCTTAGAGATCTGCAGATGCTGTTTGCAGCTGTGGCACACCTTGACGGAGGGCTAAGTCTTGAGACATAGATGATGATATTAATAGATCTGTAGTTCTAGAAATATATACCACACAGGGACATAAGCTTTATGAGTTCTGCTGGGAACTCATTGTCTTGGAGAACGATAATATAATTCATTTATACTTCACGCAGAATAGGGAACAGAGTTTTCCAATGCGCTTCACATATCTGACCAAAAAATTTTCAAAGTATACCAGTCAATAAATGATACAAACTCCGTCCTAAGTGCAAACAATATATTTATATATATGTCTTTGATCTTGTTCTTTCTACACAAGAACAAGATCAAAGACATATATATAAATATATTGTTTGCACTTAGGACGGAGTTTGTATCATTTATCGTGTAGAGTGCAACAGGATGCTTAAATATAATATTATACCAGTCAATACTAGATTGAACCTAAGTCAGTTTATATTGGCCGAAAGTTGTAATACATGAACTGTTAGAACTTCACGACTAATGGCTGAATGTGATGTTACCGTCTTACTTACTTCTTTGATAGGAATGCCCCTCTCTGAGAAACTGGCTTCAAACAAGTTGAAGAGGCTTTCAACGGAGCCTTGCTGGATGTAAGTAATTATGAGGAGAGTGATGAACATGCAGGCCACCTTCCATACCGACATGTACATGAATGTGTAGTGCCGCGTCTGCTTAAGTCTCTTGAGGAACTTGTCCATTCCTGAGGGCAAGCAGGAGTAATATTTTGTTTACCGAACGAAAGATGTTAATAATTAAAATTTTATAGCCTTGTATAATAGGATGGTTACTGAAAAAATAATTGGAAGTATGTGGAAGGAAGTGGTCGTGGAATGGGGTAACCTACACCCCGACGACTGAGGAAAACAGTGTCAGGATAGCTGATTCCCGGACTGAGGTACGAGTCTGGAGCCACATGAATACAAAGCTGTGGTGTTACCCAGTGATCCTTGACGTTCGATAAGAACATGTTATCAGTTGCTAGTGTGTTCTATTTTCACTGCGATTATTATTATTATTATTATTATTATTAACAGTTTCTCTCCACCAATGGTTTCCCAGCTTATCGTGATGGTAGGGATTGAGTGCTCCCGAGACCCTGAGAGCTATGCCGGCGGTAGAGTAGCTACTGGTAAGGGCGCCCATGCGGGACAGTTCAAGAGGAAGGAACCAGACGAAGAGGGATACACTTGTCCTCCAGGTTGGGCGTTGGACGTGAGGCTAGGGACATCACACCGTAAAAACTAAATTGTTTAGAAACCAGATAATCAGCGTCGAATGGACGGAGGAAAATCAGCGAGTCAGAATTAAGTGGGCCATGACCTCTACCATCCACACTCTTCTCACTTCTTCACTCTACCATTCGATGTTTCATTGTCTGAACAAGTGAAGAATAGGGAGGAAATGAGGCAGATTGTTCAGGAGACCAAAGCTCACCCTGAGCTGTAGCGCCGGGGGGAAGGAATTAAGATTTTTTAATTGGATTGTAGTAGTAGTAGTAGTAGTAGTAGTAGTAGTAGTAGTAGTAGTAGTAGTAGCAGCAGTAGTAGGAATAGGAGTAGTAGTAGTAGTATAGTAGTATGTAGCAGTAGTAGTAGTAAAGAGCACCATCTCTGCCATGATAGCCTTAGTGAAGTGGCATACTAAGAATTTGATTGAATTCGATATCCAATAGATGCGATACGATTTTCTATTCAATGTGACGCTCAGAAAACGTCTAAAGCCCTCATAACCTTTTATCCGAATGAGCATTGAGTTCTTGCTCCTGAATTAAGAAAAAACCAGGGCGTGACCTGGTATTTCTGTTTAGTGGCGATGCGAATTCTTGTGTGGAGAGTTCACTTCATGTCTTAATGGAGTGGTGCATGGGCACAGCAGCAACTTAGTCCCTGCACTTTTACGTACTTACTTTGCGACCATTTGATCGGCTGAAGTTCGAATCAATTTTATTATGCCTCTAGGGCACAATGCGGATATTTTATCTTAGGGCGTTTACCTGAATTTTTGGAACTGACGTAATAGTTCTCCCACCAGCCGCAGGAAATAAATATTGTAGCTAAAGGAAGTACCCAGAGCTGAGGCTTCTCATGAATTTCGAGCAGAGGCCACACCACGAACCCCGTTATTTGCGCTGCCAATGCCATGGAATTGATCGCTATTTTCACGTAGACGGAGATATGATCTGCAGCTTTCATTCCACCCTTGTTCACTTCGTGCCGCGGAATCAAGGCTGAAACATTCGATGTCATTTGCTTCAAATTGTTTGGAGACATATCTTCAAATTATAACGCGAATAATCACAAATTACTCTCCTACAAGCCACAGACAAGAAGTCAGATCATTGGTAGTTTGAAGAAAGCAGTCTTCTGGGATGTGGCACCGTGTAGATGTGGTGCTAACAGACGTTTCGGAGGAACATATCGCTTCCATCTTCAGCGTAGAAGGAAAAATAAGAAAATCTGTAAGCGAAGAAACCGTGAGAACCGGTACAGTCTGTTCCTCCGAAACGTCGGTTAACACCACATATACACGGTGCCACATCCCAGAAGACTGCTTTCTTCATAGTCACCGCCGTGAAAACCTCAAATCTTACATTGGTAGTTTGTTGCACAAAAGAATTGCTGTTGCAAGATTGCTTCTGCTTGAACTTCTCATGTACTGTCTTATTAATGATCATGTTAATTAGGAAACATAAAATGTGTTGTATTTTACAATGTATTTATGTGATATAGTTTCCCCCTCTTTATGAGTTAATTACCCCGATCACAGTGGCCCGTGGTGTAGGGCATGAACTGTCTTCGGCCGCTCAAAAACTGGGATCGTGGGTTTGAATCCCACTCAAGGCATGGATGTCTGTGTTGTGTGCGTTTGTTCTGTGTGTAGGTAGAGGCCTTGCGACGGGTTGATCCTCCGTCCGGGGAGTCCCACTGACTGTATAGGACTCGGGGACTGAAGTAAAGGCCAAGGTCCAACAAAGGGCTGTAGAGCCATAATGTATAAGTTTATTGCACGAGACACCTGGGCAGTGAATAGCCGACTCAGTTCACTAGCCGTCGTTGTTGGTTTCCCGTCTGGCGCCATTAGACTCTTAATGCCAAGGTTCTAGTTTGTATGTGCAAAAGGTAACAATTAGATCCTTCATTTTCTAATTTAAGAAACATAGCAAAGGATCACTGAAGTGTTAAATTAACAAGTGACATTTTATTTAGAAATTAAATAATGAAAATGTGTGGGCCCAAATGCCGGTCTGGACGACGTGGAGAGGAGGAAGTTTTTGACCCTACCGGGACTCGAACTCCGACCTTTCAGTCGTTCAGGCCGTAGCTAGTAGCTATATCGACTACGCTACCCGACTCCCGATTTTGTTATAGTAAATGTAAAAAGGAAAGTTGTTCCTCTGCTTAATTAATTAAGAACTACGCTATGAAGGCGTATGGGGGAGTGGGTGTACAGATTCATATTTCCTTGACCTGGGCATTAGCTGGAGGTGAGTGATCAGCTTCACGCTCCTGCCGCTTTACCCCCGTGGTAAGAGCCACCAGTACCCATTGGATAGGAGGTTGATTGGACCCCAGAGCCGGTCTTGACTACGTGGAGAAAATTCTTGACTTTACCGGACTCGAACTCCGACCTCTCGGTCATCAAGCCCGTAGCCAGTCGCTATACCGACTTCGCTTGGCCGCGCCATAGCTCAAACGGTTAGTTGATGGCTTCCCACCGCGGCGGCCCGGCTTCGAGCCCGGGTCTACTCAAGTGGGATTTGTGGACAAAGTAGCGCTGGGGCAGGTTTTCTCCGAGTACTTCGCTTTCCCTTGCCAACATTTTCCACAAAATTCTCCATGATATAATCAGCCGGGGCAGTTACAATAGGCAATTCAGAGGCCGACGTGCAGAGTGGACCCAGCTGGACTCCTAGTCTTATAGTACTGGTGGATAAAACAATAGCGGCGGTTGGTCAGACGTCATGACGTGGTACTTCGACGGACATTCGCCTTCGTACATGCCTCTGCTGCAAAGAAATCTTACCAAGAAGCCCAGGAACGAAGCAAAGGCAGTTGGTAAGCATGGCTCCCTTCACCACGTCGATCTGTGGCAATACCACGAATACCAGGAGACCCGTGCCAACAGTCCTCAGGGTTTCAGCCAGTGCGACTGCAGAAATTTCCAGTACTTTGGGTTTAAGTGCGTTCTTGAAGAAGCAGATCCGGATTGAACGTAGAAACGCCATGACTTCGGGTATCGCGTAGGCAAAGAACAAGCACCATACCCAACCTATGCGTTCCACTTCGGGCAGCGTCACCTCAAACTGCCTCTGTTTCTCTGTAGGCACACAAATCCAATGTCAGATGTGTGCTCGGTTGTTGCAGGATTCCATACTAACACTGTTCGTTATACGTGTAATGTAGGTGGTATACCTGCACAGTTAATTTATCAATATGGATTATTTTATTATTATTATTATTAGAGGGGGTGGGTTTCCCGCGACTAATAGTCTATTGTAGGTCCCCATTTAATATTCTACCAGTCGCCATACCCTACCGGTACTGGTGCGTGCTATCAGCCCCGTTCAGCCAATGAGGTCGGCTCTTGGTACCCGATACTTCCCCCATCTACCAGAGGCATTGGAAACTACTTGGGGAAACTTGCCTAATTTTGCTCAGAGTCTCCTACAGACACGGGAATCTTTTACGTGCCGTAAATCTACGACACGGGACCCACGGCTTAAAGTCCGTCCCAGAGGACTTAAAAATTCCACGACCTCCGCCGGGTTTGAACCCGCGTACCCTGAGTCATGAGGTGGGAACGTTAGCCCTAGACTACGGAGGCCGCTTTATCAATATGGATACATGTAAAACATATCTGATTGCACACGATTGTAAGAGAGCTCTTTCTAAGTAGAACAGAAAGGTGTACTCCAAATTTAACTGAAATCCGATTAATGATTTCGGAAGCGAGACATGACACATATTATATGGTCAGATTACATATCCATCAACACAACAAGGAAAGTGGTATCACAGTTCGTTTTTAGGCGGCTCCCGTGTATAGATTAGCGGCCTTAAGACGAGCTTGTCATTAGTCCAACGTGTCCTACCGCCTGTTTAGAAAAGATTACGAAACTGAAGAAGCCAGGGCCCAACAACGGGCTGTAGAGCCATTGATGAATGAATGATGACTGAATTGTGATAGAGAGTTAACCGTCAGTAATTGAAGTATGATATTTATACTGAGAAATACTAACAAACATAAAATTGAAGTGGTTTGTAAGTATATGATCCGGTGTAGACTACATACCAAAAGTGCATTTGCTGAATAATATTGCTGCTCTACTACAGTAGGGCCGATTCTAGATTGTAACAGTGAGACGTAAACTTACCGTTGGGTGCGCTGCAAAACGGAATGGTTCTTTCACTGCGGAGTTGCGACGTCATGAAGAGCATGGTTCCTTTGGAGAGCACGGCGCCTCCCAGGACAAGTATGAACGTGCAGATATATGCAAGGAGTTTGATGATTCTGAGGGACGTATGCATGCAGGACTGGTCTGCCATTGACCCGCTGATGATAACGGGCGGGTTGTTCGTGAACACGTCCCATTCTTTGGTCGCCTGCACTGGCTGTTGTCTGTAAAACAGGGTTGCTTCATTGGCACACTAAGCAAACAATAGAACTAGGGTGAATGGAATCATATACTAATGACACTCTATCAACTTAAGATGTTATTTAGCGTCAAATGATATCATGGGATGTACATGTTTGATGAACCTAAAATGATGGGCAATAAGTTTTCGTGGTGTTACCCTGGAGCGGCTGAAGAAAATCACAAAATTCGTCTGTTAGGTTAGCCGGTTTCCATCTTGCGTTTTTGCCAAACAACTTCCTGTCCGGTAACAGCGCTTTCCGTTTCACGAAAAATGAAGATCATGTAGTAAAGCACACAAAATTTTCAAAGGAAAATCTTGTAGGAGGGATTTTTTCTAAGATCTAAGCGCAGTTGAGAGGATAGTATTACAGTGAATATGAAATAAATATAATTGGTTTAAACTTTCAGATTTTCTAAAAAGCGGGGAATTTCTTGATCAATTGAGCGACTGTTAGCTTCTCAAGAAGGACTCCTCCTCATACAATTAACAGAAAGATGCTGATACAAGAAAGCAGGTCCCGCAGCTCGAGAGCTTACCCATTGCTGAAGAGTGATGACGACTCATCGTCTGTTAAATTGTCGTCACTGTCGTCAGGTCCGTTTTTGTGGTTCTTCATGCCCGGAAATCTGAANAAAGAGAACATGGTGTCACATCGCAGAAGAGTAAAAAGTCATTCCAATCGCATGTAGGTAAACATAGGCAAGGGTGACGTTTGCATTGAGCACTGGCACACGGGCCGCCAGTTGTGCTGCTACTCAAGAACTTCCCAGCATATTATTGAACCCGAAGGTTCATTACCGTGTTCACAAGAGCCCTCCACTGGTCCCTATCCTAAGGGAGATCTATCCAATCCATACCATCTCATCCTATCGTTCCTAAGATCCATTCTAATATTGTCCACCCACCTACGCCTTGGTCTTCCCTGTGGACTCTTTCCTTCTGGCTTTCCCACCAATATCCTATATGTATTCCTCTTCTCCACTATTCGTGCTACATGCCCTGCTCACCTCATCCTCCCTTATTATTATTATTATTGGAGGGGGTGGGTTTCCCCNGGACCCACGGCTTAAAGTCCCTCCCGGAGGACTTGTTCCCTGAATTTTTCCGCCCTTAAAAATTCCGCGATCTCCGCCGGGTTTGAACCCGCGTACCTTGAGTTATGAGGTGGGAACGTTACCCCTAGACTACGGAGGCCGCTCTCCCTTAATATTAATAGTAATAATATTGGCGACTACAGTAAAAACTGAAAGAAGCTGAAGATAACACGGAGCTGTCAGAAATTCATTATAATAATTCAAGTATAATTATTTATTGATTTCCATGCTTACTCAACAGCTCAAGGGTCAATTTTAAGGCAAGGAAGAGCAAAAATGGGGAACAAAAGAAACACGTACACACAAATGAGAGACAGAAGAAGGCAAACTTGTATTATTTAGCCAATACAAAAATTTAATAAGTGCAATCACGCTAACAAGTATGCACGCTCGCACACACGCACACACACATACAGGGAACCCACGTTTTACAAACATTAGGTTCAAAAATTTTCACGACAAAGAAGTTTGTTAATTTCTATCTACTTTTCGCTCAACGAATTTCATTTGCGCTGCAACGAGTAATATACGCTCTTAAGTTAGGAGACTTTAAAGTGCGAATTTTATTTTATGTTTACGAATTTTCACCTGACGAACAAGAATACCTACATAAATAAAATTAATATTTTAGAAAGTACTATTAAAAGAGAAAGAGTTTTGATTCGAAGTATGTCGAAATCCATGCAAACAAGATGAACATCTGAAGCACATGTAGCTCAAAGACAGTTTGTACCCGGAGAGCGGACACTGAACATAGCAAATTCTATGTACCGAGCAGGAATTCAAAAACAGCATCTTCCGAAACAGAAGGAAGTAATATAGAGTTAAGGTAACTTGAATAAGGGTGGTGATGATGATGGTTATGACTCAGAAGAAGAAGAAGAAGAAGAGAGGAATAAAAATCAAGTTCAAGAAAGCAGTCTTCTCGGATGTGGTACCGTGTAGATGTGGTGTTAACCGACGTTTCGGAAGAACGTATCGCCTCCATCTTCAGGGTAGAAGGAAAAATAAGAAAATCCACAAGCGAAGAGACCGTGAGAACCGGTACAAGTCTGTCGTTTACAATTTCTGTTGGTCCTTGCCGGCGCAGTCATTCTCAGGTCCCAGTCCAGCGGGACTCATGTTCACATTTTACTGTTCTCAGATTCGAGACTCCCCCAAACTGGAGGGTCAGGTCCCCTTATTTATATCCCCCAGGAACAGGGTTGTCCAGTTATACCCCCAGGCACTGGGTTCCCTTTTTGTCTCCTCTTACGACTCGCAGGGCTACGGTGGAGGGATTCGACCGCGCCTCCACACGGGATTTTAAGCCTGAAATACTCGTATATCCAAAAGAAATATCAAATACAGTTCCTACTTCATAGAAATTACTGCTTTTCCATTACACGTACAGAGGCAGACAGGGTTACTCTTTTCAGGGAAATAATCGCTGTTTGTCCTGAGAACCGTGGTAATACAGTGCTGCAAACATTACTCTTTTTTTTAATGATGTAGTAAGTGATACACATAGCAACTGTTACGCAGTAAAGAGTTAAATGAATTTTGTATGCAAACTGAGAAAAATAAGTTCATTCATCAGATGTGAATGTAAGACAAGTTTCAGAAGAATGTTGAATTTCTCAATGAAAATTCCCTGTCCGATTTCTACGACCCGTTGATAATCTAAAGAAAGCTGAGTGTTGTTAACAGGCGTTTTAAGTGAACAGCGCTGTCTTTTGGGATGTGATGCCGTGCAGTTTAGTATTACCGACGTTTCGGGGGAACTTCTGCCTCCATCTTCAACAAGCCGAGGAGGCAGTCCACAAGTAGAATTTAGTATTCCTACGAAATTTCAGTTAACTTTTGTCATGGCGTCGCTTCCTCCAAAACAATTCTTTCCATAGACACCGTCGTGATAACATCAAATCTCGCAAGCAAGTAAGCTCCGTGGCCTGTTGTCAACTTGTCGGAGAAGTTAGTGCCATCTTTTGCCGAAAGAGGGGTATCGCGTCGTCATCGCAACGAATCCCCACTCCCAACAATTTAAAATATCTATTCATACATACAAAGCAAGGTTTAGCGTACCGTGCCCCAAAGTTCAAAATGTAAACTTTATAAATGCGTCACTTGCTTCCCTTCTCTTGAATCTGAATATTTTGTCTCCAAAAATATGAAACCTTCGGATGTAATTTTTTTTAATTATTCAGTGTTCATTATGAAATTTATATGAAACATTGGCCGCGCCATAGCTCAAGCGGTTAGTCGCTGGTTTCCCACCGCAGCGGCCCTGGTTCAATTCCGGGTCTGGTCAAGTGGGATTTGTAGTGGACAAAGTGGCGCTGGGGCAGGTTTTCTCCGAGTACTTCGGTTTCCCCTGCCAATCTTCATTCCACCAATTGCTCCACAATCACCCTCACCTATCATCTGGGGCTGGTACAATAGACCAGAAGTGTCCGCAGTACAAGGGACTTAGTCCCACTCCACTAGCAATAAAAAGAGGGGTGCATGTAGTAACCACTGTGCTTTAAAAAGAATTATGGAATTTGTAATGTAACAGAGAGTGAACTGTAAGAATGCAAAGATTCATGAGAGCTGAAAAGCCGGAACGTGCAGCGTCGACTGTCATTCGTTGATTAAATCCGTATATCGCGTCAGACGATGCCTTAATGAATAGAATAACCAACAAAACTCACGACTAAAACTTGCTGTTCTGACAGTTGCATTTGTTTCCATTTTTAGCCAACGAAAGTTCAGCACGAAACTTTCCTGCATGCCATTTGAACTACTCGCGCTTCCTAGACTGTCTGGCCAGGCTGTCGTCTGTACTATAATATTACGTTTTGAGGCTGGTATTGGGGGACGTTGGTGACACCCTGGGGGTAAAGAGCTGCCGGCGCGTAAGGCTGACAAATTTACTGCCAACTGTGAGCCGATTGTCTAGAAGATGTGGGAGCCTCGATGTCTCAAAACCCTATGGGCCTTCATGGCCTCTTTAAGGGATAGCTTTACTTTTCTTTTTTACCATCGATGAAGCAACATTACTCCAACAATAACGATTTCTTGTGAAACTTGTTCAAAAATACCTTATAATTTTATTACATTCTATTGAATTTCATTCTTCGCCCCTTTAAATATTAATATTATAATATTACCTTCAAAATATCATAAATAATTATTTATGATATTTTGAAGGTGAGTTCAAAGAACGTAAAAATTTGGTACCTCTCTTCGTGCTCACCTCAGTACCAAATAAGAGCCAGAGCGCCGAACATGGCGATAGAAGCAACATCTCGAGATAACAGAACAAAGGCTGAGGACCAATAAAAGGCTTAGTTATGATGTTCATGTTTAGGAGGGAATGGGGTCTAGTATTTCTGATATCTAGAGATAAGATTGCCTATCTCAAGAGCATAAGATAACAGTTTCCTGCCATACACGACCTTCTTTCCTTCGCAATCCGTATGAGATTACTGGTTTTATTTTCTAGCACTGAATATTTTGCGTGGATTCGCGTCCAATATTATCGTATTGTTTAAGCGCGATTATTTTGCTTCCCAAATTTTAATTTTTAATAGGGCATTTTATTACTGTCCACGTTAGGTGGGTCCTTTGTCACCACGGCATGGCGCGTCCTCAGGTTTCGGATGGAGGAGATACCCTCCAGTTTTGGAGGGAAGCTGTGACTATATTGAATAAGCAGTCGCGGACAGACGACAAGGGGTGGCCCTCAAGCTTGGGGTTTGGGCGTGGGGCTAACAACTCCTCACCTTAAAAAATAAGGATGTTACGAAAATGAACACAAAGTCTCGGACCTGAACGAATTCCTTGGAAAAACGACCTAAGCTAAAGGAAACGGATATGAGATTTGGCACTTAGAATGTACGAAGTTTGCATAGGGCAGGTGCGCTCAGGGTAGTGGCAGAAGAAATCTTAAAATATAAGTTAGATTTAGCGGGAGTACAGGAGGTCAGATGGGATGGAGGTGGCATCGCACCAGCAGGAGACTATACATTTTTCTATGGAAATGGGAATGAAAATCATGAATTAGGTACAGTTTTTTTCGTACATAAGAGAATCGTATCAGCAGTTAAGAGGGTAGAGTTGGTTAGTGATAGGATATCATATACAATACTAAGAGGTCGCTTGTGTGATATCATTGTTATGAATGTTCACGCCCCAACAGTAGATAAAATTGATGACATATAGGATAGATTCTATGAAGAACTAGAACATGTATTTGATACATTCCCGAAGTACCCTATGAAAATTGTGTTAGGAGATTTCAATGCCAAAGTAGGGAGGGAAGACATTTTCAAACTAACAATTGGGAATGAGAGTTTGCATGAAATTAGTAATGATAATGGAGTTAGAGTTGTAAACTTTGCCACATCAACAAATCTTACTGTCAAAAGTACAATGTTCCCACATCGTAACATCGATAAATTTACATGGACATCTCCTGATGGGAAGATACACAATCAAATAGACCACATTTTGATAGATAGGAGACGGCAGTCAAGTATACTTGATGTCCGATCATTCAGGGCAGCAGATTGTGATGCTGACCACTAACTGGTGATGGCAAAGGCAAAGGAAAGACTGGCAGTGAGCAAACAAACAACACACAGAGTTCCTATGGAGAGGTTCAATCTCAAGAAATTAAATGAGGTAGAGGGTAAAGAGCAGTATTGTGTTGAAATCTCAAATACGTGCGTGGTTTTGGAAAACTTGGAAAGTGAGGTGGATGTTAATAAAGCTTGGGAAACTATTAGAGCGAATATAAAAATGTCTGCCAAAGAGAGTCTAGGTTATTATGAACCGAAGCAGCATAAGCCATGGTTCGACGAAGGACGCTCAGAATTATTAGATCAAAGAAAGCAGGCCAAATTGCAGTGGTTACAGGATCCAAGCGAGTTAAATGGGGATAATCTGAACAACATAAGACGTGAACCCAGCAGGCATTTCAGGAACAAAAAGAGGGAATATCTGAAAGACAAAATTGATGAGCTTGCAACGAACAGTAAGAACAAGAACATAAGAGACCTGTATAGAGGAATAAATGACTTTGAAAGGGGTTACCAGCCCAGCAGTAACTTAATGAAGGATGAGAATGGTGATCTGCTTGCAGATTCTCACACTATTTTGAATAGGGGGGAGGAACTACTTCTCTCACTTATTGGATGTACATAGGGTCAGTGTTGTTAGGCAGATAGAAATCCATACATCTGAGCCATTAGTACCTGATCCTAGCCCTTTTGAGTTTGAAAGTGCTATTGCAAAATTGAAACGGTATAAATCGCCAGGCAGTGATCAAATTCCGACAGAAATTATTCAACCAGGAAGCGAAATATTACGTTCCAAGATCCATAAGCTAATTGATTCTGTATGGCGTAAGGAAAAATTGCCTGATCAGTGGAAGGAGTCTATTATTTTACCAGTTCACAAGAAGGGTGAAAAAACTGACTGTAGTAACTATCGGGGGATATCACTGCTATCCACTTCATACAAAATTTTATCCAATATTCTTCTCTCAAAGTTAAGTCCATATATGGATGAAATTATTGGTGATCATCAGTGTGGGTTTCGACGAAACAGATCAACCGCAGATCAGATCTTTTGCATTCGTCAGATATTGGAGAAAAGTTGGGAGTACAATGAGACAGTACATCAGCTATTCATAGATTTCAAGATAGCCTATGATTCAGTTAGAAGGGAAGTATTGTACAATATTCTGATAGAGTTTGGGATATCCATGAAACTAGTTGTAGCACGAAAGGGGGAGAAGAAGAATGCATATAGGATATCGGTGAGAAAGCCAGAGGGAAAGAGACCACTGGGAAGGCAAAGGCGTAGGTGGGTGGACAATATTAAAATGGATCTTAGAGAGATAGGACGGGATGTTATTGATTGGATTGATCTGGGTCAGGATATGTGGAGGGCTCTTGTGAACACGGTAATGAACCTTCAGGTTCCATAAAATTCTGAGAAATTCTTGAGTAGCTGCAGAATTGGTGACGCCTCTAGAAGNTGTATATACTCGTATATATGTGATATATGTATGTACCCTATTTACGCATGTATAGGCCGCACATTTTTTGCCAAAAATTCAAGAGGAAAACTGGGGTGCGGCTTATATTCGAAATATTCGAAATCACACTTCATTTAAAAAAAATTATATTCATAATTAATAATACAGGGTGTTCTACTCCTGAAATAATATTCCAAGAAAATTATTTTTTCTATAATTTCTGTCTGAAAATTGTGCTGCGGCCTATACACGCACGCGGCCTATACATGCATAAATACGGTATATTATTACTGTTTATACTCTATTTTGTATTATTATGATCTTATATTTTCTGATATTAATAGACTGTAAAATATAGAAAGAAAAATTTCAAGATTATTATGATGCGGTTGATTTATTCAGTTTAATTTGTTTTCGGAAATTGTGGTTCAGTTTTTAATTGTTTAAATTTTAGAACACTCTAGTCTTTATGATATCTCAGTGCCTTCTTTTTCACTTACGATTTAGAGAACTAAGTCTCTTGTCGTTCTGTTATGGACACTTCGAACATCGCGTGTCCACTAAGTTAATTAGGAACTGTTCCCTTCTTAATCTAAGCGGCGCAAGTTTTAGCCCGTCAGAAAGGCATGCCCATCGCTGCGAACAATGTATGCAAATTTTTAGGTGCTCTTATTAAAAACAATTTCTCTTGAGGACATTCTGTATTTCTGTAGTTACCTTTTACTCTTAACTTCTTGATTTTGTTGTCACGTTTTATTTTTTTATTTAGATTTAGTTCTGTGTACGCTTGGAGTGTTTGCCTCCTTTAGGCTATATATGTCAAGAAGCGCTCTGAGTGTTTTCACTCGCTCCTTCAGTCACTGTTCTTCACCCAGATGTGCTTCATTTGCTGATGCTTAGAGTTCGCGAATCAGGAGAAGCAGAGGATCCTTGGTTCGGTTACTCTCACCAGTATGATGGACACGAATTGACAACTTTTGTGAAAATATTCTTCCTATAAATATGTGGAGCCAAGAAACACTTGCGTCATTCTTTGAAGTTCCTTAAAACTTCTCGTATGTTCATTTCTGTCTCATCTTCTCTCATTTAAACCTAGTCATTTCCATGCATGAGGCTCAGAGAACAATCACGATCAACGTGATATATTAATAGGATACACTGAATTGATTTTCTGGCATTGGCATATAAACATAGCAGACCTGGGTACATACATTTGTCTCATTCATACACCGTCTATTCTCTTAGGTGGGTATGAAAGTTTCGGAGGAGCATATTTTCTCGGAATATTCACTGTCGTAAAACTTCAAATATCGTTTTAATTTATTTTACATGATTTTTATGTTTTCCCCTGGCCGCGCCATAGTTCAAGCGGTTAGTCGCTGGCTTCTCACCACGGCGGCCCAGGTTCGATCCTGGATCTGGTCAAGTGGGATTTGTGGTTGACAAAGTGGCGCTGGGGCAGGGTTTCTAAGAGTACTTCGGTTTCCCCTGCCAATCTTCATTCCACCAATTGCTCAACAATCACCCTCACCTATCATCCGGGGCTGGTACAATAGGCCAGAAGTGGCCGCAGTACAAAGGACTTAGTTCCACCCCACTAGCATTAAAAAAATTATGTTTATTCCTAATTTAATCCTGTTTGTAGGCCAACATTTTAGCACTTACCTCACTATTCAATAGCACCAAATAGTCCTGATGCCGTTATTTCTTCGCCTCCATTTTGCCCTCAGGCTTTGTCACACACGCGCACTGGAGTCACAAAGCAGCTACGTATGTTTGACCGATCGCTTCGTATACACTGCGGTTGGTGACAATATCTCTCTCTCTCGTCTCTCAATTCTCTTATCTCTCTGTCTGATATCTGATAGGTCCCATAAATACAGAAGAAATCGATTGGTATGAAGTGTACGTCATTGATTCCAACTACGTATGAACTAAATAGCCTCTGCTTACAATAGAAATACACGAGGTGTCAGTGTTAGTCATTATCTGGCAGTGAATCTGCAGTTTACATGTGCAGAAACATCACTTGAGGACATCTTTATTAAATTTAATTATATGAACTGAGAACTCGAAGCGAATGTCTTAGATATTCGTTTCATGAGATATCGGTATACTTTGAAAATGTGTGGTTAGGTGAAACGTGCTGTCAGCTGCAGTGCTCTCTCTTGTAATTCATTTGCGTTAGTTACAAAATTAATTTTTATTTAATGTACATAGAACTCAAAACATTGCTGCCAATGTTATGTCGGCTTCCTGCAAGTCTCCTACTCCATACCACTGTCAGAATATAAGCCAGCCAAGTATACTATGAAATTTACTGTGTCGGATACTGTCGCCAGTATATATTGTAGCATGTAGGCCTGTTGCTAGGCAACGACCGCGAAACAACGAGATAAAGTCCGTTGCTAGGCAGACGTCTGCTAAACGACAGTTAAGAGTAACACAGGAACTGTGTTTTCTGTGCGGTCCTTGCCGGTATGTTACAAGTAGGATAATTAAAGTTAGTGCAGTGCAGGGAACTGAAGAGTTTGTTGGTGAGTTAGAGAACTGAAATACAGTCGTTGTGAGGTGTTGCTGTTAGAAACGTATAATTGATGCACGGGGATAATTAGGGAACCAAAAGGAAGGGGAACGCCCGCCGTTGGAAGCCGTTACGAGGCAACGACTGATGAAGACACACTACGTGATGTAGTGAACTTCAGAATGTGTGAATTAGCGATAGCGCTATGGTTACTTGAAGTTACGTTCTGTAAGTGGTTAGTAAATCCAATTACCAATTCAGACCTCGTCTATAGTGACTCATACGGGTGACAGAATGATAGCTTAGCCTATTATGGTGATGCGAAAATATTTTTTTTGTATTTCTAAATGCTGTTCTAATCTTACATCTACGTTACAGGTATGTCAATTCACGAAGGTAATAATTTCATGAAAAGTGTTCGTAAGGTGAAAATTCTTAAATCGAGGATGAAGTCCTCATTACTTCACTTGCAACGGTCGCCGGGCTTCGGGTGGTAGGATTATTAATGTACAGTGAATTGGAATGTATGTGGAAGGAAACGGTCATGGCCAAATTTAGGATGTCATCCCAACAATCATAAAGAAAAACTGAGGCAACTCACGCGAAATCTCAGTTAATACTCGTGTAACCGGCGTCTCGGTCAAAATCCTAACTGGACACTTCCAAAATAAAATTTCCAAGCGTAAGTTCTTGAGCAAATTTACTTTGTCTCTGTGTATGATATTACAAAACAATAAAGATACATTCCTTCTTTCAACTCTTTCCCCCAGCCTCGTCCCTGTCTTTCGATTTGACAAATTTTCCATTTTATGAATGCTCATTATTATAATTGCAGAAATTTAGTACGTATTAACCGAAGTGAAATGAGTTCATGGAGGTAGGCTTAGGCCCACTGGGGCTGTAGTGCCGAGGAAAAAAAAAGTATGTATTAATAGCTGGTCACGGTAGCCGAGCGGTCTAAGGCATGTACTGTCTTCGCTCGCTTGGAAACCGGGATCGTGGGTTCGAATCCCACTCAGGGCATGAATGTTTGTGTGCGTTTTTCTGTGTTTGTCTATAGGTAGAGGCCTTGCGACGAGCTGATCACTTGCCCAAGGAGTCCTACCGAATGTGTAAATCTAGAAAAACCGAAGTGAACGGAGAAGTTCATGGAGGTAGGCCTAGGCCCACTGGGGCTGTAGTGCAAGGGGGGGGGGAGTACGCATTAATACAGCTCGCGTGTCATTTGTCATGTTCCGCTGATCATTGCGCTGCCGGATCCGCCAGCTGGGAACAATAGTCAGATAAAATAACAATAGCGCACAGAAATATGATTGACAATTCCGTTATAGGAACCGCGCCCTGGCACTTGAAATTATTGATGTCATGGCAGAAAATATAAATCATTTCGCAAAGTGGGTAGATAACCGGAAAATATGGCAGTCGAGTATTAGTTAATGGGTATCAGACGCAATGCACTCTGGGAAACAGGTCGAATTTCTATAGCATTACCAGAACCAATGCGGACTTTTCTCGTAATTTCTTATACAAATGAAGTAAATTTTGACGTATGTTTGAAGCTAAAATCTCAGCATTTAAACAAACGTTTATTTCCGATATTAATATCGATTTAGCATAAGATATTTCTTAGCGTACTTACTTACTTACTCATGGAACTGAGCTCTTCTTGAGGAGCAGCCAATTCTGCAGCTACTTTAGAATTTACCATCATTTTATGGAACCCGAATGTTCATTACCGTGTTCACGAGAGCCCTTCACTGGTCCTTATCCTGAGCCAGATAAATCCAATCTATACCAACCCATCCTGTCTCTCTGAGATCCATTTTAATATTGTTCACCCACCTACGTCTTGGTCTTCCCAGTGGTCTCCTTCCTTCTGGCTTTCCCACCAATATCCTATATGTATTCCTCTTCTGTCCCATTCGTGCTACATTCCCTATCCGATATTTATACGCGTATATTTATTCGTTTTCTTATTTTTATTAGACGGAAAAACGTAAGATGAAAGTTTTTGAAAATAGATCAATTAGGGCGTTGCTGAAGTCTGAGAAGTGTGAAACAAGAAGACTGCAGTACAACGCATGCAGTAACAGGAGCAAAACACAACACAGAACACGATACACAAATATATGTAGGAAGAATGCTCACATAAAAGAGGACTGGCGTAATTCGCGTGTTTGAGTGCGACGTAGGAAGAATCCTGAAAAGTTTTACTATTTAGAATTTAACGTCCTATATGACGAATACAGATTTTAGTCATTTTAGAATGGAGACATTATGGCATGCAGTACAATAGTTTAACGTGCATAAAGACACCTGAAGATGGCACATTAGTGCTGAAACATGTAGTGTGGAAGTGAAGAATAAGGTGAAAAAGGTGTATAAACTGTAAGACGGTCAGCATAAACCATTGTATGGAGGAAATGAGGGACGTAAGCCATTCGAGGTTGAAAACTAAACATAGTGTCTCTGAAAATGAGGCAGGAATATTAGTTCCTCATCAAAATTTTCTGTGTGTATATGTGCATGCGTGCGTGTTTGTGCCCCCCCCCCCCCGAAGTCAAGAAATGAACCTGATTCACAGTATATATGCATGAATTAACCAGAGTACTAGAATTGAATTGCCTTCATCGCAGATCTATAAGTATTTCTTATGTCCTTTAAACTTGAGATGTTATGTTCAGAAAGAGACTGAAAGTTGTTCCCTAATGCTGTGTAGATTATCGCATTTTGACTTCAGTGTAACTATGAATGAAACAGAAAAGAAAATAATGATAATTTGAAGCCAGTAGAGGGTAAAGGTCCAGGAGATTTATCGCATCCTGTACTCGTCTTCAGATAACACTTCTACATTCTAACTTACCTGGTATCTAGTATTCATTACCGAGGATGCAATGGCATAACAGAAACTTGAAACTGTGTTCTTAAGATATTCTATTGGTAAATTCTTATCTGCACACAGAGAAGAAAATAAGAATACAAGTCCATGGTTAGGATTTGATTATAGTCAGTGATGTTGAAATATGTGATAACCTTTATCTTCTGGTATCATTCCTGCATGGAAACCCTTTGCTGATACGGAAACCACATTTAAAGAGAAGATAGAATTGTTTCATACGTCAAATGACAGCTGTTATGGGACCATAAGTTCCACTCTTCAGAAGCTCACAGATGAAATGGAGTAGATTCACTCTTCAGAAGCTCACAGATGAAATGGAGTAGATTCACTCTTCAGAAACTCACAGATGAAATGGAGTAGTTTCACTCTTCAGAAACTCACAGATGAAATGGAGTAGATTCTTGATTGAAATTCACCATGGTTCAGGTACTGAAGAAATTTACTGCAATGTATGGAACCTGCCGGTTCATTACATTTTTCACAAAAGACCATCATTGGAACCTAACCTAAACTGTATGACACCAGTCCACACTCTCAAACCCAAATTAATTAAAATTCATTTTAATATGATCCTTCCATGTACAATTATGTCTTCCAGGTGAGCTCTTGCTGTAAGTTTTTTTTTACAGAAACCGTGCATGTGTTCCTTATCCCCTCTCGCCTGTTTAATGCCCCGCATGCCTCGTTCTCCTTGATTTGGTGGCCCTAATAATATTGTGTGAGGGACCAAAATTATGAACATCCATATCTTACATTTTTCTTATGTCTGTGTCTTTATATTCCCTCAACATTTTGTTCTCAGTCAATATTCTTCCCTCGCAGCAAGAAACCAATTTTCACACTCACACAAGATAACAAAATTATAGTTCTGTACGTTTTAATCAGTACAGGTTTAGGTAGGTGGCAGGACGGCAGACGATTCTGAACTGAATTGTTGAAGGGATTCCGCGACTTTCAATTTATTCCTGAATTATTTGTGCCTCTAGTTTTGATATGTTATTGTTGTTTCCAAATGCGTAAGTTTTGCAGACTTGTCTAACCATTCGTTGGCTTCATTTTATTATTACTTTATCCTGTATTTTAGAAGAGGTGGGGCACGCGGTAACGTACTTGGTTGAAACACTATGCTACAAACCGGAAGGACGCTGGTTCGATTCCCGATGAGGCCATTGATATTTCAGTTGATCTAATCCTTCCGGCCTCACTATGACCCTGGAGTGGACTCAGCCTCTAACAGAAATTAGTCCCGGGAATCCTCCTGGGGGTAAAGGGCGGCCGGCGCGTAAGCCTGACTATCTCACCGTTATCTATGTGTCTGTGTCTAGAAAATGTGGGAGCCTCGACGTCTCATAACCCATATGGTCTCCATGGCCTCTTATAAGGATAACTTTACGTTTCTTTTATTTTAGAAGAGGGTGTGTAAATCCAGTTGAGTATTCCATGTGAAAAAGCACAAAAGAAAATAAATTATCTGACACGAGTAAAAAGAGTTCTTCCTTAATCTGTTTTTTCCTAGTGGTAACTTTATTTATTGCCAGTTGCATTGCAATAGCTCAGTCGGTATATGGACTAGGCTATGGCTGAACGTTCGGAGAATCGGGGTTGGATTTCCAGCAGAGGCAAGCAAATTTCTCTTCTCTACAACGTCCAGACAGGCTTTGGGTTCTACCGAGGCTTCTGTCCAATGGGTACCGGCGCTTTTCCCGGGGTGCAACGTGGATAGGGCGTGAAGTTGACCACTCAACAACTACAACTAGTGCCGAGGCTATTAATGGTGAAGCTATATGCCTCTGCCATGTACTGTCTTCGCTCACTCGGAAGCCGGGATCGTGGGTTCGGATCTGTTTCCTGTGAGGTACGAACTGAATTCTTATATATTATTCTTATACACTGCCCGTCACGGTAGCCGAGCGGTCTAAGGCATGTACTGTCTTCGCTCGCTCGGAAGCCGGGATCGTGGGTTCGAATCCCACTCACGGAATGGATTTTTGTGTGCGTTTTTCTGTACAGGTAGAGGTCTTGCGACGAGCTGATTCCCGCCCAAGGAGTCCTACCGTATGTCTAAGATCTAGTAATACCGAATTGAAACGGACATTTTCATGGAGGTAGGCCTAGGCCCAAATGAGGGCTGTAGAGCCAATGAAAAAAAATATGCCTTTGCTCCCCCATTCGTCTTCACTTCTTCTTCTGCTTAATTATTTAGGAACATGGATAACATTACTGAGTAACACCAGCAAAAATCATTGTTAAGTCCTTGTCATTTCTGAATGTTGGCAACATAAAAATAACTTATTAAGTTAAAAGGGGTTTCTTAACAGTGAAAATAACCTCCACATTTGTGGAATTTCTTTTTGATTTGATGGCAACTGACTTTTTTTTTCTGAAACCTATAGATCGAAAACAGAAATATTAGAATTGACAGTTTTCTCAGATCCTCAGTCTTGGTCTTGGTGTGATTGTAGAGAAAAAATTTCAAACATCATTATCAGGAATCGAATATTGACACTTGTCTCTTTACTCAATAATACAATCACAGATCAGATTCTGGTATGCAATTTGCGATCTCAGCTCGGACACAACAATATACTACCACAGTCGATAAGTTCGTGGAATGGCCGCAAAGCGTCTTACGGGAATTTCCTGCCAATATGTTTCAGCAATGTTTTTGACAGCTATATCAACGTTGGCAGACTTGCATAGCGGCCAACGGCAACTGTGGATCTGCATAAGTGTATGTGAATACCTTGCAATATGATGCGATAAAACTACATTCCACGAACTTAATGGCTCTACCACGTATATACCTATGTCATGACGGCTGAAAGCTGGAATAATGCAGCCAGAGCGGATGTCAATTGCTGAGCAACGGTTCGGTAACCACGTTCCCGATACAACGAATGACAACGAACGAATTGTTGCTAGGTAGCAAGTTGCAAAAGATAAGATTCCCATGACAACAACAAAAGAACAGAGGGAAATTAACATATTCAGGCCTCATGGCAGTTATAAAAGGGAGTTCGAAGCAGTGAGAGATTAGTCTGAGATTCTTCATAGAGCATTCATCAGACAGACGTCGTTCAGTAAGACTTCAATGTGTGAGATGTTATAATTGACTGTAATTGTAAAGGAGAGCCAACAAACCCAATCATCAATTGAGGACCCATTATTATTCATCACGTAACCAATTATACATGACAGTGTGTACACACACACATATCATTGTGGGTGCGTGCGCTAGCCATAAGTCGGTTGGTCAGTTAAATTGCTGCTGGCCCTCACCAGCACACTCACTCCTGGTTCTAAGTCTTGTTGAGCTCCATGACCGTGATATTTGTTCTCTATTAGATATATTATTATTTAGAAGTGGGGCCCTCTCTTCTGTGAGGCATGCGCCAGTCTTCCAGTGCCCTAGTGGAGTGGAGGGATGTTATGTTTATCTTTACCTCAGGTTCTAGGGATATTAACTGCATCCCTTGGTTTACTGTTGAATGACATGATAATGAATTAAGCATTTGCATTCAATGACCTTTTATTCCAATTCTGTACTAGCTCTCAAGGCATGACAAATGGATAAATTATGCACGGTTTCACATGTCCCTTATCCTTAATTAAATATCACAATGTTTTTTATTCATAGCATCAAAATACAGTAATTGTTAAGTACAGCTGTACAAAAGAGACAAAATGTCTGTATATTTTACAATGTTGTAAAATGTGATAAAAATGAAATTGCAATCTAAATTTAATTATTTGGAACCTTGAGTTGTCATGGTTTTACTCAAATGAAAATCACGATCACGTCATATGCTACCAGATATAACTCACCTTCAGCAAAAACATTAAAAAAAAATTTGTTTATTAAAAAGATTCAAAAATAAGGATATAATTGATAAATAACATCCACCCTCTACATAGGATAGGGCAAAGCCCCTTGAGTATCACTTGTTTAGTAACAGTAGTTACTCAGTGGGCAGTGATTCTGAGTATTTATTGCTTAGAAAACAGTGTCCAAAAGTCCCTTGTAAAGTTTACAAGGTTATATGTCAGCCTTATGGATCATCTGCTTGCTAATGAGTTCCAAATATTGTTGCTTGAAGCATTATGCTTTGGAACATCTAAGTAATACCAGTTTGTTGTCACATCTGTTGACTAGGTTTATATTTACATTGTATGTAATATGTCAGAAATACCATACATCATCCTTAAAAAGAGTGGTAACAAAATGCACCACATTCTTTAACATGCAGAACCCGATGTTTTGCCCACATAGCATATTTATATGTTTTATGTGAGTCTCAGAATACACAAGAGATTACGTCCCTAAACTGCATCAAGAAACTGATCTTTGTAATAGAGAGGTGACATGTTTTATGTCAGGTAGAAACACAATAATATTATTTAGAGGAATTTCAGGCCTCAGTGTGCTAAATAATATGGATTATTCAACTTGATGTGAACAATAATGTAAGAGAGTAACTTAAGAGTCTCATTTTCCTTAGTGGTTTGTTGTACGATGTTCTCATTACCTCAGAGCATAGTGTCTTGAATATCGGGATGAGTGAGAGAGGTGAATTGAAATATATTTGTAAGGATGCGATTGTGGCCTAATTGAGATACTTCACTGGAATTTGCCTGCAGTGATTGTGGAAATAATCGAAAGACCTCAGGATAGTCAATATTGTTGCAGAGTGCTGTGCAACTGAGCAAGTCCCAGAAAATTATCAGTTTTTATCTACATAAAAGGATTATTTAAACATTACCCAATAGGAGTGAACCAGATTTCCTGGGTTCATGATAAAACATAGTACACTGTTGTGTGAGCAGATTGGAGGAAGGGCCACAATCTTCTCTGGATATATCGAAGATTTATTTTTAGCTTTCCTGACATACTACAATAAACATCTTTTCTTAACCCCTCTTCCCATTTGCAGTTCTATGGGCTCATTACCTATGTAGCATTTTGCCTTCACATGAACTCATTGACTGGACGGAATCCTACATGGCCAAGATCGTAGTGTCAGAGTCAAGTTATAGTTGTAAACATAACCAATTGCTGACTGGATTTCTACAGGTGCTCAAGCCGCTACAAATATTTTAATTCCAGTACATTTTTTCAGTTCAGTTCAGAATTTGTAATTTGGATTCTGAGTTAAGTTACTGCAGCTTTTCAGTTATTTAATGTACTAAGCCTCTAAGTATAGTTAGGTTACATCATGCATGCGCTCAGGCAGAAGAATTGGATGCTTTTCCCGTCAAATAGGATTAGTGTAACGTATGTTCACTCTATATATGTGGTGTCTCCAGAATTCCCTGTGCTTTGTTACAGTCAGTACTGCTGCATGCTAACTTGGTTTTCAGGCTTCGGTTATTGAATACTTAAGCTATTTTATGTTTACTGCTTCTTTTGACTTCTTCAGGATGTGTATGAACGTGAGATTCTATAACTTTGTTGACATTACCAGCTCAATGTCATGTAGGACAAGCTAACAAAGTGTGAAGTTTCCAGCCTGAATCATATGTCAATTTTGTTAATGACAGAATCTGTAAGTGTTGGTTGACAGAATTCCATCATCCAATCTCTGGACCATGCCAGCTGACTTCCTGCTGGCAGTGTTACTGTCCCAGTGTCATGCAGGACAAGCTAAGCAGTTTTATTATTGACAGAATCTATGAGTGTTGGTTGACAGAATTCCATCATCCAATCTCTGGACTCTGTCAGCTGACTTCCTGCTGGCAGTGTTACTGTCTCAGTGTCATGCAGGACAAGCTAAGCAGTTTTGTTATTGACAGAGTCTATGAGTGTTGGTTGACAGAATTCCATCATCCAATCTCTGGACTCTGTCAGCTGACTTCCTGCTGGCAGTGTTACTGTCCCAGTGTCTTGCAGGACAAGCTAAGCAGTTTTGATATTGACAAAATCTCTACAAGTGCTGGTTGATAGAATTCCGTCGACCTAACTCAGGGTCCTGCCAGCTGACTGAGTTTCTACTGGCAATGTTCTGTAGTCTGACTGAGTTCCTACTATCCAGCTCTTCCTCAGAGTCATAACCCTTGTTCACGTGACCTCCAGGTGGCCTGTCGAACACACCAGCTGTAGAGCTGCGATGGCTGCGACTGTTGTTGTTATTTGCAATAGGCAGACCATTGTGGGCACCGAGTGTCTTCATTTGGGACTTGCGTCGCTCAGCCATGACCGAGTTGCGTCTTACTTCCAGTGCCTTTATAGTCTCCTTGCGCAATGTCAGCTTGCGTCCCAGTACAGGTGTACCTGAACAGAGGCAAGAACTGATTATCTGCATCCATAACAACAGTGTGGGCAACAGCTATACATTTCCTGGAAGTCTGTTTCATCTTCATTTACTGAACAGCTATTTTAAACTGCATGTGTTATGTATAGTTCAGTGGGCGGATGATTGTGAATTAAGAATGGTATGGTAGGAAAGGACAATTTATTTTGTGATACTACCTCAGTGTTTGCTTGTGAAGACTGCTAAAGAAAACCATGAAAATACTCAAGCAGTGTAACCAGACTTTGGACTAGTAATCAAATGGGGCCTCAAAAATATGGAACACAAGTTATTGTTTGGCATTTTGTGACATGTGATTTTGAATATATGTATTATAACAACATTTCGGTTTTACCTGTTACCTTTGTCAGGTTCCTCCGAAACGTTGGTACCCATTTAACAGACTATGCTGTGTCACACCCAAGAATACTGTAATCATACTTCTGTTACCTCGTCAGTTCTCATATCTACACGTATAATTTATTTCTGCTATATAAAAAGTTCTATGTTTGTGCAGGAACTTATGACAAACATTATTAACATACATATTCGTTGAATGGGAGCTTGTGTATGTAAATATGAAGCAACAAAAGAAACAAAAAATTGTAAATACAAATGTGCATAGAACCGTAAAACTGGATTCGGCTGAAAGGGAATTTAAAATTTCAGGATCCAGATCCTTATAATTTTATGAGTCTCCACAAATTGAATTTTTATTAATGGATAGGATACCTGTTAGTAATACAACAATATGCATTACTTTAATATTATTTGAAGTAACAGTAAATAAGAGTAACTAAAAATAGCTTAATATTGTGACACATATACCCATTGCTAGGCAACGACTCATTATACATGTTACAGCTAACACAACAATAGAAGCTGTGTTCTCTGTGGACCATGCTATAACTCATTGCTAGGTAACACAGTAATACTCAGCAAGAGAAGACGGTGCTTTCCGTGGGGTCCAACCCGACGTCATGTAAAGAGCATCTGTTTGTAGCTAGGGGGATTAGAGAATTGGAATTTGGAGTTCAGAAGTTGCAAGAGAATTGGGGAATAACGAGAGTCAAGAGAATGGGAATACAAAGGAGTACAACAGAGTACAACAGAGTACAGCACAGAGTACAGCACAGAGTACAGCACAGTACGGGAATGAGAATTGAGTCAGTTGTCAGTAGGACATAGACAAGGGAAGTCCGTAGCTGAGGGAGAATTAGAAGTCTGTCTCTGAAGACTTAGTGTTTGATTAGAAGATTTAGTCACAGCGAGACTTTTATAATTCCGTTACCAGGATACGACTAGTGAAGACTGAGAATCCTAATGTGTGTGTAACCGTGAACTGTAAATTGTGTAGATCAACAACAGCGCTGTATTGCTTGTAAGTACGAGTTGATTATATAAGGCGTTAATAAATCCAATCATCGAATCCAAACCCCGTCTGTAGTCACTAATACACATGACAATATTTTGAAAAATGTATTTTGTGACCATTATTTTTTTGCTGGAATTCTCCCACATTTCATATAAGGTAGCTACTCATATAATTCGAGATGTTTTAAATATTTCCATTCATATAACCTTATAAAATTCGAAGTTTCCTTCTTCAAATTAAAATGTAACCAAGAAGCACCACAGAGTGGCTATTTCGCAAGAAGGAGGTATTGTGCTTCGAACTGTCATTTCACAAGAGACTACCATTAAGCTAGGGTCAACAGTTTTAATTCCTTACTTTGCTGTAAGAAATTCGAGAAGGTTGTAGATTATGGTATGCTTATTAATGAGTTCTTTCTAATTACTTGAGATTTTAAGGGTGATCTGGCTTACCTGTGACGCCACCTTCTGATGTCATGTTGAAGAACCTTTGCTTGAAGGCTACATCCAGTGTGCCTATTGGCCTCTTCTTCTGGCGGTTCTTCTCCAGGTTCTGAATGGTGCGCCGACGTTCCACTTTGTCTGTCCCCGAATCATCATTGTTCCCATCAATGCCTCGTAACCGCTGCAGATTCTTCACTATTTGAACGAAGTTTTTGTCTATCAAAGCGTCTTGGGATGTGTCCTCCACCTGTCACATACAATGCATAGATGAAGATCCATATTTTGAATTTTGTACGAAATTAAAGAGTGTAGAGCAATGTGCTCGGTCAGCATATTGCACGTATGTCTCTGAAATAACTCAGTGAATTTCGACGACCATCAGCATTTGGAATTTACTTTGAAATCCATAAAATTAATTTAACATTACTTTCTATCACTTGATGACCGCCTATGTTGTCTAGTGGTCAGAGTTCCTGGTTACAGATCCCGAGGTCCAGGTTTGATTCCCGGCGCTGCCAGATTTTCTGAGAAGTAATGGGTCTGGAACGGGGTCTACTGAGCCTCGTGATGATAATTGAAGAGCTATTTCAAGGAAATAGCGGCTCGGGTCTAGAAAACCTAAATTAACGGCCGTGGGGATTCGTTGCGTGGACCACTCGAAGCCCTCTATTCGCTAAATTTTGCACTAACTTCGCCGACAAGCGGCGGTTGCTCGGTCGGTATAGTTCCCTTGTGGACTAAAACCACGGAGTTTATTCTATCATTTGACGTAATAACGACTTAAAAAAACATAACTCGAACGTTATCGGCTTCCTCAAAATCCGCTAGTCGTAAAATATCGGCACGTGATACGAAATACAGATCCCGCTATATTCCATAATTTAAAAAAATGCTATACGATATAACAAATTCTTAAGGAAATAAAGAAGCGGCTGTTTCTTCTGTGTGCATCTAAAATTTCTCTGGGGGCACGGAGTCATTTAGTAGATTTCTAATGACTTTACCTTCTACTTAACTATCTGATGACGTACTCTCAACAATGTTTTACAAATATTTAACCGTAACGCGAAAAGAGTTATATCTGCAACACACTATTTAAAGCAAAAAGAACCAAGTACATAGAGCAGAGTCCGCCTTGAAAAATTTAAGTCCCTCATCCGCTAAAGAAATATCCCTCCTTTTATGAAAGTTGAATATTCGTTTCCAAGGTAACAACAGCCCGCCTCTGGTCTTGTTCCTAAGCCATATACGAGTATATCCAGCCCACATCCTATCAGAATATATTATTTAAATACATTTCAGTCTTATCCTCCCATCTACACCTTTGGCTTCCAAGAGATATTTTTCCTTGAGGTTTACGGACCAAAATATTATATGCGTACTACATGTCCCGTAGCAAGTGAATATTACAGCCAAGGCTATACAACGAGGACCAATAAAACTGGGGGAACCCAGTGCCTGGGGACATTGACGGGTCGCCCTGTTCCTGTAGGATATAAATACTAGGACCTGGCCCTCCGGGTTCAGAGAGTCTAGAATCTGAGATAGTAAAATGTGGTCATGAGTCCCTCGGGACTCGGACCTGAGAATGACTGTATTGGCGAGGATTAGCAGCAATTGCAAACGACAGATCCATCCTCTCGTCAGAGAGGATGTTACATATGGACTCTAACCGAAAGTGTTCATTTGGAAAATAAATTTCTGGTGGTGAATCTCAAGGGGCTTGTCGCCAAAACGAACTGATTGGCGGTAAACTGCCAGCCGTAAAGTAACTCCTACTCCTACTCTGACTCTGACTCTGACTTTGTGCAGGAAACAAGCATAAATCATACAAAATCTTGGAATGAACATGTTCGCGGTATAGGACAAGATGAAGCCAGACAGAGAAAATATAAGAGGCTTAAACTTGACGGTGGTCAATCTTACAACTGTTCACGTGGCTAAGCCGCCGTTGTAGCATAAGATATGTAAGATAGGCATGATCTGCTCTGTAAAGCCTGTACTGACAGATGCAATTGTCTATAGTGCAAAAAGAAGAATTTTCAATAGCATATTATATGTGTGAAATGTACATTTGACGAAAGGCCAAACATATTCATAAAAGACCAACTCATCTTCTCGTCAAGATGATGTTACATAAAAAACTATTACCGCAAGGGTTAACTTGAAAATAGTATCTCTGGTCACGGATCTCGAGGGGCTTGACTCCAAGACGAACTGATTGACGCTAAACCGCTAGTTGCAAAGTAAATCTGACTTTGACTTTCGAAGGAGTCATGAGATAGCAGTTACGAGAGTTTGAGGTTGGTGTGGGATGACCGCTAGCCTGCGAGGATGTGAGCCAGGGAACAGAGGACCGTCCACTGTTGGGAGACGTTACCAAGCAGTGAAGATCGTGACTGAGTAAAATAGTCTTTGTGTGACAGTGATCTGTAAGTTGTAGTCACGAGTTGTTTAAGAGTCTAATAAACCGGATTACCAAACCAAACCCCGTCTATAATCACTCTATCAGGTGAAAACATGTCATGCATAGGATTGAGGAAAACGTCGATTTTTCGGCGGACACTGGCCTTGAGTACTTTGCGAGTACACATGCAGAATCTGATTGATAAGACAGAGTAAAATCCACAATAAGAACCTGGGCATTTTTTTCTGATTTCCACTTAATACGACTCTATCTCCATTTTATTTATTCTGAATGTTTAATCTTCTTGTCTGAAAGATAAGGTTTGTACGAGCATGAAAATCACTTTTATTCACATGTCCGCTATTCCGTTTACTGATATCGAATGAATGAATCGATTGTTACTACACACGGAATGAAAAAAACAACAACATCGTATTATTAGGGGTCATTTGTAAACTGTAGTATTACGTCTGGCACGGAATTAGTTATCAGATATCGGTGTAAAACTTCGTCAAATTCTGCAAAACTTAGAGCTCTCTTTTATTACACAAAGCGTAAGCAAAAACATAACAAACTAATCATTGGGTTGGAAATTCCTACTGGTATAAATTTCGTGGAACCCTAAATGGATAATTGAGCAGTGCTTCGATTACAAGGGACGGTGGTTGAGAGACAATAATTACATAATTTTCTAAGATATGTGGTATTTGGTTCGAATACGACCACTACTACATGGAAGACAATTAACAGAACAGGTGTTCGTGCAGAAATTTTAAAGCCTGCTCTTATGCCGTATAGATCTTAGTCCTAGAGATCTGTTACTATTAGCCTATTATTGTTATTCTATTTATATACGTGAGAAGCTTATTATGTAAACACAGATTCTGCAAAATTAAAATTTGTCGGCTGTAACTCCAAAAGTTTTTACCGTCGACGTATTTGCAATTATTGATTTTCAAACGGTATTTCATATGTGATACCAAGGTATGATAACAGGGTCCATATCGTCACCACACTTCACATGCCAAGCTCCAGTAGTCCGTTAGTAATTGTCAACAGATCAAAATAAAAAGAATATTTTTGAACTACCGTCATTCTATAAGAAGTTTTTTTAAAATTATTACATAATTTCAAAGACCTATAATGGTATATCATGTCGGGATCCTACATCAAGTAAAGCTAGTATAGCTCTCACCTCACAAATTCGAACATCTACCAAGTTGTCATTACTGACTGCAGGAAATTAAATAGTAGGGCGTTGGCTTCCGATGGCATGATGGCATGACGAGGGAATATTTGTAATTTCGGACTCTAAGGAGCCCCTCGAACTATCGCAATGAAGAAAATTGGTAAACAAACACAGCTTTCCCAACGTGTGGCAAGACTTTTGGAAACGCTGAACCAGCAATTGCGATAATTGTAGTAACTTCTTACTGCTTATTGAAAAGTATGAAGAAATGCTAACTCGCAGAAGTCTTCCATTATATAATCCTCAGGGCTGTGACTATGAGTGATCTAATAGCAAAACGTTGCACAAGTTGCTAGGGCGGGGTTTCCCCGAGAGGACGCCATAACTGTCAAGCCACATGGGAAACCACACCAGGAGAGCCATGGAACACCGCCAGTATCATTTCTTTTTCATCACACTCTTCTGCATCAAAATAAATGAATCCACGTAGCAGTAAAGACGGTCAGAGAGATGCTTACAGAGCAACGAGCTAAGGCTAGATAAGTAACTTAACTCGCATCCAAATCAGTATGTAGACAGGCTAAATAAAGGTACGAAATAGCGGACTCCCAAGTGTTACAAGTTTATTCCCTAGAATTTTAAACACTGAAGAACCAGAAACGCTATCAATAAGAGATAAGATTCGACCGCAACCCTGAACCCCCTCCTTGAAGGAACCCACCGCCCACACTGCCCCTTTAATAGGGCATAGGTGCCCAAGGTGGTTGATGCAACCTAGTCTGCCGCCCCAAGGAGTGCAGCAGGTGAGATAGTACACCACTGCATAACGTTCATACCAGCTTTCGTGAAAATCGGTCAACTGGTTCAAAAGTTAAATGGCGGACTTATAGACATACGGTTATCACACAAGCCTATTTTATTTACTTAAAAGAACAGACTAAAGAGAATTTTCGCATCTAACCTAAAGATGGAAGGAGCAGGTTACTTAAAAACTTCTATAACCACCTATGATACTGCAACGTATCATAACTCAAAAGATATTAGGAACTGTCAATATAAAAAGAAATTAATAAATCATATACGTATAAAAACTTCGTACATATTAAAAATACTTGGCACAACATTTACACAATACAGTCAACTATCCGTATAGATCATTTAAAACGATTCATTTGTAATATTACAGGCGTGTTTTTACCTTTTTACCGCAATACAAGTTGAGCTCGGTGGATGCTAGGATGTGCGAAAGGGTTCCAAACCGATGGAACATCATTGCGGTGAACTGGATCACCAGAATGAGGGCGAAAAAGAACACGAACACAAGTCCTATGGGTTCCAGCTGGAGATACTCCTTGGATATCAGCACCTTTTGGCACAAGATCAAGTGGAGATCACACACTGCCTCGCATATCCAGTTCGTCAAAATAATGGAGCTTTGCACAATAACTGAATATGGGTTTATGTTGAAACTCAGTTATCTTCCTAAGTAAAGTAATTTATTTTAGGTTCGCAACCACCAGAAGAAGCTGACAACCGATGTCAGTAACCGAGACATGAACCGAAAATAAGTAACGGTTCGCAGTTCAGAAGTTGCAAAGCGAGGAATAAACCGGTGCGTCGGAGAAACATAAAATTACAAGATTTGGAACTTACTGCTCAAATAATTAAATTAAATAGAGCCTATGATTAATAAATAAATTTCGCACTAGTGTTGACTTCACACTCCCACGATCTTCTGCACTATATCCAAGTTATAAAAAAATTATGATCTCAATGAGAATTATATTAAATTATTTTTATCACCTGATTCTGCCATTTGTAAACAGGTCTGTTTTGTGTCATCTAGCTTTGTGTCACTTTTTAATATAGTTTTCATTGATACGAGGATGATGTGAAAGACTATTTGAAAAGTAATTTACGTAATGAAGAGAAAACTTTAATTATCACTAAGATTTTATGTATTCTGTAATTTGATATATCTGAGTGAAATATTTCTTGCATTTTTTTACAACGCTACGTTTAATATATACACTACTAAATACCATAAAATAGTGCTTTGTACATTTAAACTGTGCGCATCTTCACCATAATTTTACGATACTAGCTTATGTTTGTACACTACTTAAATTTTAAAATATACGACTTCAAATTTACTGTACAATTTCATATTTTCACTCGACTTCTCAGAACTACTGTAAATTCTACACCATAAATTTATTTTCAACTATTTATACGTAATTATCTACAATATTTTACAGCACTGGGGTAGTATAGACAATTGTACCAACTTGCACACAACACTATTCTCATGTATAGGCCTACTCAACTAAGAACCAGTTAGTTACATCTTCCTCACAAAAGTCACAAATCCAACATTCAGTTGAGATGAACAACACTTAAACTTGTTTGGGAAATAAAATTATGCTTCATCTTTGCCAGACACACATGATTTGTGTCTGTTATGAGGTTATGCCAGAAATAGTTCTTATTAGTTAATTTTATTTATGAAATAGTTAATTTAATTTCCCGAACAAGAATTACACAGCCAGAGACAACATATAATTTGCGATGTAATACGAAACATTTAAAAATGTATATCTTTTTAAGACGAGAGTCTGGATTTGATATTTCAAGAAACTGGAAGGACATATACTAAAATTAATATGACGCCTGTTTTCTTAATATAAACAAACTGAGAAGCTGAATGTTATCCTTATAAAACCAATATTAAATACTATATAGGTCGAGATTTGGGTTGTGACGGAAGAGAATTTGTTGTGTTCTGGGATGTGACGCCGTGTACTTCGATAGATAGACTTAGCAACATTCAACCGAAGCGATGGCACCCACTACCAAATGACACGGCGACACGTCCCGGAAGACGTCTTAATTTGTAAATTGCTTAAACTTTTCAATTTTTTTTTTAATTTATATTTTGTTTAATTCCAATAGCCCTTCATTGGTTAGTTAGATGAAACGTATAATTTGTAGTCTTGAGTTTAGGTACAAATTCTTAACATAGTAAAATTAGACTAAAATTTTTTTTTCAGTGAAAAATTATCTGTGTATATCACACACCAACTGGATAACAAATTTAGAATCATAGTATTATGAAGCCTGTTAGCTTCAGTATGAAATATATTGAGACGGAAAATAATTCGAAATTAATATATGAGGATAAGTGAGATAATGAGTAAATAATCGAAATAATCTGAAGTATTATCCGCTTCCGATAAAAGGCGTTAGAAATTCAAGCCAGAATCTAATTTCTGCAAGTTGTTGAGACATATTTATGTATATATTATTTATGCATATATTCTGTTATTAAAGCGAAAATACGTTTTAATGACATCTTGAAGCAAAATGGTTGCCTTAGGTATGATATTTTTAAGGTTGTTTTGCATTATTCACAGGCTCGTATTTATAATAGAGACACAGCGTGTTTTGTGAAAGGTAGGGAGTGAATTTCAAAGTGTTATTTAGATAAAATTCAGCCTTTAAAGTGTTAAATTATATAAGGAGAAATGTAAAACTATCTTTAACGCTAGAATAGTAGGTTAACAGCTTTCGTATACAAATCTGTCAACCAGATATCTATTCGTCATCTCTGACTGTGGTAAGTAAAACACAGATATTAATTAAGAGACACACGTGGCATGCAACAATAGGGTAGAGATAGGTAGAGGCCGCGGTGGTCGTTGTTCTCCGGGCGACGTCACTAGGCTCCTGCTTCTTCCTGCAGAGAGGCTATCAGCGTCGATTGCAAGACAGAAATGAATGTCTGATTAATGAGTTTGATAACGTCCGTGTTATGTTGATGGATATGATATACGAGGTAAGGCTTTCTCGGATTATTCTATTCGTTTTAATTTTGTACCCGAATTTTGTGCAATTTGTTACTGCCTTTAGTATTAATATTGACGATCTAGGCCACAGGTTCTTTACTTGGTTTGCTGTAACAGCTTGGCGTTGCTGGAGCAGGGAAGGAGAGTGTGGTCAGATAAAAAAAAATCATATGTAATATTTAAGATTATCACGACTGTGACCATATATATCTTGGTTTTCTAACGATAAATGGTATAATGGTACAAATTCCGTCCCAAGTGCAAACAATATATTATGTGTCCTTGATCTTGCTCCTCTACACTACATGTTTCGGCCTCAGACGGCCATCATCAGGTGTATAACACTCACGTTGCTGTCACACTGCACCCAGCCCAAAATTTAACATTTAAAACACTTTCCTTGTTATTATCAACATCTACTTCTTTGATATCTGTCTGGTTTGTAGATTATTTTACACACGTTAATTTTGACGTTCCTGTAGTAGCACTATAAAATCTTTAGTTCTAATTTTAAAATCTTTTAAAATTTTTCTCTAAATTTTAAATTTAAAATTGTTAGGGTTACTCGCCCTATGTCTAAAGTGCTGCAGCGGCTAGTTCTTGTTTCCACACTGTATAGGTGTTATCCTGTGTAGTCTTCCTGTGTGCGTGCCGCTGTTATTCTTTACTACGTGTGCACGTGTGTAGAGGAGCAAGATCAAGGACACATAATATATTGTTTGCACTTGGGACGAAATTTGTATCATTATATCATTTATCGCATGGAGTGCAACAGGATGCTTAAATATAATATTGGTTTTCTAAATTGTCTGTTAGATGGCGTCTAGGGTTTCGGAGAAAATTTATTCATCCGTCTTCTGGGTATAAGTTATTACCATAAAGGGAGAAGCTTCCTTCGATGTGCTTCTAACCGGCTGCCAGATCACACAGTTTTATAACCCTAAAGGCCAGCATATAAAAATGAATCGTATTTGTCTAGGATGGGCAGAACAAACTAAATATCCTGTAAAATAGAGGCACGTGACCAAAGAGAGGACAGAGAGATAATTAGCAAAATTAATTACAAAACAAATTTATATTAAAATACCAATATTGTCGAAACCAGAACTCTTTATATATTTTTTCATTGTTTACATTGCAGGCAACCTGTCAGAAAATGTACGACTATATTAAATTATTAAACGGCATTTAGAAAAGAGTTTGGGTTCTCACGACATACAGGGGACTGGTATAGTTACATTCTTTCTTAATTCGAGCAGTAGATGGTGCTTCGCGTGCCTTCCGATTTTCTTTCAGGGAAGAAACTTTCAGTTCCCTCTTGCACAGGAGAATGAGTGAACCAAAAAGCCGATTTGAACATGATGGTGAAAGAAAAATCCCTGCCGCCGGAGGGATTCGAACCCCGGTATTCCTCGCCGTAGATAACCACTGTACTGACTAAGCTATCGAGGCGCACTAAACAAAATTTCCGTCTTTGAAAAAGAAAACAAATTTGTGTTAACGATTGTACAACATCTTAAGCTTGGCTTTCCTCGGGTAGCGGTACCGTAATCAAACGGCCGTAATATGACGGTAAATGACGTCACTAAAACGTTGACCACCAACGCTTTCTAGGAAACCATGTTCCTTTGTTTCCATGGCAACGTTTTAGTGACGTCATTCACCGTCATATTACGGCCGCTTGATTACGGTACCGCTACTCGAGGAAACCCAAGCTTTACTTCTATGCCGGGCATTTATGTAAATATGTATCTTGTGGTTGGAAGGTGGCTGGAAGGGGTCTTGGGCTTTGCGTAAGGATAAGGCGTAAGAACCATAGACCTAGGCGCTATTACCGATATGTAGAACACTTTCTGTTTAGCGAGCCAAAATGCAATTTTAAGAGCAATGAAAGTCTTGCAGTCACTTGTCATCATTTGCTGTCAACCTAAAGCTCTGGGTGTCGAGAAAATCATAGGTACGTCTGTAGGTTTATATTGGATTAACATCCCGATGCATGTTAAATGAAGTGGTATGCAGTTTAATTACTCTTCAATAAACTTTTCCCAGAAAATGTTTATGGTGAAATATATAATTAACGAACTACGTGGAACAGAATCATTTAGTCGCTCAGACCAAGAAATTCATGGAACTCCGTGGTCTGTAGTCCGCAAGCGAACTATACCGACCGAGCTACCGCCGCTTGTCGGCGAGGTTAGTACCAACCTCCTCTGTGGTCTAGTGGTCAGAGTTCCTGGCTACAGATCCAGAGGTCCCGGGTTTGATTCCTGGCTCTACCAGATTTGGGTCTGGAACGGGGTCCACCCAGCCTCGTGAGGATAATTGAGGGGCTACATGGAAGGAAAAGTGGCGGCTCCGGTCTAGAAAACCGAGATTAACGGCCGTAAGGATCCATTGCCCTGACCACGTGACATCCTCTATCCGCAAAAGTTGTAAATTCATTGAACTCGAAGATTAATTACATAACTCACCACTGATGCCTATCCTGAGCCAGAAGAATTCAGTCAATATCTTCTATTTCTTTTAAGGTAATCTTTAATATTATTCTCCCATCTAAATAGGGCTTTCAACGGGTCTCTTTCCTTCACGTGTTCATCTAAATACTTTGTATGCCGTTCTCATCTCTCCCATTTGTCCTACATGCTTCGCCAATTTCACCCTCCTTTATCTGATAGATATAATAATGCCGATGATAATAATAATAATAATAATTTTATGAAGAGCATAAACCACGAAGTTCCTCCTTATATACATAATCCTTATGAAAATTATTTACGGCTTGCATGTGGATGATAACATGTAAATAAATCTATTGGGTTCTGATGGAAAACATTTTTCATGATTGGTGCATAATTGAGTGAATTAAATAAATAAGATATCTATAGTGGCAACAATATATCTCGTGATAAATTATTTAGTACATATATTAAAAGTTTCCCGACCAAGTAGTTTCCAGTACCTCCGGTAGATGGGGAAGTTATCGGGTACCAATGCCAGTAGAGGGCCGACCTCGCAGGCAGAAAGGGGAGATAGCGGGCACCAGTATCGGTAGGGTATGGCGACAGTAGAAATTAAAGGGGGCGTACAATAGACTATTAGTTGCGGTGCATGGGGAAACCCACCCCCTCTATACTGAATAACTGAATAGTACATATATTGCGTTCTTTACATCGGAACAGAAAGTAAATTGGAGCATGTTCGTTGCACCGTGACCAGTTCCTTGTTATAGTCCACTTTTCTTTACTGCAAGACTTGAATTGCTACAAGTTGCTGTAAATAATTGCTAACCTCGGATTTTCATAAGACCCCTTTGTTTAAATCGAAATTTTAACATCGATACTTACAAGGCATTTAACGCAGGAAAGTAGATATATGTTAAATGGTTATGAATAATAAATGAAATGCAGCGTTAATTTGTCGAGCAGAAAACACATAAAATGATTATCACAACAGATAACCCGAAGAACGTCTGGGTTTGTTTCTGAGAACGAGGAGAGGATTTTGGACAGTGATGAGAATAAGAGACAATTTGATGTTATGAACAGAATGTACACAGAAGACATCAAGCCACACCATCAACACAGAAACCAGATACCAGAACTAGGCTGTACCAAATCAAACCTGGTCGGATCACATCAGTATATTTGTTGTACTTCCTTGCACCAATACAACCTGAATAGCCCAGAATGAACTACACGTTATCAGAGACCTCAGGCTGCTTGTCACCAGACCAGACTCTCCACATAATATGAGGCTTGGCGAGGGGAAATCATGCTAGGTTGCTCTAAGAATAAGGAAATCATGCTACACTGATATGGCCAAGTCACACTAGATTCAATTTTGCACGTTATTGCAGATCACACTGTTCTGGACTGCATCTGAAAGAGCCAAGTTGGAGTTCAATCAACTGGAGTAACGGCATTAGTCAAATTTCTTTAACAAAAATATATAGTTATTCATTAATTAGTAACAGAACAGGAATATTATCAGATATACTTGTTGGAAAAAAGATTATAAATAATAGTATCAAATGGGATGACTTTGTGCCAGTGTGGGCGAGTTTGTGCCATGTCACTTTTATCAGAATGTGAAATAATTTTATAAGCTGTACTATTAACTAGAACAGAAATAAGTTTTAGCTTGTTTCTGTTCTAGTTAACAGTACAGCTTATAAAATGACACCACGCTGTGATAAAAGTGACATGGTACAAGCTCAACCATGATGGAACAAAGTTACTCTGTTCGCCTAGTTCTGACCGAACTAGACAAGAGGAAAGAAAATTCTGAAAAATCAATATATAATCTGTTTGATCTATTAAATCTCTCAAGTCAGCAATAGGGTAGAACTAGGTTTCACCTTGTATTAATTGATTTTACTAGACTTTCTATCAGGCCAGTGTAAGTAAGACTAGGCTTGATCATGCAGGACTAGACATGACCACAACAGATCAAACTACATTTTAACACACCTTATTGGGTTCAGCCAGAATATACCAGGTTTGATCACAGCCTAACAAAAGAAACCAGATCGGAATGAATCAAGTTTGATCACAGCAGAGCAAACAAGACCAGATCTGACCATACCAAACTAAACCAGGTTTAATCAGAGCAGACCAAACAAGAGAAGGTTTGACCAGACCAGAAGTCAGTTATACCAAACTGGAAGAGATGATAGCCGTTAGTCCATGAGCACCGCCGGAAGACTGTACAGGCGTGGTCACCTATTGTCTGGTTTTTACCTCTGCTGTCTCCTCAATGTATGTGATGTTAGTCTTGACCCCGAGCGGCCAGTCTACGTGGAGCATATCCTTATTGAGTTGCAGCAAGAAAACGATAAGAACAAATAAAGCATTGAACATGAAGAAAGCAAACACCGACTTGTTCCTCAGCTCGATGAGGTCGGCTGCAATCCGAGCCTGTAAACACACGTTACAACACATACCAGCAATCAGTACAGAGTTAACACCGGTTACTTGCAGTTTCCCAGAGATTTCGGAGATTTTGCTGCTTTTATTAGAACCAAAAGTCCATCATGTCACTGCACATGATGATAATTCGTCGAGCGATTGTGTTGTTATCTTTAGTACTTACATGGGGATAGGATGTCTACAAAAGATAGGTGAACGTGGCATATCTGTGAAGCACTTAACTGTATCATCCCCTTGACATGACAAATGACTATGTACGCATAACTGAATCCAAGAAGATTTTATGCAAATTATTTATACTTTAGAAAAAATGAGTATCAATTTTGGGCATCTTCGCTTGTGATGAGTATTGCCTTAATGCTCCGAATTTTTTGTATGTCACATGACATCAGCATAACCGTCTCATTGTGGTGTTCCTATGATTGAAACCGAAGACTTGACAAAATTCCATGAGCTGAGCTCCATGATTGATCCACTGACCTGTTTAATATTCCTAACTATGGGGCTTCAATCCCAATTAATCAACTATACTGTGACAATTAATTTTATGGCAGAGATTTAAAAAATGTCCACTCGCATGGGACAGAAGACTCCTCTGCCAAAGTATGAGTAATTTGGTCAGGGCATTAACCTGACCATTCATTTCCTTTCAGCTCTGAGATGGAGCTATACATCCACTCCCTCATATGTGTTTATGATGTGCTTAATTAAACACAGGGATTTCACCGTACCCCTTTTAGTCTGAGATAAAGCGATTTTGTCAATTCACACATAGAATTTTAGTAGTAGACCGCATTATTGGGAACATAAATAATTTATCTACAAAATCATAAAGAAAATTAATAAAATAGATCATGTTTTTAACTTGGGTGTGATGAATATTTTTCTTCCCATACCACAGCCTTTTAAATTACTCCTTCTCATAATTTCAAGGAGAACTGTGAAAGCAGGAAAAGTTACCAATGAGATCTCTGGGAGACGAAGCAATCGGCGTGACAGGATAAGCTACATGCTATGGTGTCTTACCTCCTGTGTCTCCTCGACATATGTAATGTTGGTTTTGATTCCAAACGGCCATTTTATGTGAAGTTTGTCCTTACTAAGTTGTAGCAAGAACACGATGAGAACAAACAGTGCATTCGTCATAAAGAAAGCAAACACTGAAGAATCCCGCAACTCTTTCAAATCCTTGGCTACTCTTGCCTAAAACAGTAATTATTGCTAGGAAAAAATGATTAAGAGAAAGAAAACAAGTGAGAAACCGTGAAAAACCATTAATATACAAGAAAACCAGAGTTCATTATATGTTGCCCATTTGTTATTGTCATTGAAACGTTAAAAAGTGAGTTGGAAAGTGGTTTAGATATTAAAGAACTTGTACAATTAGCTGCCTTGTCCGTGCTGTGACAAGGATGTAAATAATATTTAAATAAGTACAGAATATTTTGTTACAAGCATAGATGCATAGTGAAATTAAACTGAAAATATGTGTCACCTTACAGATCAATTACTCAAGTGGTCATAATGATTTGTCACTAGGTCTTTGCCATTAAGTGATCCAGTAAGAACAGGTCCTCTTTCAAATTACCTTCAGTGCATAACAATTGGGGTCTCATTTACACCCTCCATCAGTTCTGATACACAGCATGCTATGCATATGCTTAGAAAGCAGAGTGTGTGCAACAAGAGTTGGAGCATGAACTGTATGATATACTTGAGTTTTTCTTTAAATGGTAACAACCATTATCATCGCCATTATCAAACATTCTTCAGAGCAATATTTGTTTAATCTGTACACACCCCAATTTTAAAAACAATGACACATACAAATTGACATAAAGCGAGGAAGACCGTGCCATAGCTCATAGTCACCGGGTTTCCACTGTGGCGGCCCGGGTTCAAGCCCAAGTTAGGTCATGTGGGATTTGTGGTGGACAAAGTGGCACTGGGGTAGTTTTTCTCTGAGTACTTTAGTTTCCCCTACAAATTCTCATTCCACCGACTGTACCAAATGGACCCATTCTCACCCCACCTGAAGAAACTATAAAAAAAGAGGGGAAGATTTTACAGTAACCAAAGTTCCTGCATATGGGCCTGTAAACGCACCTGACCTACATGTTCAAAGTCATATAGCGTATAGGCATAGGCTCTAAATTGCTCTGAAGACTGTGATGAAGACTGAAGGGTCAGACTCTGAGAACTACAACATTCAGAATATTGCTTTCTTTCTATATTAATCAACAAGAAAAATAATATTTCCACTACTTTATATTTCATATATTTGTATGTTACATTTCTTGGTCTACTGGATATTTAAGTACAGACTGTACACACTTTTACAAAATGGGATAGTCCTAACGCCTAATTTTTGGAAGTTGAAAGTACTGAATCAACATTTTCCAAAGTAGTTCGTTATTAAGTTCGTTTTGTTTAGACACAAATTTTTGAAAGAGTTGCTATGTCTTATATTCGAAATAGCGCTTCTGAGTCATGAATCTTATTACTGTCCTTCAGATGGATTTCCTATATTTCTCAGTGCTTGACAACACATCACAAATTTACAAATGTTTCAGGAATTAATGGATCTAGGCTACTATGGAAGCATTTAATTTTCTTCTGCAGCTCACTAAAATGAATCTAGCACTTTAAAAACACTGGTAACATTATATACCATCTGCTTTAATGTTCAGAATTTCTTCATTTTGACCAGTGAATGTATTTATGGGTTTTATATGATTATAAGAAAAAACAGCAGTAATTTTCTTAGCTGTATCAAACTGATTCTCGTAATGGAGCCGAGGAGTGTTTTCTGAGAAGTATGAAATTAATTTTTATGTAGACCATATTATTTAGACAAGCTTCATGCTTCTGTAGCTTAAGTCTATCACAATTCCTTATTCAGAACATCGACTCAACTCTTCTTCAGAAAGGGGGAATATTTGTGCTACAGCCACAAATTCAACTTCATACATTCCAAGCTATCAAGAGCAGAATAGCAATATGGGTCCAGTGTACCGCTGGAATGGAAGGTAATTATTTCCGTTATGTAAGATGAGTCCATTTTCTAGACATGGGCCCTATGCGATATAAAGCAAGGGAATGATAAGGTAGAAGCAGAAGACTGGATAACGCTTTTGGTGGCGCACACTTCATAGATATAGAGAAATTTATGGAATCAACGAGTTTTATGAATGTATTACATAAGATGTAACATGCATAGGCCTATTTTAAGAATGCCTGTGGCTTTTCTTTCAATTGTGAATATTTAGCGAGATCACACACTTAAATCTTGAAATTGTGTGTACGTTAAAGCAAGTGGAGTAACCTATCTGCTTGTCAGACTTTGAGCTTGTTGCTGTGTTTGTGCAGTACCTCGTGAGATAGTAACAGTGAGATACACAGACCTTCTCCTCTTTGTTCTCATCAATGGGGTGCAAGTATTTCTCCAGAAGATCTTTCCAGAACTGTGCTTCCGCACTCGAGATGTAGTCCACCTCGCCCTTCTTGAGGTCTCGGTCCTCTATCCAGTATGGGTTGATCATATCGTCTCTCTCCTGCTTCGGGTCTGCATAACGATAATGATGATAATGTTATAGGCATAAACGGTCCTTGAGAATCCGTCAGTCGCTTAGCTGGGCAATACATACCTCATCTTTTAAAGAACTCGGAGGTTTGTTACCGCGTTTATGTCCACCACTGGCATCTGTCCAGAGCCAGATTAATGTAGTCCACACCAAAAATTATTCTTCTGCTTCTTTAAAGAATCCACGTCTAGGTCTTCTAAGTGGTTTCTTGCTTTATACTTCCCAACTACATTTTGCATACTTATCTTATGTCCCTCACCATTTAAACTTCTAACTTGATTTTATAATAATATTTGCTGAAGAGTACAAACTATGAATTTCCTTGGTATGTAATTTTCTCCATCCTAATGTTACTTACCCTGTCTCACTACTACTATTTCTAAGGGAGCCGGGCTAGCGTAGTCGGTATAGCGACTAGCTATGGGCTGGACGGCTGAGGAGTCGGAGTTTGAGTCCTGGAGGGGTCAAGACTTTTCTCCATATCATCCAGACCGGCTCTGGGGCCTACCCAGCCTCATATCCAATGGGTACCGGGGGCTATTTCCCCGGGGGTAAATCGGCCAGGACGTGACGCTGACCACTTACCTCCAATTAATGCCGAGATCAAGAAAATGTGAATCTATACATCCACTCCCTCATACGCCTTCATGGCACAGTGCTTAATTAGTTAAGCACAGGAACAACTTTACCTTACTAAATTTACTACTACTACTACTACTACTACTACTACTACTACTACTACTACTACTACTACTACTACTACTACTACTACTACTACTATATCTAAGGGAGTCGGGCTAGCGTAGTCGGTATAGCGACTAGCTATGGGCTGGACGGCTGAGGAGTCGGAGTTTGAGTCCTGGAGGGGTCAAGACTTTTCTCCATATCATCCAGACCGGCTCTGGGGCCTACCCAGCCTCATATCCAATGGGTACCGGGGGCTATTTCCCCGGGGGTAAATCGGCCAGGACGTGACGCTGACCACTTACCTCCAATTAATGCCGAGATCAAGAAAATGTGAATCTATACATCCACTCCCTCATACGCCTTCATGGCACAGTGCTTAATTAGTTAAGCACAGGAACAACTTTACCTTACTAAATTTACTACTACTACTACTACTACTACTACTAATAATAATAATAATAAATCTGTTATCGATAACCGTACAGATAGAAGTATCCTTCCTTTGGGAAAGTGCGCAGACTCACCTGAGTTTACGGTCTCGCTGTCCGTGTCATGAACCTGGTCCTCCTCCGCAGGATCCTCAGCCAACGAGCCCAGGTGGTGATCGCGACTGTTGACAGACGCAGTACGTCTCCGTGACGTCAGCTGACCATGTGGGTCCAGCACCCTGCAGTTGACAACATTGAAATCAAAACCTACATAATTTGTTCGCAAGGCAAGCGGTGATTTCCGCTCTACGAACCGAGCCTCTGTCCATTGCCGACGAGTTCTAAATGCGTAGATTAAGTTCAGGTGCCTCATTAATTGAGGGATTGATGTGAGAATACAGGGAGCAAAACAATTCGTAATCTAATTATTTCAATGTACATGTCTTTTCCCGTGGATTCGTAAGCTGCCCGCTAGAGATGACAACTTTCTCGTAGTTGTCCATCAGACAAACATGGTTGGGGACACCAGCCGAATTTCTTAACATATGTTGAATCACTTCACTGAACATTAAGCTGAACAAACAACACTGCTACATTTTTTTTCCTTAGCACTACAGCCCCAGTGGGCCTAGGCCTACCTCAATGAACTTCTCCGTTCACTTCGGTTGCACTGCTACCTTAGACCTGTATACGTTTCTTGTGCTTCAAATTACCGACTTAGTTCTGTCACAGATCTAACCTTGTTGAGCTGTCATTTGTTTGGTTCATAAATGTACATATTTCGAATTTGTTTCATGTTTAGAATTTCATTCATCAGGCTCCAACCGAACATACTACCGAGGCAGACATTTCCTGTCTTGTATTAGGAAAGTGAGAGATTGCGTCTCGGTCAGTGAACAGTCCTCCTACTGATGTTTTCGTGATTTTCATTAATCTCTCCCATTCTTATCTGATTTGTGTCTTAAATAAGTGTGTACCAGTCCCTCTGTATTCACTGTCTGAACACTATACAATTTCTGATCTGATTCCCGGGAATACCAATTTTTTTTTTTTCTGAGAAGCAGTGTGAGTCTGGAACGAGGTCCATTCAGCCTCGTGAGGATAATTGAGGTGCTATTTCCTTGAAATAGCACCTCAGATCTAGAAACCGAAATTAACGGCCGTGGGGATTCGTTGCACTGACCACGCGACACCCTCTATCCGCAGAAGTTGGGACTAAACTTCGCCGACAAGCGACGGTCGCTCGGTCGGTATAGTTCGCTTGCGGACTAAAATCACGGGTTTTCTTTATGTTGTATAAGGTTGTAATGATAAAGGCAGGCCCACATAACGTGATGTGTGACAGCTTTCTCCTTCTGTTGCCTTACTGAATTGTCTTCACAGAGAATTTCCGAACGTCAGAAAACATATATGACCTTATATATAATTTCATGGTCTCATGTCAGTGGAAATTCATATTATGGTCACTTTCATTATCATACTGTGCAGTCTAGCATGTGAATGTCATGGTTTCGAAGAAATTACCGTCTCCAGTTTCAGATTAGAAGTGAGTTAAATTGAGAAAGAACATATTTACGCTTTTTACAGGCTGCTGAATGGAGGTGGAGGTCTTGTGATGGGCTGAGGCCCAGCCCAAGGAATGCTACCATATATCTGAAGGATTGACATTTTCAGAATTAATTCCAAATCGGAAAAAGTCCAGTGGATTTAATCCTTGACAGTTGAAAAAGATGACAGAGAAATATATTTCTGTGTTTCTGTTAAGTAATTACTTTATCAATTAATCAATTTCAATATATTACTTTAGATAGACGTGGACGAACAAACCTTTCGATGGTCTCGAGGCGCCTCCCGAGGCTATCCAACGACTCAGCAATGCGGAGGAGTTGCTGCTTCTCATCTACGGACTTAGGGTGTGTACACAGCATTACCTTGATGAGCCCCGCAAGGGAAAATTCGATGGATCCTTCGTCACTGTCGTTACCGCCCCCTCCACCGTTCAGGAAACCCAACAGCGATTTTTGCTTTGCCTTCCTCTTCGCTTCTTCTGCTTCCTTCTTCTCTTGTTCCAGCTCCTGCAAATTCATTTGTCGGTCATGTGGCTTCTCTTTCCATCAGTAGGTTAGTAGCAACCCAGTACAAAGTCTTCATAATATGAGATCTGTTGTTCTCACGGCGGTGTCAAGATTTAGGTCTTTCGGATGTTATGGCATGTATCTTGGTGGAGGCACCTATGTTTCGGAGGAACCTGCTGCCTTCATGTCCAAAGAATAAGACAGAGGCATTTTTAGAAACGTCGGTACTCATTTACCAAATTATTTATAGGGCTGCGTGACATCTCTTGATTTTAATTTTAAAATTTTAATTTCATATCTTTGTTCTTTTGTTACAATATGAACTCTTTTCTCAGGACTACTAATTAAAATATGTCAACATTGTACAAAATTCGATAAAATAATAACAATTATTACACCGTAAGCCTCGAAAATGTTTTGAACGAGACACGTGATTTTAGAGCGAACTGACTCATACAATTACACTGATATACGAGTATCTTTCATTCCGTTATCCTACAAGTGTATTGAAGCACAAATTCACTGACTACACGTCTGAAGAAGTTTTACAAAGCAGTGTACATAAATGAAGGGTTGTGCATTAATATTTTGGGACTGTAATATTTTTTACAAAGGCATATTTCTCACGTACATAAAATGCCATTCACAACGGGGCATACAATGTACTGAATTCCAAAATTTGGAAGCTGACAGTTGAACCACTGCAACCCATTCCTGTCAGGCCGCCCTCCCTCAACACGAGACTTAATGTTCACACAGTGATATCACAAATTCAGTCTTCTGTGACGTGACACAGTGCAGTTTGGTAAATAAGTACAGATGTTTTGGAGGAGACTGCTGCCTCCTCCAAGAGAGAATATTTAGATGGACTCAGCATGATCCTCCAAAACGTTTATGCCTTTCTTCAAGAGTAAGCGATGTCATGTATGAGAAGACGGTAATCTGTTTTGAAATAAAATATTTTTCTTATTTTATAAAGTAATGGATATGAGCATATGCGTTTGTAAACATTTTCGAATATTTGAAAAAACTTAAAATTAGGTATTTTTTTTTTCCTTGGCACTACAGCCCCAGTGGGCCTAGGCCTACCTCCATGAACTTCTCCGTTCACTTCGGTTTGTCTAGATCTTACACATTCGGTAGGACTCCTTGGGCGGGTGATCAGCTCGTCGCAAGGCCTCTACCTGTAGACAAACAGAAAAACGCACAAACATCCATGCCCTGAGTGGGATTCGAACCCACGATCCCAGTTTCCAAGCGAGCGAAGACAGTACATGCCTTAGACCGCTCGGCTACCGTGACCGGCAAAATTAGGTATTACTAAGGGAAATTATCGAATTTAAATATATTCGGGGTATTTTCGTCTGAAATCAACACTGTGAACCATACATTGAGAAGAATACCTCACAATATTACCATTAGCTGCTTGAATGAAGCCCACCACCATCCTGAAGATAAGGGAAGTGCTGGAGATGTTGAGGTATCTAGAGAAGCTGGGTAGATGTATTAAGAGAGGAAGCCATCACCAATAGCCCAGCTGGAACTACAACACCTCATTACAGTATATAAATTCAAATACAAAAACATCATCAAATACAGCGAGCTTCTGATGTAAACATCAATTTCTCAATTGTTTCTTTTTAAAAATTTATAATAAATGTAAAATCAAAAGTGAAGTTAACCCTGTAACACGCCGTGAAGGCCCATAGGGTTGTGATACGGCTCATAGATGGAGGTAAGGTTGTCAGCCTTACGCTCCGACCGGCCTTTACCCACAGGACGATTCATGGTACTCATTTCTGTTAGACGCTGAGTCGACCTCAGAGCAATAGTGCGACTGGATGGATTTGGTCAATTGAAAAATCCAATGAACTCATCGGGAATCGAACCCGCGACCTTAAAATAATTTAATAGTGTGTCCTGAAAATAGGTTTTAAGCGTCTCTGCCTCTAAAAGAGACCATGAAGAATCCATCCAAATCCGAAGCCCTATGTAAAATTTCGTAATGGTACTATTTTATGGTAAGAGATTTTTAGGCCCTTCAGATGTCGTCAATTAGAAGTATGTATGAAAACGTTTAAAAAAATACCACTGATTTTTACTACAAAAGCTCACTGGTTAGTAACACTCTGTACGCACTTTTTTCGTCTTCTTGACGGCGACTTCGCGGGTTCCCCAGGAGACGACGTTGAGGTTTATAAGAGAGTAGAGAATAAGAAGAAGGTACATGGAAGGGATAGAGAGCAGATAAATGAGGCCAGGTACGATGCAGAAGAATTCTTGAGGATGAAGACACGCAGCTATGAAGAAGGACCCGGAGAGTGCAATCAAGAAGATGGCGGAAGGCGATCCAATACCGTCCTCACCCAACTGCAGCGCTGTACCCACTATCACAGCCATCATGATCAGTGCATATGAAGTGGACAGTATCTGAGCAACCAGAAGCTGCGGAAAATGTACATTCATGTTATGCTTCTACGGCTGTACTCGTGGACACGGCCACCTGAATTTGTTACCGTGTCTTAGAGAGGATCTGTCAGTAGAAGCAACTATGGAACAAACACATTAACATCATTGTTGCGTGGCTGTACTCGTGGCCACGGCCACCTGAATTTGCTAGAGCCACTTGGAAAACATACACAGTGTGTCCAGGTTCTGACAAGACATGAATTATTTTCAAAATTTCAATCTTTTTACTCAAAATAGTCTCCTTCTAGTACATAGCTGGAATCGATTGAAAAGTTTTCGAAAACAGCCACTGTACTCCTTTTGTGGAATCGCATTTAAAACTGCGGTACATTCCCTTCGGATGTCCTGGATGGTGTCGTGACGGTCTCCTTTCATTGCCAGCTTAACTTTTGGGAACAACCAGAAATCTGCTGGAGCCAAATCTGGCAAATACGGAGGATGATCGAGGACTGTGATCTGTTTTCTGGCCAAAAAATTGCGCACGATCTTCGATTTGTGGGGTGGGGCAGGGCATTGTGAAAGAGCGACCAGGAACCTTGCTCTCGATATTCAGGTCGAATTCGAAGAATTCTCGCCCATAAACGAATGAGGACTCCGAGATAATAATAAGAATTCACTCTCTGACCTTCTGACAGAAATTCCTTGTGAATGATTCCTTTGGAATCGAAGAAAACGGTTAGCAGTGTCTTTACTCGACCCTTTTGCATTCGCACTTTCTTTGGTTTCGGCTTCTTTGGGCCCAACGACGCTGCATTCTGACGCTTTATGACAGGCTCATGTCGAAAACACCATGTCTCGTCACCAATAACAATCGATTTTGTAAATTTTGTATCACTTTTGGGCCGACCGTAACATGTCTTCGCAGTGTTCTACTCTGGCATGATTTTCATTGACTGACAGCACGTGTGGTACAAATGGCGCACAGACTTTCCATTTGCCCAAATCCTCGGTCAAAATTTGATGCACAGTGCTTTTTGGTATTCCAAAAGCTCCTCGGTGAGTCTTGCAGAAACACATCTGTCTGACCCAAGGATTTCGGTCACTTTTTCCAATTTTCTTCAGTGCGACTTGTTCTCGGCTTTGATGCGAGCGTCTTCAATGTCCTCCTTGCCGTCACGAAATGCAGCATACCATCGAGAAATGTTCGAGCGACTTCAAACAATCATTACCGTATACACTTTTCAACATTTCGTACGCTTCTCCGGCTGTTTTGCCTAGCTTCAAACCAAATTTGGTGTTGGCCCTCTTTGCAACCGCCATTTTCCGACGAGCGTCAGAACAGTACTGTTACGTTCAAGGTCAGAACACATGATGCAGCGATGCTTGCGCTTTGAAATTATAGACAGCCACAGCTGAAACTTCAAGAATCTTAAAGCCACAACTCGCCAACAGATGAGATTTCAGGGCAAATTAAAAAAAAAAAAACGAGTCCTAACGGATCCTGGACACACCATGTACTTCATCAGCAGAACCGGCTGTAGAACAATCATAATTCCGTAATTTCTGTGTCATACTTAAGGCTACTTCCACCTGAAAAATTAGCATGGCTCGAAAACGCCTATGTTACCGTGAAAATGCTACTAACGAAATTTTTATATGGCTGTAATGTGTATTTACAAAATATATGAGGCACCCTGCCTCTGGAAGAGGTAGCATAGAAGGTAGATTCAATAAGTATTATACTATTTTGGTTATCATAAATATGAAACACAGTTATGAAATCCATATAAATAGGTTTGTACTGTGTATATTATATGTATTCCCTTTATTTAAATTTATAATTTAAATATGGTTAAGGACCTAATATTAAATAGAACATATTTCAAGGAACATACAGTAGAATGCAAACTAAATCGGATAATATTGCAAGTTTAATTAATTCATTACAGAAGCTAACATTTACGTGAACTCCAGATGGACAGAAAATACTGTTTGATACGTGCTGTGTGTTGAAGCCTGTGCCATAGTATGGTTCAGAATTATGTTAATGAGGTAGTCATATTTCTGACATTTTAAGGAAAATTGACTTTAGTTGATCGGATTTTCTTATGCAAGTATATGAAGTAATAAAACTCCATTTCAGGGCTAAGTAAAGTGAAGTGGGGAATATCATAACACACGTGTTGCATGGACGTAAGCAAGTGTTGTACTGACCTGTATCTCCGATTTGCAGATGAAGCAGATGATCATGAAGAAGAGGATAGGAACAATGTTGTACTCAAAACTGGTCCAATTGTCTATGTGGAAGGCAGCCACAAAGGCCCCAACCAACATAAGGAAAATGGTTCCAGGGCCCAGGATTGTGCCTCCCATCAACATGATCTGCAGCAGACACAAAGCCCCACCCGGTGAGTAATAGAAACTTCCTACATACAGATCTACCCCAATGAATGACCCACCGTGTTTACTTTCATATGCACTTAACTACAAGTGGAATAACGACATAGCTTAATAAAATCATCAGCATAAATATAAGACTATTTAATGGTAATACGCGTATTTTCATCTTCAATGTACCTTAAAATTATTCGAAATTTGAATCATTAGAGCCACATGAACATAATTCGGAAAGTATTAAAAACAACTACATATACTTGGCCACTTAAGCACATGTGCATACACTAGTAAATCAATTCCATATTTCCTAAACTATTATTTATACTCTAAAAGCTTTGTGAATAAAAGCAATGCAAGACGGTGGGGGGGAATTTAAAGGGGTAGACACGTACCATAATGTGGAATAACAAATGCCTTATTAAAATGTTAGAAAATTGACACACCATAATAATTCCGGTACTACCCCTAACTTTTGTTTATCTCGAAAATCAGAAGACAGGGAAAAAGAATGTAATGCTTGTGCCAGTTTTCTCTGAAACTTTTATTCGAAAGATGTTCGCTTTGATAAATATCTGGAGAGTTAGTGCGAAGTGTGCGTTGTTTTAATCTGATTTTAACCAAAACTGAACTGTGTTAACACAATTCCGGAAATTCGATAATATCATGTCATGATAATCCATTTAGCTGTTCTCGAATTGTTAAATGTTAACATGATAGACGGACGGACAGACATGCTGGAGCTAACAGGCTTATTTTCGGATATATTAATTGCGAAAGAATGTATATAATTGGTTGTATGCATGTATTAATTTACTGAAGCTGTAAAGTGGCATAATAGGGATGTATATCATTGTCACGTGTATGGGGGTACACGTGACGAAAATAACGGGCTCTAAATCGGATGACTGGATTTATTAGCTCTTCGGTTACAATCTCTTAATTACAGTTAATACAGCGCTAGCGCTGATTTACACACTTTCCAGTTCACCGTTGCACACGATCTAATTTCTCCGTCTTCACTAGGCGTCTCCTGGCAATGGGTCTCAACACAGAAACTAGCACTTCAAATCACTATGAAGCCCCTTCCCATTTCTTTTTCAATCACCCCGGAACTTCGGAACTCAACTAAGAAACTCTCCTGCACACTGCAACGAACTCTGCAATAATCTAAGATATAACAGGTCTTCGTTATATATTCTCCGCATAGACAACACAGAAAACACTAGTAACGTGATTCCTAGCCAGTGAGTTCATTGGCGCGCTGACTGTTGCCTAGCAACGTGCTAGAACATTCGTCCACTGAGACACATCTTCTACTGTTGCACGCTGGAACGTGTTTAGTGAGCCATTGCCTAGAAACGCTTTGATCAAGTCCGTTACATTATATAGAACTATAGTTTAAATGTGAAATATGGATTTTTGCGGCACACTTGAGATCTTGTGGAGCCCGGTTTGGGAGTCACTGCTATATTATTTGGCTTCGGACCGATGTGTGATAGAGTTGAAAGTTCATTAATGCTTTTCGCAGCGCAGGGGCTTCACAGGAGCCGACATCGCCTGAATGCTGGCCTGCCATACGATCTTTTTCTGTGCGTGAGCCTTGCTGTGTAGACTGACCAGCAGCACAGATATGTAGGGAAAGTTGCAGACGGGGTAAGGCCTGCTCGAATTACGTAGAAACGTTACGTATTGTGCAAAATCTGTCAAAATCTGTTTCGGAGGAAAATACTACCCCANCCTTGTGAGACTGATCAAAGACAGTGCAACATCAGTCACATGTGGAACAGTCAAGGTTTAGCCGTTAAGTATGTGAGTACCAAATGCTGGCCACTTTGTGATATTCTGGGGTATGACACCAAGCAGCTTGATAGGTGGGTGTTAATGTTTCGGAGGAAAATACTACCCAGTTCTTCAGGATAGAAAACGCGCTATATGTTGTCATAATCTAGAAGATCCAGTAGCCTCTAAAAGGATCAGACCAACAAGAAATAAGCCAAAAAGCAAAGAACAATTTTTAGATAAATAGACACCCATTATTTTGTTATTATTCTTAGTGGTGTGAGACTGAGTCCACTTGGTACTACGGCCACTACTGGCCCCAGATGATAGATGATGGTAATTGTGGAGCAATTGGTGGAATGAAGATGGCAGAGGAAACCGAAGTACTCAGAGAAAACTTGCCCCAGTGCCACTTTGTCCACCAAAATTCTCACATAACAAAACCTCGGCTCGAACCCGGGCTGCCGCGGTGAGAAGCCAGCGACTAACCGCCTGAGCTATGTCGTGGCCTAAATAGACACCTAAGGGAAACATTTCTTCATGGAAAATAACTTAATCACATCTTTCAGAACTACCTCGGTCTACACTTTCCCTGCAGCCATAACCTCACATCTCATATAATACTCACCTGATACGCGATGTAAGGCATGGAGATGTTGTCGTTGATCTTGATAGTTCGCTTGTAGTCCGTGAGCAAGTCCATGATGTTGGCCATGGTGGAGGGGACCCAGCGTCTTCTTTGGTTATAGAATTCGTTGAAGCCTTCTGGACAGTGCGTGTAGGCATCACTGGCTGCCGAGTACTCGACCCGGTACCCACGCTGCAGTAACAGCGTACAGAGCCATCGGTCCTCGCCTGCAACACAAGTTGATTGCAATTATAATGAGTAGAAACCTGCAACTGCTCCCTTTACATTTGTCAATCTAATAAGGGGTGAATCATTTCATTTACTGCAAGGAAAAGTACTCGTTTTTCGATCGATATAAGGTTTCTATCACTACCAATATTACAGTGCGGGTTCGAGTCCCTATGAGGTGGACTTTTTTTTTCAATTGACCTAATCCTTCCACCCTCACTATGGCCCTGGGGTCGACTCAGCCTCTAACAGAAATGAGTACCAGGAATATTCCTGCAGGTAAAGGGCGGCCGGCGCGTAAGGCTCGCAACCTTACCGCTATCTGTGTGCCGATTGTGTAGAAAATGTGAGAACCTCGACGGCTCACAAACCTATGGGCCTCCACGGCTTGTTACAGGGATAGCTTTACTTTTTTTTTTTAATTTTACAGTGTATGAGTACAGTAGCCGAAGTTTTGAAGAAGGCACACAATTAAAATTGAGTTAACTCATGTAATTAAAAATAAGGGTTCCGAGCAAATCTTGTAAACCAAACTTTCTTACTACTTTTAGAGATCTAGGCTTATTACTACTATTATTATGGTAAAGAATTTATTACAAAATTACAGATAATATCAATCTTAAATTTGTCGCATATAAACTTTATAGTTTCGCACCATAGTGTTTTTTTAATTGTTCACTTACAAGCAATATTTCATAGAGAAATATCGAATTTGTCTATGATGTATTTCTATGCCATATTTCAGGTGTCCAACTCTATAGTTCATTAATTATCGCCATAAAACCGAAAGCCAAAGAAAATTTCCGTAAGGCTGCTGTGTTATTAAATTACACAGAAAATTACGTGAAGACAGATTGCATATTTGTAAGATTTGAGGCTTTCACGGCGGTGACTATGAAGAAAGCAGTCTTCTTGGATTTGGCACCGTGTATATGTGGTGTTAACCGACGTTCCTCCGAAACGTCGGTTAACACCACATATACACGATGCCAAATCTAAGAAGACTGCTTTCTCCAAATTGCATATTCTTTCAAGATTCGTTACCGTAGAAAATTTCAGGACCCAAAATTAAGGGACGCTTGTGTCACAAGTTCGTGCCTCAACCCTGCTGTTATTGCTGTTTGTAGCAAATCGAGAAGTAAAGATTTTTTGGGGGGGGGGCCCAAAATATTAGAAATGGCGATCGAATCACACTCAGAAAATCTGCCACAATAGGCCTGTACATAGTACACAGTTTTAACAGCCATGGCTACCTTATATCCTGGCAACAGCGTGGAGTATATTTCAAACAGTATCTCTGGGTATTCCCTGTTAGGTCCGCTGTTGGAAACAGAATCAGACAAGAAAGTTACCTTATATATTGTCACATGTATGAATGTGAGCATAGGCGGGGTTTGGATTGGTAATCTGATTTATTGCGCACTTATACAACTTGTTACTACACTTAAATATAGCATCTCGTTAAGGACCGCGTAGGAAACAGAGTTTCCAATAGTTCCTCTATTGTTACATATGGATTTGTTGCTGTGAAAACATGTTTGTTTCGCTGTCGTCACCTAGTAACGGGTCTACATGCTACAATATATATATATGTAGACCCGTTACTGGGTAACGACTGCGAAACAATATCTATATAAGATTATCATCATTACCGCACTTCATTCGAGATGAAGATATTTCATTGCTTAGTTTCAAGTTTTTGTTAATATTTTCAATTTAAAATAATTGCTGTTTCCATTCAATAGACCTAGTTTCAATTTAGGCTATTTATGCATGACGGTAACTATTAAAACTGCCAGTGCTGTTTTAATTTACATCTGAGCAATGCTTTCAGATTTACCTTTTAATGCCCTACGAAAATAGCATTTGTCAGTTTTTCAGATAATTTAGTCCATAAACTGTTTCCCTTGAGATAACACTTGTTGGTTATTTCAGCTGTGATCACATACCTTGATCGTACTGTACATAGTGCCTGGCTTCCTTCGAAGCTGTGGTATACTTTCTCATGACGCTGTCGTCCATGAGAGCCTTTCCTCTGAATAAGGAAAAACATCCCGGACTACACAGTACACAGCCGATCATGTGTTCTGTGGCCTTCTGTAACCAATGTCCAATGGCGTACTCAAACATCTGATACCATACCATGGGACCTGGAGCAAATAAAATACTGTAAACACGTGACTGATGACTATAACATTCACAGAACCTTCTACAATTTTATGTGCATTAAATTAACAACAGGTTAATGTATTAGAAAACTTTGAGTCTATTCAGAGATGAAACATGGACACTGTCCTCCATTTCGTAGAGTTTTTGCAAAACGCATAACGATAATGGNATTCTACCAGTCGCCATGCCCTGCCTGTAATGGTGCTCGCTATCAGCCCCGTCCTGGCAGTGGTACCCGATACTTCCCCATCTACCGGAGGAATTGGAAACTACTTGGGCGAGAAAATTTGCCTAATTTTGCTTAGAGGTCTCCTAGAGACATGAGGATCTTTGACGTACCGTAAATCCTCCTCCCGGAGGACTTGTTCCCTGAATTTTTCCGCCCTTAAAAATTCCACGACCTCCGCCGGGTTTGAACCCGCGTACCTTGAGTCATGAGGTGGGAACGTTACCCCTAGACTATGGAGGCCGCTCTGCTTGATGATGGCTTTATAAGCCGAAATATGTAGCACAATGTCATACTATTAAGACCAATAAACTCATTATACACAGTGAAATGTGAATGAGACCCTGAGAGTGTTTGGAGACTGCGATGCGCGGCACTTACCTGTCCCCACAGGGTGAATGCGCCCACAGGCGGCCCCCAGGTTCTGGTTCTTCTTCATGAGATCGATTAACAGGTGCACGGCGTGGGGCTGGAAGTCGATGTCGCCGTCCAGGGTGAGCAAATACGTGTTCTGGGCAATCACCTCCTTGCGCTCCACCGGGATTGGGAGTTCCATGAGGCGGTGCCCGAGCAGGTAATACATGTACATCACCTGCAAACAGGAGATCCCTCCTTCATGGACGCACATATCACATCCAATTGCAATTAAGATTATATGGTTTGCTATAAAGTGGCCGTTACCAGGGGAGTGGCGTTTGCAGAATACTTCAGTAGAGTTTGGCGTGTCTAGTGTTTCATTTCGGAATTGTTCGAATAGCTCCCTGTTGGATAATATTTGTAGAACCGTTTCAATAATGACGATGATAACAATAATTTGTGATCGCTACAGTCTGTGATGAACCTTGGCCTCTGTTTTACTGTTTCTTAATCCTATAGACAGTCGGTAGGACTCCCTGGGCGGGGGATTAGACCGCTGCAAGGCCACTACCTACACAGAACAACACAAACACAGAATTAACGAAAATATTTGCGCCTCAAGTAGGATTCGAACCCATTACCCCAGTGACTAGAACTAGAAGTAGAACTTTAATATTTATATTTTGGAAATATAAACTTTGAATTTTGGTGAATATGTGGACTACCTGAAGAGAGGTGTGTTGTGTTCTTCCTTCGTATCTCCAGGTGAATACTGGGATAACTAACTCCACAAGTCATACTTCAACTCCATAGAGCAGAAGGACATAGAGAAGTTAATAGTAACTCAGCTGGGCAAGAAATTCTCCTCCCTTTATGGAACTTGGGAAGTTCATTACCGTGCTGGGATACCATTCACACGTTAACCTACCATTTGACTCCGTATGAACTTTGCCACCGAAAAAGTATAACTGAATATGCCTGGAATTAGTCAGTCTTAAGAACCAATGTGATATTAAGCTTCACTGTATTGTGACATTTAGACCAGTAGCTGGATAATGACCGAGAAATAAGCAAATATACAACAGCCGTTGCTAAGTAATGGCTTCACAAACAAGCATCTTTTCACGGCAGCGATTGGATACAAAAATAATGGAAAGGTGTTTTCTGTGCGGTAGGTGCCGAGATGTAATAAGTAGGACAGTTAGTTAGTGAGAGTAAGTTCAGTTGAATTGAGTTGAGTCAGTTGATGAATGAATTAGTTAGTGACTTTAGCCTACCAATTTATTTTTACTATAGGATTTTAGCAGGCAGTTTATAGGAATATATCCTGGTCACAGTCTGAATATATCGCCACTAGTAAGGAAGCTGACCTGGCTCCATCTTTTCCTGTGCCGGATCTTGCTCTTGTCCTTGAGGTGTGCGATCATTTTCGTCTTGCCGGGCAGGGTCCACACGAGGCGTCCCCCGTAAGGAGTCGGGTACTTCTTGGGCGGCTTTACGTGGATCTCTGTCTCGTGTACGAGGGACGCTGCCTCGTCTATAGTGGCCACCAGCAGCTTCACGAACCGGTTCACCACACTGTCGTCGTCGTTCTCATCACTGATCTCGAAGGCGTCGTCGAAGAAAATATGGGCTAAGGAGAAAATGGTGGAAAATAATATTCTTGTTGTTAGTTTTCCACATTTCTTGACATTCTGTCCTCATTCGTTAAAGCTGAAAGGCTACTGTTGCCAGGTTAATACCATACAGATGCGACGTTGAATAAAAACACATTGAACTATTGCTTTTCATGTTTGTAAACATTTTGCTCTGTATATCCCTGTAGATCGTAGTATAATTAAATTGGTTTCGTTTCGTGCACTAAAACGCCATGTGTAATTTGCATTTAATAGTATGAAAGAAAGAGCATAGAAATGGAAGGAAAGTAAATAAGAAAACATGAAGGGAAAAGAGAAATATAAAGACGAGAAACAGAAAGAAAGCTGGTAAGGGAAAGAGAGAGGAGGCGTAAATAACTTGACCGTTAGTGTCAGGATACAATGAATTTAGGGGGCTCAGTGAAGGTATAAATAGCAGATTTGCAGTGAAAATAGATCATCAATAACAAACAAACAAAACAAAGTCCGTGGCCTGTAGTCCGCAAGCGAACTATACCGACCGAGCGACCGCTGCTTTTCGCCGAATTTAGTGACAACTTTTGCGGGTGTCACGTAGTCAGCGCAACGGATCCCCACGGCCGTTAATCTGGGTTCTCTAGACCGGAACCGCTATTTCCTTGCAATAGCTCCTCACTTATCCTCACGAGGCAGAGTGGAGCCCGTTCCAGACCTGCTACTTCTCAGAAAATCTGGTAGCGCCGGGAATCGAACCCGAGGCCTCCGGATTTTTAGCCAGGAACTCTGACCACTAGACCACAGAGACGGTCTNTAAGAACATGAAGATGATGATAATGATGACGACGAAAATGAGGAAAGCTGAAGCTGAAGGTGATATACTCACTCTCGAACTCATAATAGTCCGGGTCCACCACGCGCAGGTACTTCTGAGCCACTCTGCGCGCGGATTGGTCCTCGTCCATGCGCAAGATGGATTTTAACATCTCCATCATTTCTTCGCGGGTCTCATGCCACATGGTTGCGCATGCGTAGATCCTCGTTATATGATCTGAAGACTTGACCAGGTTTTTGGGCGCCGCGTTTGTGGTGGAGTGGCCCGAAATACTTTCATAGTCGTCATCGTGTTCGTTACCGATGTCGGCGAGTTCCTGCGATACAAAATCAGTTCTTAATATTGTCTAATAAAAAGAACAACACAGAAAGAATTGCCGTGGGTGGTAAGGGTTGGGGCGTTTGAAGCTGCACCTTTTATCTCAACAGCTGTGTTCCTCTCAAGCCCATGTGGCATATGTCAAATAGCCCCAAGAACTTGTTTCTTGCGGGTGTTATCACGTGGTTATTACTGTTTAATATTCAAATGAACAGAATGGCTAGAAGATAGAAAGGAAAGTAAGCTGGAGGAAGATACTTTGGACTTCTTTCTGTGGCCTCGGTATAATGTTTAAATTTTTAATTATATGTGGACAAAAATATACGCACATTCATACTTTGAGGGAAGCCTGCTGCATAAGGAGAAATTCACTGATTTCAGCGGTAATGGATTATAAACTTTTTACTGTCTTAGGACGAGCGAATGGTAGATACTAAAGTTGAGACTGGCCGCGCCATAGCTCGAGCGGTTAGTTGCTGGCTTCCCACCGCGGCGGACCGGATTCGATCCCGGGTATGGCCAAGTGGGATTTGTGGTGGACAAAGTGATGTTGGGGCAGGTTTTATCCGAGTACTTCGGTTTCCCCTGCCAATCTTCATTCTACCAATTGCTCCACATTCACCCTCACCTATCATCTGGGGCTGGTACAATAGGCTAGAAGTGGCTGCAGTACAAGGGATTTAGTCCCACCCCACTAGCAATAAAAAAAAGGTTGAGATTTCGATCTGAGAATGAGTGTTTTGCGGGTTTGTGTGTGTTGTAAAACGATGCTTTATAAGGTAAATACTTTGTAATGAGCTCATTCTCCATCCAAGTAATTCCTACCGTGGGCTATAAAGATCCATTATATAAGACTGATGTTATGTTTGGAATAGGTTTCTTACGAGTACTTCAGAGAGGAAGAAATGAAGTAAATTTTATGTTAACTTAGCGTAGGCGTTGTTCTATAATAAATTTTCTACGATAAGATTTGAAAAGAATCACCGTCTGTTGAACAAACAGAATACAAAAGCAGTACAGTAGACCCCCAGAAAAGAAAACTAGAAAATATGGAAAGAAGGAACTTAAGATAATGAGATGAATGATTCTAAATATCGAAATTAAATTAGAAATATCTCCAATTCCTGCGAAGAAAGAGGAAGAGAAGATGAAGAATAAAAGAACAAAGGATGGTAGAAAGAAAGAAGAAATGAGGGAAAGAAGGAAGGTAGGGGCATTGACGGAAATGGAGAAACAGAATTAAAACGGACAATTGTTATATCAGTGGAGAACTATCAGAAAATAAAAATATACGTAGAGATCGGAACCGAGTACCTCTGTCTTAACATCCGCCTCGTCGTCGCAGCGCCGGTTAAGTCCGAGTGACTGGTCGATGAGAAGCGAGTCGTACATGGGCAGGACGAACAGCCTTTCCGTGGTCGCCAGGCGCTCGGCTTTCGGAGTCCAGATGTGTAGCGTTATCCATGTCTGGGACAGGAGCCATAGAAGCCACACCCACGCTTGCTGCAACATCCACATTGTTACGTCTGCAATAGTTGTCATGGTAACGACACATAGGATGGGCCGAACATCACTCTTTTCTACAGTTACGACCCAACGGTAATGACCTTAAACGTTTTGCTTTTATTCTGCCCTTGTAAGACGAGTTAACAGCAGGTCTAGGCTTGTTTTAAATGATTCACATGTTTTATAAAACCGAATTTTATAGTCTTCGCTATTTTCTGTTGATAGTCCTATATGTCAGCTTACTGCAAACCACTTTAAACAACTTGAGCACTGGAATGTAAAATTTTAAAACTAAAACTTGTCTAAATATTACTTAATAATCAGTGAATTTTCCCCTCGGGCTGACAGTCGAGTCAGCTGATTAAAAATAACTAGCCTTTCAGGCACCATTCCTGTCCCCATGATCAGGATTCTGATGTGATGAATTCCTGCTTATGGGGGACAGAGATGGTCTTTGAAGCATCGGCCATTTCTTACCAATTTGTATGGCTGACAATCAGACATAATTTCCTCAAATTTAACCTCCATGGAAGCTTCAGATCTTGCATTTAAAGGTTCGATTCCTACTTCACAGAAAACTCTTTCCACTTTGCTAAATATATGGTATATCAATCAGTTTTCTTCCTTTGGCGTTACAGCCTCAATTTGAGCCTTGGCCTACCTCCATGAAACTCTCCGTTTCACTTCGGTTTACAAGATCTTAAGACATTCGGTAGGACTCCTTGGGCGGGTGATCAGCTCGTCGCAAGGCCTCTACCTGTACACAAACACTAAACATCCATGAACTGAATGGGATTCAAACCCATGACCCCGGCTTCCAAGCGAGCGAAGACAGTGCATGCCTTAGACCGCTCGGCTACCGTGACCGGCTGGTACATCAGTTACTCTCTCTAAATTTAAAACATTTCTTACAATTTCTTATTTAAATTTTTAAAACTGTTGTCATTGTTGTCGACGTGTAAGTTAATATGACTACAATTTTTTAATCTTTGAATGATGTGATTTCAAAGTCTAGCATTAAGATGAAGTTTCATAAACTACAGGTTCGCCAAAAATGGAATTGGGTAGTCAAATGCGATACAAACTGACCTGTCTAGTGATAAAGTCGTTGAGGAAGTAGACGGGTGGCGACTCGAAGAACAAGTAGTCGGGAATCACATTATGAAAGAAGCAAGGGTCACCGTTCCTCAAACCGCAGGCAGCGATCAGTAAGGAAATGGCAACAGGAATTGTGAGATTGACAGGGAATGCGTAGCTGAAACCTTGGATCAGGATCTTGCAGGCAAATTTACCTGTAGGATAAAGAAAAGACAGATCACTTGAATTTTGAGGAAACAGTGGAAAAAAAATTAAATTAGTATATTTAGAAAACAACGTTGTTATATTCCATATTCCTGAAAGTTGAAAATTTATTTGAGAAAAATACCTAAACCACAATTTTCATATAGACTTGAAAGGNTGAGGTCCAAAATAAGCCAAAAGAAGTACACAATTTTCATCTCTGACAACATTTGATTAATTATTATTAATATTATACTTTTTTTATTTTATTTTGTATTTATGTGTCTTTATTGTGTATTTTACTGTTTGCCTGTGAGAGGCCACTGCTGTTGGCAAACACTCTAATAGGTCAGGTAAAGGTGAAGCTGTCCCTGTGTTTAACTAATTTAGCAGTACGCCATGAAGGCGTATGGAGGAGTGTATGTATACATTATAATAAATTAATTTAATTATTATTAGGAGCCGGGATAACTTAATTAATATAGCTACTGCCTATTGGCTCGAAGCCAAGTAGTCGGGAGTTCAGGACCAGCTCTGGGGTTCACCGAGCCTCCTGTCTGGTGTGTACTGGAGGCTCTTCCCTCAGGCGTGAAACTGATCACTCACCTTTGTCTAGTAGTGAGGTTATTAATGTTCGTAGCCTCTAATGTCTTATACATCTTCCCGGCACGGAGTTGAATTAAGCAGTGTTACAGTTGTTATTAATATTAATACTGTTAATGAGCTCAACAAAGCGCGTGGTCACTGTCTGGACAACAGGGATTTCATTCTCTGGCACAGAAGTTAAATTGTTTTAATCATCACCACATCCAGAATGGCTCTACAACTCATTTAAACTCGTATCCAAAGAAACTGGGGTTGTGCTGAAGCTTATTTTTAATAACATCAATGAGACCGATCAGTTATTGCATCTGTGCTATGTACCGACTGAGCAGCAGTGACTATGAAGAGTAAGCCAGGCAAGAAATCAGCAGAATTAGGCGCCAAGCTGAGTTTCTTACTTGGCTTACTCTTCGACTCTGAAGATGGACGCGATATGTTCCTCCGAAACGTTGGGCTGTCTCTGAACTACCCAGCAGTGAGCCTCATGAGAACCTCATATCCAACAATGACTATATCTAGCCGGCATACCGAAGATGTAGCAAAGATAAGCTGCTGCTATTTGGATGATCAGCACATAGATGGCAGTGTTGTACCAAGCGTCGATGTCCACAGTGTCTCCTGTTGGTGTGACGTCCGATATGTCCGGCAGGGTTGCTCCTGTGAGCGTCGACTTGATCTGAGCAATAAAGGGTAAAAATGACGCTATGTATTGAGAGGTTGATGTGTATTGCGTAGACTGCTATACAAGTATCGTCCGTGAGTGTGTTTTATGTTTATTGCTTCGACAGAGATGGCAGAAACAAGGAATTACCGCCAAACCCTTATACTCGTAGTTCCACGCAGTGACCAAGTCAACTGAGACATCTGTCCCAGCGACCACCACTTCTTCGATTCCTGCAGAGAAGAAACGTGGTTGGGAACATGTAATCAGTATGAGAATACACAGAGATTTTGTGCATGAGCTCTTTATAACTTGGCATTTTGTATCCTCCTAACTGTTGCAGCTATAACACCATAGATTCGCCATCTCGCCATGTTTCCAACTGTTGACTGAGGAATTAAATTTTAATAGAGAGTTTGTAGGCATGAGTATTCATACCAGACTACACGTCTCCTAACTCCACTGGTCGTTAGTTGTCGCTGTAATCCCGGAAGTATAAAATAGATATCTCGCAGAAGCCATCTTTGTCTTACATTTTACAAAAATAAAAAAGAAAGATTACGTAACAAAAGCTGCATATATTTAAATAAATGTTACTGTACAAAATTTTAGGGCCCTGTATGAAGTGATGTTAGGGTCGCTGCAACCTTAAAAGTTCGTGCGTGTCATGTTGGCATTACTGATTATGGAAAATTAGGAATTAGAAATTTGGAATAGTCTCCAGTGGCAAAATATCCGTACCAAATTCTAGTAAAGTCCAAGCGGCTGTTACCGAGCTGTGACATCCGAAGAGACAGACATAACCAAACCTACATGCATTCATTTCTTGCACATCGTACAAATACGCACAATAAGGGCCGTGTGTTTGTATCCACCGGCTCACCTCCGCTTTAAAACTTATCATCATGTTAGAAGTTCTTTTCCTTTGAAATGCTTCTTCAGTGAACCACAGAAGTAAAACTCACTACGCGCAAGATCTGGGCCGAATGTGTGGATGCAGAAAACTTTCCCAGCTATCTATTATAATTTTGTTGACAGTTCCTGAACCACGCAACAATTGTGAAGAGAAGTCCTCGACGACGAGGGGACAGGCTGGGTGTGCAGACGGGAGCAAACACTGAGCGATAATTTGAATGAAATAGTTTCTATATCGCTGGGTCAGACGCTTCAATCGACTTAGTGACTACGTGGATAAATACTTGACTTGTGGGTTTGGGCTTTATTTTTTGTTTTGTTGGACGTCTATGGTGAAATAATTTTTTTTTTTTCTGTGGCGCTACAGCCCCAATTTGGGCCTAGGCCTACCTCCATGAAACTCTCCGTTTCACTTCGGTTTACTAGATCTTACACATTCGGTAGGACTCCTTGGGCGAGTGATCAGCTCGTCGCAAGGCCTCTACCTGTAGACAAACACAGAAAAACGCACACAAACATCCATGCCCTGAGTGGGATTCGAACCCACGATCCCGGCTTCCGAGCGAGCGAAGAGAGTGCATGCCTTAGACCGCTCGGCTACCGTGACCTGCGAAATAATTGATACTTGTGTAAAACACACCCTCAGATGTTACAAGATGAACACAAGAAATACGTTCTTCATTAAATTTCCCCCGTGTTCAGAAACAATTACTTTGAATAGCAGAATAATAACACTGATTAATTTGACTTGCTTACCTCCGTGACTACAATTTGTCTGGCAGAAAATGCGTCTTTGAAGAGGAGAAAGAAATTAGGGACGCTCTCTCCTTTCAGGAAGAGGATGAGAAGCAGGCAACAGAAGAAACAGAGGATCTTCCACAGGGAGATAAAGATGTACGTGAAATAGCGAGTGTCTCTCAGCCTCTGCATAAACTTCCGCATGTTCCTCATGTGTTCTGTAACAACACACACGTGACGCAATGTGGTTTATGGTTCATGGATCGCTGAAATAGAAGTGCTTTATTCTATAGAGATGAAATCTTTGGTTGCAATTTAAGAGTGTTGTCTTCTAGGTTATGATAACGTATAGTGTTGCAGACGGTTACCATTGTTACAGAAGATCCAGGTACCTATAAACTACCCTGAAGATGTATCTTTCATTCATTCATCAGTAATCTGTCAAGACGACAGGTCCACAGTCTCTTCCAAAACAGTTCCTCCACTTGATGCGATCTAGAGCTTTCTCCTTCAAATTAAAATATCCTCTTCTGTAGACAGCAGGATATTTCGAAGTGTTGGTAACAGTATACAAAAGTACACGGTGTCACATATCAGGATCGTAACCTTTATTGTGTCCTTCTGAACACTGTACAATACAAATAATACGAAACTACTGATGTTCCCAAGGCGATCAGTGTTGAGGTTGTAGTCTTCTGGAATGTGATGTCGTTTAATTTGGTAGATAGGTACTAATATTTCAAGGAATCTGCTGCCTCTATCTCCAGGATAGAAGATGGAAGCGGCATGACCTTCCGAAACGTCGACCATCATCTACGAAGTTAAACGTCGTCGGATTCCAGAAGAACATAATCTCACCTGTATGAAAACCTCAAATTTTATTTCATGTTTGTTTACGATATAATAATTAGTACATTTATGTGGAATGAAAATTGATGAAGACTCATAATTACGCAATATTGAACACAGATTGGAATTCCAAAGGAGTTTTGTGGTAGTCAAACGTAACTTTCTGTTGGTTTACGTACCTTTCTATTTCCTACCGTGGAAATAATAAAAGAATCCTGAAAAGTATGAAATTTACTCTGCACTGTTACCAGTACATACAGGAGCCACGCTGTTAAAGCGATGGACAAGTATTGCAGTATATGGTTTCTGGCGAGATTCTAATTTTCATTCCCAATCTATCTTTTTTTAATTACAGGAAAAAATTTTAACTTGAAGAAAGTCGTCTTCTGTGATGTGGCGCCGTGTAGATATTGTGTTCCGGTGGAGGAACGTCAGTTAATACAATATCTACACGGCGCCACATCCCAGAAGACGGCATCCTTCATAGTCACCGCCGTGAAAACCTCAAACCTAACAAACTTTAATTTCTCAGTATGAGTGTTTTAGTCTTTCTTTACAGTTCTAGCCGCCATTTTTTGTAACACTGAAAAGTAAAGCAATTACATTGCAGAAAAAGAAAGGCTATAGTTTTATTGCTGCATATTCTCACATGTGTACGTGCACATTTTTACTACTTAACCTTATGATTAATATCCAGTCCGATAATACTTACAAATAAGAGACCCATTTTACATTACAATGCATGGAGTGATAATTTAGGTAATTGATGTTGAAGTGTACCAATCTAAGAACAATCCAAATATAGGGTCGAAACATGCAGAGTGTAAGAATAAACACTATTAATACTAGGTAGTTACGTGGGTGACATTGTAAGAATTACACGTATGAGACAAACCAGCGGAAAATAACCAATGATCACTTCTGTTAGTTGCATATACGTACATGATATCAACCAAGAACAGACAGGATACAGATTTGTCCATCTGGAATTTGTGCCCTTAAATCGCTGGGGGTAGTGGCCTGGTATGGAAACCTGTGGAGCTTACTTGTGTGTGAATCCTTCGGGATGTTGACGTAGTTCTCCCACCAGCCACAGGATATGAGGACGACAGAGAGCGGGATAAGCCAGAGCTCTGGTTTCTCGTGGCTGTCGAGCAGTGGCCACACCACGAAGCCTGTAGCTTGGGCCGCTAGGGCCGCCAGATCCACGATCACTTTTATGAATCTCTTAGATTCCTCACGGCTTCTTGTCAGCATTCCTTAAATACACAGACATTTGCTTAGGAAGTTGCCGGCACAGACAAGTCACTGTACTCGTAAACAAACCTTCTGTTCTATTGACTGATCTGATTCCCGGGTTCGCCTGAATTAAACGGACAATTGTTTCGTCGTGTCATTTGTCTGTTCATGCGAATGTAAAGTAAAAAGTAACAGTGATAACGCGTCTAATGAATGGAAGATTATTTTAGTGGAAGCAAAGAGGAAAACACCGAAGAGAGATGAAGTGACAGGAGGTTGGAGAAAACTGCTTAATGAGGAGCTTCATAGCTTGTACTCTTCTCCAAGTATAGTTAAAATGATCAAGTCAAGGAGGATGAGAGGCCAGGGCATGTAACACGAATGGGGAGAAGAGGAATTCATATAGGATATTGGTGGGAAAGCCAGAAGGAAGGAGACCACTGGGAAGACCAAGACGTAGGTGGGTGGACAATATTAAAAGGGATCTTAGAGAGATAGGATGGGATGGTATGGATTAGACTGATCTGGTTCAGGATAGGGACCAGTGGAGGGCTCTTATGAACACGGTAATGAACATTCGGGTTCCATAAAATGCTGGGAAGTTCTTCAGTAGCTGCAGAATTGGCGACTCCTCAATAAGGGCTTAGCTCCATGAGTATTTTTTTTATTGTTAGTGGGGTACTTGTACTGCTGCCACTTCTGGCCTATTGTACCAGTCCCAGATGATAGGTGAGGGTGACTGTGGAGCAATTGGTGAAATGAAGATTGGCAGTGGAAACCGAAGTACTCGGAGAAAACCTGCCCCAGCGCCACTTTGTCCACCACAAATCCCACTTGATCAGACCCGGGATCGAACCCGGGCCGCCGCGGTGGGAAGCCAACAAATAACTGGACAGTAGTGACAGTAAGTGAAAAGATAAAATATGTATACTAGAAGGGGGCTAAAGCCTCAGTTTCCTTCGAAAGATTTGTTCATACAGTGCTTAAGGGAGAGAAATAAAATTATGGCATGGTGTTGTATTATTGATAGCTGAAGGTCACTTTGGATCGCATTCAAAATTTCCTAGTACCTACTTCAAACTTATAGTATAGAAATATAGACACACAGCAAGTAGGAGTCACCTTATAGCGATATGATGGTTTACGTAGCTATTCTGTGAGGTCTATTACTGTGTCCATCACAAGAGAATGCTAGACTGATCCTCTAGAGCAGAGTTCTCATTAGGAAGCCACATGCTTAAGAGATATCCTCTTTTTATGAAACCTGAAGGTTTATTATTCGAATCAGATTAATCCAGACTACATTCATATGTTCTGTTCCTTTCAATATTCTTTAATTTATGCCCGTTTCTTGAGCGTGGCCTCTCCCATTTGTAAAATTTCTCGTCCATTTCAAAGCTACTATACAAAATGTATGGCCGCAATATTTCCTTTGAAACTGATAATTATTTCATATGAACACTGTGGAAGTCCGGTCTAGGAAACAGAAATTAACGGCCGTTGATATCCGTTGCTCTGACCACACGATACCTCTATCCGTTAAAAGTTGGTACATACTTCGCCGACAAGAGGCGGTCATTCGGTAGGTATAATTAGCTTGCGGACTAAAACCACGGAGTTCTTGTTTGTTTGTTTGTTGAAGCAATGTGGAAGAGTGTGTTAATATTTCACCCATTTTGAGGTCGTGTGGTTTCTAACGTACCGAGAAGTCCTGGCACGAAACAGACGCAGTTCGTAAGCATGGCACCCTTGACGACATCGAGGTCTGGTAATATGATGAAAACGAGAATAGCGATACCCACGGTGTGCAGTGTCTCGCTGAAGAACACGGCGAAGAATTCCTTGGCGTTGGGCTTAGTGCAGGATTTGAAGAAGCAGATCCTCAGGGAACGTATGAGTGTCCCCAGCTCTGGCACCAAGTATGCTATCAGCAAGCACCACACCCAAGCGATTCGCTCCACCTCTGGCAGCTGTGTGATAAACTGCTTCTCCCGACCTGCACAAACATTCAAGAACCTCATGATGGTATTTGGGACACTTTATTAGCCCTACAGCACAATTGTCTGTGCTTCTGGTTTTGAGAAGCAACGAAACATAAAATGGGGACGAATTGTAACAATTCGGCATGATCGCCTATTTATTGCTTCTAGAATTTAAACTCATGAATATTAACTTTTGATGCTGTGTTTAAATAGGACAAGACTAATTATCTCAAGCCAAATTAATGATAAATTAATTTTAAATTACACTTTCCACTTTCTACACAATAAATACGTCAGGGCCGATCTCATGCAATTGTAAATAAATAAGATACTTCGACAATCTTCGCGCGCGTTTGGAAAATTAGTTATTTACTCTTAGTACATAAGTTCGGAAATACAGGCAATTCTGGGAGCTGCCAACTTTTGTTTAAATATACTGAACAGAAAATAGTTTCATTCTTTATAGGAATTTTGGTTCTGAACCCTTTTGCTCCGGTAAATACTCGATGAGTTTTGTTCGAGATATGTCGACTCGCATGTAGGTCTTTACATACAACATTCGGTAACTCTCTCCGATATAAATAAAAATGGGCACTTTTAATAAAATGCTACGATATCATATTTAATTACAATCGGTTTATCTGTCTTCGAAATGTTTTAGATTACAGAGGGTTGGGCAGACTGAACGAATTGTAGGCGCTCCGCGAGGTTGCGAAATGTTTAATTTCTTAGGCCATATACGAGATAAAGATAAAGTTCGATCTCAGACCCTGAGTTCAGTTTTGGACATACCGATATCGCGGTTACAATATGGGATGATCCGGTCCTTGCGAAGCTGTGACGTCATGAAGAGCGTCGTTCCCTTAGCAATGACCCCGGAGCCTAGGACGATGACGAATGTGAAGAGATAAGCAGCCACTTTGAGCATCTTGACGGTGATCTCCAGGCATTTTTGGTTGGCCATGGAACCGCTGTCCGTCTTGGGCGGGGGATCTTCGAACACATCCCATCCTTTTGTCTCTTGAACTGTCCGCTGGCTGAAACAGATACAAGTTTCTCATACTTACTTAAGGAGCTGGGCCCTTCTTGAGGAGAAGCCAAATCTGTAGCTATTCAAGAATTTCCCAGCATTTTATGCAACCCGAAGGTTCATTACCGTGTTCACAAGAGCCCTCCACTGGTCCCTATCCTGAGCCAGATCAATCCAATCCATCCCATCCCATCCTGTCTCTCTTAGATCCATTTTAATATTGTCCACCCCCCTACGTCTTGGTCTTCCCAGTGGTATCTTTCCTTCTGGCTTTCCCACCAATATCCTATATACATTCCTCTTCTCCCCCATTCGTGCTACATGCCCTGCCCACCTTATCCTCCCTGACTTGATCATTTTAATTATACTTGGAGAAGAGTAGAAGTTATGAAACTCCTCATTATGCAGTTTTCACCAGTTCCTCTAAGAATCACATGTAACTGACTCCACGGAGAATAATGCTTCTTACGAAACTAGAGGTCTTTCAGGTGGTCAGAATTTATCCTCCTTTTATGGAACACGAAGCATCAATAACGTGTTCACAAGCGCTCACCACTGATTTCTATCCCGAGCCAGATAAATCCAGGAGAAACAACACACCCTACTTTTATTTCGCATATAATTCCTTTATTACAAATTTATTATTATTATTGTTATTATACTTTTATGTAGAAGTTATCACTTAACACCAACTACAAATTCTGTCTATGCTAAATTTATCGGATATAACCTCCAATATTCGCTCCGTTGCCATGTTTGTAATGGCTGAATTACAAACTGTATGGCATGCATTGTACACATATGTAGAGGTGTTAATGATCCTCCTATCAGAATGTACGCGCGGGCTGAGGCATGAACTGTCTTCGCCGTTGAAACACTCATGTCGTGGGTTCGAATCCCACTCTGGGCATGGATGTCTGTGTGAGTTTATTCTGTGTGTAGGTAACGGCCTTGCGACGGGCTGATCCCCCGTTCAAGGAGTTCTAACGACTGTGTATAGGATTACGAAATTTAAAAAGCGGCTAGAGTCCAACAAACGGCTGTGGAGCCACTGATGAATAAATGAATATTAATGATACACTTCCATACCAAGTATCACATATAACTCCAGTGCTTCATTAATTATTTCCATGATACCAAAATTTAAAAAGAAAATTCGCAGGGCCACCGGAAGATTTAATACTATGCAATATGCCAAGATCCTATATTATTATTCTTTTATTATTGCTATTGGGGTGGGACTAAGTCCCTTGTACTGCGGCCACTTCTGGCCTACTGTACCAGCCCCAGATGATAGGTGAGGGTGATTGTGGAGCAATTTGTGGAATGAAGATTGGCAGGGGAGACCGAAGTACTCGGAGAAAACATGCCCCAGCGCCACTTTGTCCACCACAAATCCCACTTGACCAGACCCCGGGATCGAACCCGGGCCGCCGAGGTGGGAACCCAGCGACTAACCGCTTGAGCTATGGCACGGCCATCAGATCCTATATTAAGTAGCTTTGTGTCTCTCTCACTTCGCGCGTCTACCACGTGACTCTTACCGATTGTAGGAAACTATGAAGTATGGTGTTTGGGTGGTCTCCAGTGGCGCAAAATTTATAACCAATTTCGTGAAATATCTTTCAGCTAGACAAAGAGATTTAAATGCTGGAACATATAAATAGACACACACAAACAGCACGGTGCTCATATACACCTCCCCTTCTTCCCTAAGGAAGGAAAATAGTCTAAAAAGGGAATTTTATATTCTGGATAGAGAAATTAAATTGTGTAAAGTAGATACGGTGTCACAGAATTATTTCGTGATTTAGTTCCTTAGGTAGCGAGGTAGCCAAATATAGATATCTCGCAGCAGCCCTTTTTGTCGTACATTTTGCAAACAAAAAGAAATTGAAAGAATAATTAACAAAAGCTTCATGTTAAAAATTGTACGGCCCTGTATGAAGTGATGTTAGGGACGGTACCACCTTAAAAGTTCACTTCATTGTGTCGTCATGGGTGCTTCCATCGCTATGTAAGACAACGGGTGGACGAATATTACTGCGAACAGTTGTTCGTAACACTAATGTCACCAACTTTACACTGAAACACTTCGATTCTCTAGTAACAACGTAACTCATGCAGTATAGCAAACAGGCGATGTGCAGGATGACCCAATTCTCCGGTTGTTCAGAGCGGGAAATCGGGGTGGGAACAGAATTTTTCTCGCTACTACCACTTCCAGGAGGAGTCGGGATAGCGCAGTCGGTATAGCGACTGGCTACGGGCTGGACGACCGAAGGGTTTGATTTCGAGTCCCGGTAGGGTCAAGAAATTTCTCTTCTCCACGTTGTCCTCCTATACAATGGGTACCGGGGGCAAAGCGGCCGGTGTGTGAAGCTGACCACTCATCTGCAACTAGTGCCGAGGTCAAGAAAATATGGATCTATACATCCACTCCCCCATACGCCTTCATGGCATAGTTGTTCAGCACGTGAACAACTTTACAACCACTTCCAGACCGACTATGAGTACACGGCTTAGCAAACATCCTGTCCAATGTGTACGGTCCAGACTTTTCCGGGGGGTAAATTTGACCAACCAGCTGCATCTAGCGCCGTGGTTGAATATGCTTGGAACTATACCCCCTCCCCCTCTCTAAATACTTGTTCATTTCGTGGTGCTTGATTAATTAAGACAGGAAATTCTGCTCCGGAAACATGCGCGTGCATCAGCCGACACGCTACCTGCGAAGTGCCGCTCACTACACACAATGGAGAAGATGAAAGGAAAGAAACAGGGGCACTGATAGTTGTGGTGCCAAATGTGACCCACTTCCGAGAGTGTAACAATGGAGAAGTTATACAGTGTGTCACTTGATAGCTCTCAACGGCTGTGCTGTCTTTCAGGCGGCCTGTGGTCTTCTGGGAAGTGAAAGTTGAATGTCTGTACACCGGATGTATCGGTTAGACAAGGTTCTTCAAGCAGCATTTCTTTTTTCAAGCGGCAGGCTTCAAGACTTACAGAGACTGGCAACTATATTTACCCGAAGGACGAATAGAGCTGTTTTTGTTTTCTCGGTACAGTCTATCATATTGGCGTTATCGAACGTACCAGTGGAGTGATTGTCATTCCCCATTCACGTTCGTAAGGTTCCTCGTTCGAATCTCGGTACGAAGATGGGCTACCTTGACTCATGATTGTTTGTGTTTCTCTTCAGTCAATCCGTGGAAATGTCGAGAAAATACTCAGATTATGCTACGAGATCCGTCTTCCACATCCTCTCCTATTAATTGTTCCCTAATCATCCTATCATTGAACCCTATATAGTCTTGGCATTTGAAAACGTCGATAAAGGAGTCAAGCATAAATAAATACACAACTTTGGTCATAAAATGGATACTGATAGGTTTGTTGTTGAAAATAAACTTGGAATAACATGGAAAGAAACCGTCATGGATTATTTTGAATAGATATCCCACTAAAAATGGCAGCGTAGTTGGTTGAGAAGCTATGCTATAAACCGGAAGGTCGAGGATCCCATTCCCGATGAGGTTACTGGACTTTTTAATTGATTTAATCCTTCCAGCCGCACTATGTCTCTGGAGCCGACTCAGCCTCTAACAGAAATGAGTACCGGGAATCTTCCTGGGGGTAAAAGGCGGCCGGCGCATGAGGCTGACAACCTTACCGCCATCTGTGATCCGATTGTCTAGAGAAAATATGGGAACCTCGACGTCTCACAATCCTATAGGCCTTCATGTCATGTTACAGGGATAGCTTAATCCAGACAAACACGAAAACCATCACTGAGGAAACTCATGTTCGGGAATTCCGAGTAAGAAGCGCTAACAACTCGACACTCAGTAGGCTACTTAGATGTCGATGTTGCTTTCATTGTCCCGTTATTTATTTAGATTATCGAATAGCATAGATCATATAACGTGTTACATAAAACGAGAAAATCACTGTGAAAAATGAATTTAGAGGAGTGCAGAAATAAATGATTGTGAACTATTTGAAGGTTATATTCTAGAACCTGCTTAAAGAGACTGAGTAACACCGCTAGAAACCTCTGTCAAGATAACTGGTTTCATAGTCTAGACTAGGTCTCCCCAGTAGAAGTCGACGTGCAAGGATTTCGAACTTGTATGAGTACTGAAGGGAATACGATGGAGGCGGAAGAGCTTCGATAAAATACTCCGCAATGCAGGGTTATTCACCACAGTCTACGCATGGAACTAGAAATGAAAGCCTGCGAGAAAACATAAATAAAGTATAAAATAGTCCAGTGTGAGATGTGACAGAATTTTCTTTATGAAGAAACAATTCAACCTCATATAAATGTATCTTTTCTATTCTGTTCTCTGTCTCAAGGCCCTGACATGGAATCGACTCTCCGGGTCTCGTCACGTTTTCAGGCACTTAAGTATATTGTCAGATGTGATTATTGTTGCGCCTTAAACAAGTTAATCCCACACACGATGTAAAATATCATAGAAATTGTAATTTAAGTGTCACGAATAGTGAGACCTGTTTCTGTGTACCCAGCTGCTCTGCTCTCCACTCATTATTATGATCCAAGAGACGCGTTTAGGGTTCGTGTACGCAAATTCTGAATAAAATTGTGACTCCTATTTTTATATTGATTTTCCATAAATTATATCTATTACATTTTCTTTCTTTGTTTTTATTTTTATGCCCATAATTGGGAATGAGGCCGGTCACGGTAGCCGAGCGGTCTAAGGCAAGTACTGTCTTCGCTCGCTTGGAAACCGGGATCGTAGGTTCGAATCCCTCTCAGGACAAGGATGTTTAGTTTGTGTGCGCGCGTTTTTCTGTGTTTGTGTACAGGTAGAAGCCTTGCGACGAGCTGATCACCCGCCCAAGGAGTCCTACCGAACGTGTAAGATCTAGAAAAACCGAAGTGAACGGAGAAGTTCATGGAGGTAGGCCTAGGCCCACTGGGGCTGTAGTGCCAAGGAAAAAGAAAAATTGGGAATGAGAGTTCACACGAAATTAGTA